TTTCCTTATTCAATTACTATTTGAAATTTTTGCAGACATAACTTATGTTATAAAATCAAATTAAAAAATTAATTTAATATTTATTATATTTTACATTCTGATCATTTTATTATATTTGTTAATAATTGTAAACACCTCATTTTATCTAGTCCCCCACAAAAAATAAAGTAATAAAATAAAAAATTGAAGAGCTTTTTTTTAATAAAATAATAAAAACGAAATTAATAAATAAGAATTAAATGAAAAATCTTCAAATTTGTGCCCTAATATGAGTCTTCAATTAGGGAAAGTCAAATAGAATTTCAATTCCTAAAATTGTGCCTTAATTTAAAATAGCAAAAGTCAAATAAAATTAATCATAAATTGTGATTTAATGGGATTCAACTATTAAAGTGGGACGCCCTAATTTTCATCTATAAAAGGGTGGTGATCAAGGCAAATGGGGAGGAGAAAAAAATGAGAGACAACAAATGAAGGAGCTTGAGAGAGTTTGTTGAAAAAGTAGAGAATATTTGTTCTCTTGCATCATCTCCACTCGTTATAATATGATGTTAAGATTGGGTAGGAATGCTCTAGATAAGATAATACTAATTGCTCATTATTCTAATACCTTAAGAAAGTCAATCCTCTCATTTAGAGAATACATATATGATCTTTAAAAATGTTGAAGGCTAAAGGATATAAAATTATGTATTGATTTAGATCATTCTTTTAATTTCCACTTCTCCCCTTTCAAAAATTCTTGTGTGCCATATATATGTGTGCGTGCGCGCGCTTTTATGGGCACCATGTGTCTAATGGGTTCCTTTCTCCTAATATTTGTTTTTTTTTTTTTTGTTCTTCCCCGTCTCAATTTGAATGTAATTTTACAAGGATATTTTTTTTCATTTTATGCTCCTACGCGTGCATGCTTCTTTAGTTCTTTTCCTAGATGTATGTACATGTGTATGTTGTCTATTCCCCTCTCCTTTTAATTTTAAGTCAACATGGCTTTCTTTAATTTCATTTCCTTTCTTCATTTTTTCCTCTTGTTTCCTTTTCTTTCCCTCTTCTTTCGCCTCTCAATTGCTTGAACCACCAATTTTTTTTTATCCCTAGTTTGGCTTTTCATTTATATAGGTAGTATATGTATGTATGTATGTGTATGATTTTGTACTAACAAACATACATGAGTACATACATTCAAGCATATGTGTTGGTTGGTTATTTCTTTTGTTATAAAATGGGGATAATTGGAATAATCATCTAAGTTGCATCATGTGATAAAGCTCCAAAGGTTTGATCTCTTTTTTTTTTTACAAGCCATTTATATTATTATATCCTTCTCTAACACACACTATATTATATGATTTGAGACTTTTGTGTGTCTTGTTTTTTTAGTTATATCGTGTGAGATTTTTAGAGTTTTCACAGGTAACTAGTCTATTGATGTATCGTGTGTGGCAATGGGCCATCATAGGCACACTAGTCATGGTGCTTACTTAATTTGTTTTAACTTTTTTTTTTAAAAAAAAAGGAGCATTGTTTTAGGTCAAAAAATAATTTCTATACCATATGAGATTTTGAAATCTCCACAGGCATAAAATAAATTAATTTTCATGTGAGATTTTGTAAATCTTCACAGAAATTTCAATCTATTTTATTTTAAAAAAAATTCTTTCTCAAATAGGGGAATAAGATTTTTTTTCCTAATTAAAAGGTACCAACCCAATTCAAAAACCTTTTTGAAAAAAATTAAAAATTTCTTTTCTAAAAAATATTAACAAATTGACTTGCATTTTTTACCCTTGAACTATGTAAGCTTTGATTCCCCTAAAGGATATGTAGGCTCTAAGGTCTTATCCTAGGTTAAGTCCAACTTGTAAATAACTAATTATTTATTTATTAATTTATTCTTCTTCTTCTTTTATTTACTAAGGGTAATTAAATTTCATTTTAAGGCCATGTTAATTTTGTTTAGTCAATTAGGGTAACTGTACTCATGGACAGGTGATATGAGTTGTCTAAAACCTTCTCCACACACAACCAACTCCCGAATTCTATAGACTATTTTTTTTAAGAGATTTTTAAAATTATCTTTTTAAAATTTTGGCGGAGACTCTCACATTTATTGATTTCTTTTTTTGGGGAGATCACAATTCGGACGTGACAATGATATATTAATAATAAACTCCTTGTAATTTTTAAAATTTTTAATGATAAATTCTTTTGTGTATCGATGATAAACCCTTTGTAGATCAATTATAATTCCTTGTACATTAATATGAACAAATTATACTCCCAAATTTTTAAAAAGTTGATTCATATTCTTTAGGCACAAGATTCTTTTAGACCACTAGGCACTTTTGCTTTAAAAAAAAAAAATTACCATGCTTACTAGAAAAGATGGAATCATCCTTTATGAACAAAAAAAAATGGAATTATCTTGGATTATTTAGAACATGTTTGGATTACATCCTAACTAAGTTGAGATGTTAAAAGTCCATTGCAAGATTAAAATTATTGTTTGGATAAAATAAACAAGTGAACAAGCATTATTCCCGAAGCTAGATCCTAGAGCTTTTTCAATGCAATGTTGGACTTTCTCTCCTCATTATCCTCTCACATCACCCTACATTGTTTACTCTTTCCTCTATCTTCACTTCAAGTGCACCAGTCATTGCTTCCTGATCTTCTCGTCATCATCATCGATCATGTTGTGCTCATTGTCACCCCCATCTATGGAGGTTGAGGGTTCTATCATGTCATTCATCTCTACTTGTCAATCATAGTTTTACTCAGTTCATAGTTGATCTCTCCAGTTTTGAATCTCATTCATCCATTGGCATTGTGCTTCTCCTTCCTCTATTCTAATTTTAATAGTTGAATTGAAATTAGTGTGGGTGTGGTGGGGCTATAAATCAATCGAATGAATTTCAAAAACAATTGGCATGAACGGGGGATTTATAATCATAAGTACTGCTTTGAAGGGAGAGAAGTCATGGTTTATTTTTGGCCAGTCTTAGGTTTAGGGGTTTAACAAATTATAAAAAAAATAAAATTAAATTAAGAGCGTCCAACTCCAATACCCTATATTTGTAATGTATATTCAGGCCAAAATAATATTTGTAATTTATCATTTCATTCTATCTTTTTTAAAATTAAAATTTTATATTTATCAATTTATTTTATTTTTTAATCTATTTTTTAAAAGTTGTAATTTTAAATTTAATATTTTTTCATAAAATTATCACATTAGTAAAAAAAAATTATGTACAAGAAAATTCATATCCATCTTTGTCATTATACATTTCAACTGGCTTTTAAATTAATTATCCAAACAAATTTTAATTTGTTTAATTGGCTTTTAAAAAAATATATATATCCAAAGATAAATCACGTTAAAATCACACAAATTTTTTTTTAACATCAGTTTCCTAAATTCAGTTAACTCTAACTTCAGTTGTAAATTGTTTTTACTCAAACACACACCTAGTGTGTTGTATTTTAGTTGCATTTTGAACAATGTAAACGTTAGTTTATTTTATGACATAATGACAAAAAAAATCACCGGTTAATAATATAGTATCAGCCATATAAATGGATTTTAATTCTATGATTTATTATTTGCGAATTTCTCATTTCATATTTATTTTTTATCGCAACTTTTATTTTATTTAATGAGTTAGCGGTAAAGCAAGAAATATGAACAGAAGTTAATATAAAATAAAGGAAAAATGATAATAAAATTTTTTTAAAATATATAAATGATAATTTAATCTTTTAAAATATTATAATTTTCCAAAAGTCCTTAAGGACTTGTTTGTCATTAATAAATTTATATAAATTATCAAATTGCCCTTGTTAAAAATAAATGATTCACAAGTTTTGTTTAAATATTGACAACTCACAGTAATGCAATAGTAAATAAAGACTTTAATATGTGAAGTTGTAATTTGCTATTGTATTATTGCGAATATAAGAAGAAAAATTGTGAATATTTAAACAAAATTTGTGAATTATTTATTTTCAACAATGACAATTTAATAATTTATATAAATTCATTAATGATAAAAAATTTTTCAAGAACTTTTGGGAAATTATGACATTTCAATAAATCAAATTGCTATTTACATATTTTAAAGAGATTTTATTGTCATATTCCCTAAAATAAAACAAGAGGTAAAATAATTACAAAACTGAAGAAATCGTATATTCATTCTTTATGTTAATATGGATTTATTACATTTGCTGTCTTGAAATATTCAAAATAGTTTAGTCATCTTTTGAATAGAGCGAACTCTTCCATATGTTTTTTCCCAAATATTTTCGGAAATCTCAAACTAGAAATCCTTTCCAAGGCGAAAGATGGGAAAGTTCTATGCAGGGGTGTATTTAAATTTCAATTAAAGAAATTGATCATAAAAAAATTTATTAATAGAATGTGATGATGTTTGGATAATATTTTTTTAAAATTGATTTTACAAAATCAATTTACCAAATAGAGAAAAAATTAGCTTCTACAAAATGAAATTTCAGAACCAAATAAAGTTTGGGAAAATTGGAAATGTTTGGTTAATTTATGCAAAGAAAAGTTTCACTTTCAGAAACCAAATGGAATTTAGAGAAATTGATAAAGTTTGGATGATTTTTTTTCCAAGACCATAATTTTAAACCTCATAATTGGTTTTAGAAGAGAATCCAACCCGTCTTTCAGGCTTCAAGTACTCTTGATGTCATTTATGCAAGGTTGAACAAAAAAAAAAAAAAATCATAGAACACCCGTTACTTCTTTGTAATTGGACTAAAAGAAGCTTTGATTTATCGTACTAAAAATATTGTAATTCACAAATTACATACTACAAGTAGTTGAATTTGAATTTGTGCCTCTTTTTAACAACGATTTTTTTTTTTGGGCCAACTTTTTAACAAAGAATTACGTCTGTATAAAGCATGACTTATATTATATCTTTACCCCTTGGGTTAACTTTTATTGTCAACTAGGTTGTTGACAATCCTTTTCCAATGGTCAGGACTTAAAATGATTACAAGCATTACAATAAAAATTGGTGTCAAACCAATGTTAACTATTATTTCTCAAAATACTAGTCTTATTTGCCCTGCAAAATAATATTAAAGAGAGAAGTGATGACCGAGAAATGAGCATTAACAAGAAATTAATTAAACAAAGGCAGGGACCTTTTTCAAAAAAAAAAAAAAAGATAGAAAGAATATAAGAATGAAAAGGAATGAAAGATAGATGACTAGGTTCATCTGAGTTTCTGAACCATTCATATTTACTTCACTCTTAATGTTTGCTGCAAAATAATGAGCATTTTCCTGCGATAACAAAAGGACGCCAAAGTCTTACATAAACCCATCTTTTACCAAATTCAGAGCTATAAGTGAGCTCCAACCATTCGTTGATTGTTAAACTCTGGGCTTGCTTATGAGGTTTTAAACTAGCCTAGGATCCAGGGTACCATTAGCTAATTCTTACATGCGATAGTTTAGAAGCTGTGGGCTTGCCAAATGGTAGATGGCCTCCCCACCATCCAAATATAGACGTCGTCGCTGAAATTCAGGCTTTATTGGGTCGTTCAAAATATCTCTCATGATGTTGATATGCCAATGAAACTACTGACATGCTCGCCGAACAAGCTTTTATCTTGTGTGGGTGGTTTTCATCCTATTTTCCCCCTCTTGATTTAGTTAGTTTGCTTCAGCAGGATGCTTCTACATTCTACGGCGTAGGTTTCTTTTTCCTTTGTTATTTAAAAAAAAAAAAAAACTGCCAAAACTTTATACTTCCCATAGAAGTAGTTCTCATGAATTTGAGTTCTGCAGGACCTCGCTCACAACGAGCAACGCAATCAATCAAGGTTCAAGCAAAGCGCCCTCCAGCCAAAATTCCTCAAATCATCTCTATAACCAAATATGTACAGTTAGTTCTATCAAATAGTTGAGATGCAATTAAGATACTCAAAATACTTAATTTACTTTTCTAAATTTCTATCACCAAAATTAAATATTCTTTTGAAGAATTATTGCATCTCAGTCATTCAATGGAATCAAATGTGGAGATTTAGGTGTAAGTTTCGATTGGAGGGATTTATTCTCTAATCACACCTATCCACTTGTATCCCTGTCCTGAGGAATGTTAATCTGATAAGATCTTTGTATTATTGTTTTGGACGTGGTGCCTTCGGCAATCGTCTGCAGCCCCTGAATATGAAGAGTATTGAATCAAGTCATCAATGAACAGAGCTTGAGAATGATAAATTTGAAGAATTTTTAGAGAATTTGACAAACCATGGGCGATGATTTCCCCTGTTCTGGGTTGACTTCCTGTCAGATGAATCAAACATTCAAAATTAACACAACAAAGAAAAAAGAAAGTTATCTTTAGTGGGCATGGACCTTGAAGATGAGAAATCCTAGACGTTAAGTATGGACAGATGAAAAATATGACCTTTGGATTCTTGTTAAATCCAGCTACTAATTGGCACAGATGCCAGAGGCCTAACATACTCTTGTCCTGCATGGAAAAATTCAAAAGAAAAAAGGTGAAAAATCATATAATTATGTTAAATCATAACAAATTCTAGTAGTTAACCATGCAACTGCAAATTTAAATGGTTAATTATGTTGAACTTGCCCACAACACAATTAAATATTTCATGGTTGATTGACAACTTAGTACAACTTAGCAGAGAACTAAGTTGTCAATGAACCTCAATGGTGTTGTAAAGGACTTGTGTGTAATTCTCCCAGTTAAAATCTCTAACCAGTTTCCTTTCAGCAAGCTTGAGCTTTTCATCCTATCAAGTTGATAAACAGATTAAAGTCACAACATTGACAATGTAATCCTTCAAATTAATTGGATGCTTAAAAAGTGATGGAGGAGAAATATAATTTACCATCCTATAAATCTTTTCGAGGTTGACTTTAAAAGCATACCCCATTTGTGAAAGTTTTAACTTCACTTCACTCACCTGTATGAAAAAATAAATGAGTGCGCAGTAACTTACTTTCATATATAGCCAGACATTAATTTTGCAATCAGCAAAGGACCTCTTGAAACTGACGGCAGAGACAGTCCATATGGGATACTGATCTTATGAAAGTAAAGTTGAAGTTGAATATTCCTATTAGTCACAATTCATTGATTCTGGGGAGAAAATTGAAACATGGTTCACTTGACTGATCCTATATTTGAAAGTCTCTTCTTCAGATCTAACAACTCCTTGTCTTAATTGCATTAATATGATTACCCATATTGAAAATAAAATCGCCATCTCTTACATCATTAGCATTAGTCTGGTTTAACTCATTTTGCTCCTCAACTTTCAGGCCCAAAACTTCTAGCTTCCCTGTTAAATGCCCTCCAGTTGACTGCACATTTTGATTAAACTAAGTTGTTCAGCAAACAACACTGATGTAAGATGGCTAGAGTGTGAAACTTTTATGTCAACAGATGCAACTTACAGCTATTTTTTCAATTACATTCTCTGATTGCTTCATCACAGACATTAAGTCAGAAAATGACCATCTCTGAAAGATAGACAAAAAATAAATAAATAAGTGCATTAATAGCATCATTACATACAACCTCTATTTCGAAATCGATTGCAGATTTATAAATAATCTTGAGATTAGATAATAGTCTCACCTTCTAGTTCCACCAGATGTAACAACATAATCCCATAGCTACTAATGCAGCGGCTGATAATAGGTAAGATGCATAACTCCCTATGCGCAAATGATTCACACATCAACAACTTTTTATAGTTAGACAACAGAAACCCTGATAGATAGAGAAAAATATTAGTTCGTCATCATATAAAATCACTATACTTTTATAAAATGAGAGTAACAGGAAAGAAGATGAGAGCACTTTAAAAAATTGACAGCTATCATGAAACGGGAGGGCATTGTTTTCAGGCATCATCAATGGATTGAAAAGGAGGAATAATACTTTGAAATTTGCGGCAAGTAGACCCTCCAATGATTGAAGACTGCCTAAATTCTCCAAACACTCCAAACCATAAAGTTTCAACAGCAACAACAACAACAACAAGCTTTATCCAACTAAGGTTCCAGAGCAAAAAGTTTATTTCACAAAAATGCATTTGCTCGAGCACAAGTAAATTAACATTGCAGGCAGCATCACTCAGTTGACAAATCAGGAAAATCTTGAGCTGCTCCCTTTAAAAGGAAAACAAATCCAGAAAAAATGAGTCAAAAAATTGAGTAAGTGTAGTAAATTAAGTATTACAATTCAACTCTTATTTTTAATCATTATGGCTGCCTCTTAGAAGGAATAACAAAAGGGGAAAAAAGTGCAAAACTCATGATAAGCTGAATCATAAGTCATTTTACATACCATGACAAGAACAATTGCAGTTGAAGGTAGCTGCAGGATTGAATAAGGTCATCTCCCTAATCTGCTGAGCTAGTTGTCGAATCTGAATTTAAAACATGGAGGTTTATTGGGCAAAAGGTCAGGGTGGAGCTGATCCAACGAGCTAGCTTCTAACATTAGCCATGACCAAGCAAGTTGTTGGAGTAAAGACAATAAAATCCCCATTTAGCAGAATTGGAATACATGTTTAATTGCTTTGATGGGATTTGGGTGTGTCCATCTGATTGACAGGCTATTGCAGCCATGAAGTTTACAGGTTTCAGGAAGCAATAGAAGCATAACATTCCCCGGCATTGTACATTCATTACTGGTTCTTGCCATATCTCCTTTAGAAGAGGATTATTTTCACGTCCTATTTGTGGATTTCTACAAATGGTTCTTCTGTTATTTCTATTTGTATTTCTGTTATTTATTTACCTCGGGTTTCTTTACCCCAACTTTACTGGTGGATCTGCCGTTTTCTCTCTTTTTATTTCATTTATTGTTCTCTTCTCATCAATGAATGTTTTTCACATGAGAACAAATATGTTACAGTCTTTAATTAGTTCCCCAAAAATCAATTTCTTAATTCCCCATCGACTTGTACTGGATCAAAATTAATCAGAATTTTACAAAGCCAAAGAAGCCACCAAATAACATTGAAATTTTTTTTCAATACCTGGGCAGTAATGGCTGCTGCAGTGTCATATCGATCTTGTGAAAACTCAGCTTCATCCAAATCCTTCAGCAATTCCCGAAGTTGTGCAATGGGATCAGAAGACCGTTGGCTTCTCCACACAACAACGCCAGTCAAACCTAAAATGCAGTAAAAAGAAAAAAGAACTTGTACCAAAAAAAGGGGGGAGAGTTGTCATCAGTCAATAAACAACGACGAATGAACAGGGTTACACTTTTTTTTTCCCTTTTTAGCAAATTACCTATGACAAGCAAAAAGTGTCATGAAAGTTATGAGACAAACAAAAAGGAGAAGTAAGTTTTTTTCTTCTTTATAAAGGTTCTACAGGGATTGAAGTTATGAGCTTCTTGTTTTAACCATAAACAGAATTTCCACTTCCAGTATCATGCAAGTTAATCAACAAAACAGACTCCTCCGCGTCAGGAGGAGCTGAACTAGTCGGAAATTCACGACAATTTAAATCAAACAGGAGGATTTCCGAATAAGATATAAAGTAGAACGCTTACTAATAAGAATTTTGGAGGCTTGACCCGCTTGGGATGCCATTTACCGTGAATGATCTAAACGAACTCAAGCTGATCGGAAATGTTTAGTATCACTCAATAGTCAATGTCACTACCAGCTACAACAAATCGATGGGAATACAACTGAACCGAAAACAGATTCACAGTTCACATACTCAATAAGAAGGGAAAAGAAAGCAGAGGGAGAGAAAGAGAACTGAGAGATCAATTACAACTATAATTCCACACCATTTCCCTAGCGTCGTTTTCCACTATTCAAACATGCGGAGCTGCACGAGCCTTCCACGTCTGATCCCTCCACGTCATTCGCTGGTGTTGCATGCCCCTCCGGCTCGTTGAATTTGGCCTTCTCATCGAAGTCAAAGTCAAAACAAGCATTGTTGATTTGTTGATGTAACCACAGACCATCCCGCGAAGTTCGCGAGCGCACAGGCGATTTCCGTTTTATTTTTATATTTTCGGACAATGACACGAAATAAAATAACATATCTCAATTGCAAATTGTAAGTCATGGAAAAAAGTGTTTGGTTTTGATAGAAAGGATGTAAGAATTGAATGCATTGGAGAGAAAAGTAATTTGGAGGTCAAAAAACAAGAAGAGTAAGAAATAGAGGGATAAAATTTGGTCAACCCATTTAGCCAACCAAGACCAGTGTCGTTTTCCCGAGACAGGATTTCAAAATAGGAGAATTACTGTAAGATTTCACTCAAAATCATTCATTATCAATAAATCCGAGAGTAATTAATCACCTTGAGAGAAACTTAGATGAAATTCTCTCCCTCATGTGAGAAATTTTCTATTAAATTAATCCTATTTATCTAGTCACCATGAACAATTTAGTGCGTGATTGATTTTCCATTAGTTAAAAGTTTATTTAATAAAAATTAATTTAATAAAAATAAGTCATTGTAACAAAAAATTTATATTTAAATATATTTTTTCGAATGTCAATTTGATAAAACTGAAAACTGTGTTTCAATTGTATGTCATAAAAATTGCCTTTGAATGCAAAATTTATTAAAAAAAATTAATTTCTATAATTTATAATTTTTGTTATACCGAATTCATATATACACTCGTCTTTTGTCGAATTCAAACCAATTTAGTGAGCTTTAACTTTGAAGTCTAATTCATTGATTTATCAATCAAACTGGCTGGTTCCAGTTCGATTTAGCTCCTAAAAGCTAAAAAATTGAGGAGCCATTTTAAAAGTTCATCCGAAGAATAATGTTCAGAAGAATTTGATACATGGCCCGGTCCTACAAATTTCTAAAAGTATAAAGCCTTCTTGAAACCATATATACAATACAAGAGAAACGTAGAATCCACGAAACTCTCACTTCAATTTAGACACGGGATTATTTTGTGCCCTTTTATTTCTTTGAGAAAATGACAATTAACTGCCCAAAGAGAAATTAATCACAGTTGAAACCCCAACAAATTTTTTTAAAAATAAATTATAAATATTAATTCAAACATAAACAAAAATACCAATTATAAATTGAAATAATTAGAACTAAATTTGAATAAATTCGGTCAATATTAGCAAATATTTTTCAGAAAATTATTAACTGTAAGTAATTATTAATTTTTTTTAATGACTACATAAAGAGTAGCACAGCAAAGATTTTCCCTCCTAAAGCACAAAAGGCAAAGAGTAAATCTCTCACAACTAAATTGCTACACACTCAAGGGCTGGAATTCAAAGGTTTCAATTACTTGATTAAGTAACAAGAATCCTTACTAATTGCACTAACTTTAGTTAGTAATTAATTATCTCTTTTAGGGTGTGTTTAGTTGGGAGGTTTTGAAGGGAAAAGAAAGAAGGCATTTGGTTAAGAAATTTTGAAGGAGAGGAGAGCCAAAATAAACCCCCTTCCATATTGCTCACCTCCAATTGGAGTTTTTTCAAAACTAATTTTTTTTAAACTATTTTGCCCTAATTTATTTTTTAATATTTTAAATATACCCATGGCTCAAAAAAAAAAAACTCTTTTATATCAAATTGTACTTCACTCCCAATCCTTAACTGACTTCATTGATTTTTTTTTTTAAATTACAATTCATCATATTTTATCATATATTTAAGGGAGTTATTTATTTTTTATAAAAAATTGTAACTATTATAATTATTAGTTCAATTTTTTATTCCCACATTGACAATACGATAGAATGAGAGTGAATTTTTTAAAAATCATGCAATTTAAATTAAAATGTAAAATTATTTTTTACAAGGAACAATTAAAATTTTTTTAAACTAATATATAAGGATATAATAATAAATTAATTATTACCTCTCCTCCCTTTCCTTCCTAAACCAAACAAAGGATCATTAAAAACCCCTCTCCCTTTAACAAAACCAAACAATGTAATATTAAAACCCTCCCCTCCCCTCCCTTGAACCAAACACACTCTTAGACTTAGTAACTACCATTTTCCTTATTTCTTTCTCTGACATCTGCTTCCTCCTTTATCATAAAATAAAATAAATAAAACCCCCGGTAAATTGTTGTTGTTTCATTAATACCGAGTTTGTTTCCCTTCCTTTTGTGTCTTTTTAAAGAAATGACATAACTTTATATACTTCCTTCCCAAGGGAAAAAGTCTTCATGAATTTGAGTTCTGCAGAATCAAGCAGGCAATGAATCATGGTTGAAGCAAAGGGCTAATCACACAGCTAACCAATGATGTCCCTGCCCAGAGACACGTTAACTGGGAATGATCTGTGTATTCTTGCTCTCGACAACGGTTCTTTTTCATTGGCAAAACTGAGACCACCTTTCTTTGTGTGTGTGACTGACTTCTGAACTGTGTCTGTTGTTTCAGTAATGAATTGCAGCCCCTGGATAATAGCATTGAATCAAGTCACCAATGAACGGAGTTAGAGAATGATTAATTTTAAGAATTTATAAAAAATTGACGTACCTTGAGTGATGATTTCCCCTCAAGAGCCATCGTTGAATGGCTTGCAAGTTCTGTGCTGACTTCCTGTCAAATGATTCCAACAATCAAAATTAGCACAAGAAAAGGAAGAGACAAAGTTAATGGGCATGGACCTTGAAGATGAAAAATCTTCAGAGAATAAGTATAAACAGATGAAAAAACTGACCTTGAAGATTTTACTGTTTGGCTGCTCTTTAAACCCATCCGCTAATTGGCACAGATACCAAAGACCTGAGTTAGTTATGTCCTGCAAGAAAAATTCAAAAGAAACTAGGGTTAAAAAAAAAAATCATACAGGTATGGGTGCGAACATGCATACAAAGGATTTAGATTTGGTGATGGTACTTAATACAAATATCGAGTGCCTGTATTATCTAAATCGTTGAAATCCAAATCAGTGGTTCTAAATTCATACTTCACTCAAGATTAGGGACTGAGTTTATCTAAACTGTTAATATAAATTTCAATGGATCAGATGGTACAGGCACTTAGTGCCTATAGTTACTGAATCCAAATTTACAAACAAATCAGAACATTTTCTGGTGGTTAATCCATGTAATGTAATTGCAAAGTTAAATCTATGACCTGTTTGCTTTCAACAAGCTTGAGCTTTCCTTCCTGTCAAGTTAATAAAATACAATAGAGTCACAACATTGACAATGTAATCATTCAAGTTATTTGGAAGCTTAAAAGTGGCAGGGGAGAAATATAATTTACCAGGCTGGAAATCATTTCATGGATGAGTTCAAAATCCCCCCCAATTTGTGAAAGGTTTGACTTCACTTCAGTCACCTGTATTAAAATAAAAATAAATGAGCATGCAGTACATAAATTTCTCGATCAGCAAAGAAGCTGGCCCTTAAAACTAACTGCAGAGCTAGTCCACAAGGGGTACTAATGCCACGACGGACAAAGCAAAGTTCAAGTTGAATTTTGCCATGCAAGAGCAACGATATCAACTTCCATCTCAACAAGGAAATTCAAACCATGAAGGAGGACGGGCATATCGAACCTATTGCTCATAATTCATTGATTCTGAGGAATAAAATTGAAACACTACTCATTTGATTGATCCTATACTCAGAAGCCCCTTCTTCATACGTAACAACTTGTCTTAATTGCAATAATATAATCACCCAGATTGTAAAGAAAATCAACATCTCTCACATCATTTGCAATAAGCTGGGTTAATTCATTGTGCCCTTCAACTTTCAGGTCCAAAACTTCCAGTTTCTTTGTTAGATGCCTTCTAGTTGACTGCACACATTGTTTAAACAAAGTTGTTCAGAAACCAACACAGACGTAATACGGCAAAACTGAAAATTATATGCCAATAGATGCAACTTACAGCTAATGTTTCATGTACATTCTCCAATTGCTTTGACACAGTTGCAACAGCATTGGCCATATTACGCTTTGTCACAAACATTACATCAGAAAACGACCATCCCTGAAAGATAGAGGGAAAAAATAATGGATTCATTCATAGCATCATTATACACCGCTATTGCTTCTTGTTCAATTGCAGATATATAAATAATCTTGTGATTAGAGAATAGTCTCACCTTCCACCACATGTAACAATATCCCATAGCTCCTATTGCAGCGGCTGGTAATATGTAAGATGCATAACTCCCTATGTACAAATAATTCACACCAACATTTTATAGTTAGAAAACAAAAACCCTTTTAGATAGAGGGAAAAAAAAATTACTTTGTCAATATAATAAAATCACTCTATAATACCACGAGAGTAACAGGCAAGATTAGAACATCCTAGATCCAACAAGGTGATCCTTCAAAACTATCATGCAAATTTCTCACTAACTTTTAAGGCACACATGCTGAAGTGCAAAACAAGGAAAGATTCTAAGGGGTATATTAGGAAAACATCAATAAAAATAAGGTTATTGTGGCCAGACAGAGAATCATGCAGGTGGAATCACTCAGTCAACTATCCAGTAAAATCTCGAGCTTCTCCCTTAAAGGAAAACAAATTTAGCAAAAATGGGTTGAACAAGATAAATTGGGTACCTTTAGAAAATTAAGTATCATGATTTAACTCTAATTTTTATCATTACTGCTGACTGCAAAGGAATAAAGAAAGACATGCAAAACTCATGATATACTGAAACATAATTCATACGACATACCATTAGAGGAAGAGTTGCCATTGAAGATAGTAACAGGATTGGATATGGTCAGCTCCCTAATCTCTTGAGCTAGTTGTCGAATCTGGAGTTAAAACATGCAGGACTATTGTACATTAATTGATATGTTTGCACTAAAGATATAACCTCTATAATGAATTATCCTGCAATTTAACAGTAATCAATTTTAAAGATATGGCGCCGGTTTTGTCCTTCAAATGTATCACATAGATACTTCTGTCTTGTTCATCAAAAGGTTGCTTCACTTGGCAAAAGGTCAAAGGCGAGATGGGGCTGATATTCTGAGCTGGTTACTACCATTATCTATGACCAAGCATGTTGTCAGAGTACAGACAATAAAATCGTTATTTGGCAGGTCTGGAGTATGTGTTTGGCTGCTTTGATCAGATTTGGTGATAAGATCCAAGATAGCGTAAAGACTTATTCAAGTATTTTATTTGATTCAGTATTTTATTTAGTATTTTCCATTATTTAGTTTTTATTTAGATTTCCTGAGGTTTTATTTGTTTAGATTTAATTCAGTATTTTAGATATTTAGATTTTATCTATTTTATCTATTTAGATTTTATCTACTATTTTAGATTTCAGGAGATTCTAGTTAGTTATCTAGTTATCTAGATTTTATTCAATATTTTATATTGTATTTAAATATGACTAGCAACTTAAAAGCTAGCATATCAATATCATCAATAAACAGTCTTTTAAACCTTTTGTAGATTCTCTTAAGCGTGGCTATTGAGAAAAATAGAGGACGAGATAATTGTTTTATATTTTCTTGATAGATTTATTTTCCTATTTTCTCTTGTTCTTATGAGTCCTATCATTTGGGCTGTCCATTTGATTGAGGGGCTTTTCTAGCCTTGAAGTTCATAGGCTTCAAGAAGCAATAAGAGCATAAAGTTCACAAGCCTTGTACAGTCATCACTGGTTTTTGCCACATCTTTAAAAGAGGATTATTTTCATGCTCTCTTTGTGGATTTCTAGAAATGAATCCTTTTTTCCTTTTTATTTCTAATTTTTAGGTTGAAGGGGGAGAGGTGACTGTTGCGTGACTACGTTCAAAGCAATTGAGAGGCTCTTTTGAATTAGACCTTCCCCAGTTTAGTGGAGAATCTAGTGCTCTCTCTTTGTATTTTGTGCATTACTCTCTTCTCATCAATAAATGCTTTTCTTAGTAAAAGAAAACAAATATGTCACAGTCCTCAGTCATCTCCATAAAAATCAATTTCTCATTGCCCATTGATAACTCAACGAAAAATAGTCAGACTTCTACTAAGCCAAAGAAGCCACCAAATAACATTAAGTTCGCAAAACCTGAGCAGCAATGGCTGCGGTGTCATATCGGCCAGGTGAAATTTCTGCTTCATCCACACCTTTCAGCAATTCCTGAAGCTGTTGAATGAGATCAGACAACCGTCCGCTCCTCAACACAACGGAGCCAGTCAAACCTAAAATTCAGAAGAACTTCAATTATAGTTCTCATCAGTTAATGAACAAAGACGGATGAATCACACGGATACACTTTCCCGTTCTTTTTTTTTTGGGGGGGGGGGGCGGCGAAGTAAAAGCTTGCCTCTACCGAGCCAAATGAGATTTGAGACAAACAAAAAAAGAACAGTATTTCTCTATAAAGTTTCTAAAGCAGCTGAAGTTACGACCTTCTGGATCAGTTTACTAGTCATAAACTGAATTTCCAGTGTCAATTAAGTTCATGAACAAAACAGACTTTTGGGATTTGTCACACGGCTAAAACAAATTTAGGAGCTGAATTGGTCGGAAATTTACAACAAATTAAATCAAACAGGAGGATTTCAGAATAAGGTATAAAGTAGAAGGCTTACCCGCTCCAACAAGTATAAGAATTTTGGAGGTTTGAACTCCAGCTTGTAATGCCATTTTTCATGAACACGAAGCCCTCTTCCTCCTTTCTTTCCACCAGAGGACCAATACAAATATACAATTTTACAGAGAAGACCCCTGTTCGGCCACTTCCACACAATGGCACAAGAAGAAAAAGAAACAATTGTTAGAATATTCTTCTAGCCTTGTCATACAATAATCTTTAATTAAAAATTTCGGACAAAAAATATTTAATCAATTAAAACTTAAATTCATATGAAAAATTTTATATTGAATATCTAAAATTTAAATTTAATATTATTAATTAATTAAAATTTTTAAACCATTTTAAGAACGATAATTTTTTAAGAATTAAATTTGATAGTATTTAAATTTCAAAATTTAACAAATATAATATTAATTTTTTATAACTTATTTTTGAATAACGAAAACAATTAAGCTATATAGTTGAAGTTGAAAATATAACTAGTAACTAAAAATTAATATAAGAATGAATTCTCATATATCTCATGAGCATTATTTTAATTTTTAAAAAATATATAAAAGCTTGCCAATTTCTTAACTTTTTACTCTTTAATTGAGCATTTTGTTATCCACTTAAATTTCACATGACCTCACGAATAAGCTAACAACTTTTTTTTCATTAAATGAATAAGCTAATAACGAATACATGACAATGATTTTAATTTAATATAAATATTAATAATATGTACTCCTTCAAGTCATTTTTAACAGATATTTGTAAGGAAAATTATTCAAGTTATAAATTATTTTAACATTTTATGACAGCATTAATAATTAAATTAAATTAAAAGTATGTTAAAAATTTAAATTTAAAAATTATAATATGTTCAATGTACCAATAAATTATAATATGCGGACTATGTGAACCATAAGGAAGAATGGGATACCTGCGAATTGGGAATGTGGTTCCATCCGAATATTGTTACTCATTTTACTAGTGCTCACCTATCTTATGAGGAGAGGGGAGATAATAAACACTTTTGGAAACCTGTTGATGATTATTTTTTTGTGAAAGCTACGTATAATTTTTTAGATGCAGGTATTAAAAGAAATGTGGATAGGATATGAAAAATCCTTTGGTGGTGGCCAATTGCTGAAAAAATTAATTCATTCATGTGGTTATTCACTCATGGCGGAATTCATACTTTGGCATTACCAAGAAGCAGAGACTTGATGTGGAGCAAAACTGCCCCTTTGGCTACAACACTCTAGAAGATGAAATGCACCTACTCTAGGACTCCCCGCATGCTTTGGAACGTTGGAAGACTATTGTTAGCAATGAACAGTGAAGCAAATTCACCAATATGAAATTGGTAAAGGTTATACTAGAAAGGTTCAATGGGATGTTTTGTTCGGATGCAATTGTTGAAACATTTGGGTTTTTAGATGTAAGAAAGTTTTTTATGATGAGTTTCAAAAGGCTAGATTTTGTGCCCAAACATCGTTTTTTTATGCAGTTGTTGATGTCAATTTAATTATGAAAGCCCCCCTTTTGAGTTATTAAAAAAGGTTAGCCAGACTAACTTGATCCAGAGGGAGGATTTTATCAAGTTGGAGGTTGATGGGGCTCAGAGCATTAATGATAATATTGGTTGTGGAGGAGTTGTTTAGGAAGAGAACAATGGATGGAAAAAAAAGTTTTTGTTGTAAATTAACTTTAGTCCCACCGGCCAAAGCAGAAGTTCTTGCTGTTTTTCAGGAACTTACTTTTTGCTTGAATTATGATTATAGGAGTATTCAGGTAATTTCAGATTGTGCTGAGGTGATAAACTTGATAACCAGAGGTTGCAATGAACAACATCTTTTCAAAAACATTATTGATGACACTAGAATATTGATTCATAGAGATTGGAATATAGTTTTGTTTCATATGTATAAACATCTTTTCAAAAATATAAGATATGTTTCATATGTTATTTTTTAATTTAAATATTAATTTTTACATCTTTGATCATTCACCAACTTATATTCAAGAATTGGAGAGATGAGGGATCCTTTAATTTGAATTTGACAATTGTAATTTAGTTTGACTTGTAATGTATGTTTCAGTTTATTCAAAAAAAATTTTAAAAAAGTAAGACATTTATTATTGATATTTAAAAAACTTATTATTAAAAATTTAAAACTTTATAAAGGGTTTATTATTAATATATAATGATATATCATTAAAAAATATAATAAATCAATTATAATATAAAATATAATAAATGTTAAATCATTTATTTAATTTGATCCTATAACATAAATTATATATGCAAAAATCATATTTCTTAACATATATGATGAAATCTTAAACAATATAATGAATAAGTATTACCCCATCTATTGAAAAGTTGAATGTTAAAAAATGTAAGGCATTTTTAATCTTTTAAGATGTAATCATTATATTTTTTTAAAAGTGTGCCTATTGATAGTAACTTTATATTTATTATAGAATATTTAATAAAAATAAAAATAAAAAATAAAATTAATTTAAAAGTAATTAATTATTTTATTAAATGGTAAAATTTAATTAAACATAAATATTTTTAAATGGGGAGAGAGGGAGTAATAAACAGTTCTTCTCACTTGTAGTTTTAAAAAACTGCGAGAAAAGAAAAGGGTGGGCAATCTTGACTTTTCGAATTATCATGATTGCCTTTGACTCCCTGGCACCGCCAGATTGCGGGTTCTGTACTCGTCATTCTGCACGGCTATCACCTCGTATGGTCTTTGCGCCAAGGAACCACTTCCAGATTTTCCAACGCACAAATCAAGATGGTCCCTTTTCTATTTCTGATTCTACTAGCGTCTTCCTTGATTCCTGGGTATGCTCAGGATCAACTTAACGATCAATCTTCCATATCCTTGGTAATAACTCAAGATGGTCTTGATTTCTTGAAAGACTTGCTTGTAAATAAGGCAATTTCCTCAATGATCCCACTTCGATTGCCCAAGATTGAAAAGACTGTGAAAATTCCAGTTGTCGGTAATGTTTTCATGGTGCTTTCGAACATCACTCTATATCAAATTGACGTTCCTTCCTCGAATATTAACCCCGGGGAAGATGGGATTTCCATTATAACTTCGGGCACGACTTGTATTTTAAGCATGAATTGGTATTACTCTTACAGTACGTGGCTTGTGCCCGTTGACATTACTGACAAAGGTAGCGCTTCAGTTCAGGTATATAACTTGAAATTTTTTTATTTGTTTGTATATTCAACTAGATTTTTTTCTCTCCCGTGCGTTGCACGATTTTCTGGAGCTGGAAGAGGAACTGCTGGTGGGATAATATTTGCTCAATTTACTTGTATATTGATTGAACTTGTGATACACAGAACAATTGCACATTGCACAGGCTGACTGCTCTGAGGAATCAGAATAGACTTATCATTTTTGTCACTTCCAAGACAGCTACAATATCCCCTTTGACCCTTCTTATGCATCTCTCATAATCAACTTTCGGTAAATAAGTTAATTACAACACTTGTTAGTTATTAACAGTCACTATCTGATTCCCAATTATTTTCTCCTAATACACACTCGTGACTCAACGAACACTGGAACAGATTTTATTTTTTTTTAAAATAATTATACGTATCATTCTGAAGGAAGTCTTCCTAATCAGGCGATACTTTCATAATGACGTTGATAAAACTGTAAAATAGGATTTGGTGCTATTGGTTTCTTTTCCTTCCACATGGAGTGGAGGATGTTCTACTATACTTCAACTTTATGACAGTCAACTTTCTCTCGAGTTTAAATAATCCCAGCCAAAATATTTTATGCTTTTTCTATGTATCCTGTTTCTTGCTCAGGCTCTAGGTGATACCTATTCCTTGTTCCTACTGTTTGTTTTTATTTGTTTTATCTTCTGCACAATATAAACAAATAGGAAATTGATAAGTTCTAGTACTGCAAAGGTTGAAGACATGGAGATTAGACTTACATTGGGCATGGAGAATCAGGAAGGATCCTTGAAGTTGGTCCTGAAGGACACTGGGTGTGACATCAAGGACATTTCAATTAAATTGGATGGAGGAGCATCTTGGCTTTATCAAGGGTATGACCATATTTTCTGGTTGCTTCTGTTATTTCATTTTAGAAATCTTGCTGGCTTTGGATGCGCTATCTGCTTTTATTACCTTTGGTTTATCTATTTGAGTGCCTTCCCCCCTGACTTCATCTACAAAACCAGGACAGAATGTTTGTAACTAGGTGCTTTGAGGCTGAATTAAAGTTCTTGCATCTGCTAGTTTAAGGAAGTAGCACAATGACCTTTGTGTTTTCTTCCCATATATTAAGCAAGAAAAGCAGTTGTATAGGCAAGAATCTATTGCATAATCCATTAGGTATTTTTTCACCATCTCACTTTGTATGCTGAAAGAAGTAAGTTCTTCAATTTTGTAGTAACCTACCTGACTATAATAGAGTCTGGTATTGAGCATCAAGAGTTATTACTTATTAGGTGCCTGTTTGGATTTTTTTTCCTGCAAGCTAACATCATTCACTGGTAAAATATGCTCAGCTTGCTTGCGAGATGGTTTAACCATACATATCTTCCATTTATGATGAAAATTATATGCAGGTCTTTCTTGAAACCAAAAGATGAACTGCAACTAAACCTATTTTGGAACTCTCCATAGGGCTAATAGTCATCAAATGGATAAATGAGTTTTAGCACTAACCTTTTAATCCAATAATCCAATAATAACTACAAAATCAACAAATCGGATCCTTCAAGTTTCTTTCTTGTTGCCTCAATGTATGCTTCTTCTCCTTTCAAAGCATAAACTTAACCATGTAAGTGATAGATATTAGAGTAGCTTGGTCAAAAAGTAGCAGCTGTATGGCTTTTACAGATATAAGCAAGGAAAGACAACAAACACCAAATACCAAAAGAACATACAAAAATAAAGAATGCAACAAAGCTGCCTGATCTTTCTGCACTTCTGGTAGAGATGCCCCTTTGGAAGATCTGAGAACAACATCAAATAGAGGCAATTGAAATTATTCTGTACCAGAATAATGTAGAAATAGTGAAACACCATAAAAAGATGCGAGCTTGCCTTTCAAACCTAGTACATTTTAGAGACTCAATGGTAGTGTGTTGCCAAAGCATATTGGCCTCCTTATTATTTTCAAATATCTTTGTATCTTGTGAGGAGAAACTGTTCCAGGTTTACGAGACGACAAGATGTATTCGCCAAAAATTTCAGAAAATATGAGAAGACTGCTACCTAGAATGCACAAAATGTTCTGATTCAGAGCTAGAAATACACATAACAAGAAGAGCTGGATATGGCCTTCATACCTACAGCATGCTATTATCTGTGACGCATTCTTCTGGTACATTTTTTTAGGGGTTGTCTTGTGAGTTGTGATTCATACTTTTGCTTTTCATATGACAGGATGGTTAATGCTTTTGAAGGGCAAATTGGGTCAAGAGTAGAAAATGCTATCACCAAGAAACTGAAAGAAGGGATTTCAAGACTTGATTCATTCTTCCAAAAGCTTCCAAAGGAGATTTCGGTAAATAACGATGCTTCATTGAATGTAACTTTTGTTGGTGATCCTTTATTAAGTGATTCATCAATTGGATTTGAAGTAAATGGGTTATTTATTGGAAGAAATGTTGAGGTTCCTAAACACGGGCTCAAGAATCCAAAACTTTCTATTTCCTGCACAAATTCATCCAAAATGCTTGGAATTGCTCTGGATGAGGCTGTCTTCAACTCTGCATCATCCTTGTTTTATAATGTAAGTTTGGTTTTCCTATGAAGATCATTTTTGGTTTCACTGTTTTGCACGTGCTCTTAGTAGCAAAGCATAGATTTTTGTTTTTCTTACTATGTTTTCTTTGTTGATTATGGGCTTGGCGTAAAATGACAAATAACTTTCTGTCTTTAGGCAAAATTTATGCACTGGGTTGTGGACAAAGTACCAGATCAATCTATATTGAACACCGCAGGGTGGAGATTTATTGTTCCCCAGCTATACAAGAAGTACCCAAATCATGACATGAACTTGAATATATCTTTATCTAGTCCTCCAGCTGTTGAGTTCTCAAACCATAAAGCTGAGGCCAACATATTTGCAGACTTAACTACTGATGTAATAGAAGGAGATGAAGTAATACCAGTGGCTTGCATCTCATTGGTAGGATTGATGATTAAACTAATCATATTTGCTATTTTAGTTTGTTCTGGTGTATGTTTTCATCATCTCTAAATTATTACTTTGGTTTGATGAATTCTTTGGGCTGGTCAGGATATAAAAGGGAGCTTAGGATGCAATGTAATAGGAATTTTTTGAACTTCGGCGTTTTCTTTTAAAACCTTGATGGAACATTCTAGAATAGCCTTCTTTTACTTCTTTTGGAATTTTTTTATTACAAAAAAGAAATAAGTAAATAAAAGTTAGCCTGTACCAGGCTACCAGCTTTGATTATAAACTCATCCCAGGTTAATTCATGAGTAAAGTTAATCAATTTGCCACCCTTCTCAATTGGCCTGCTCGCAATCCTTGGGTATGTTATGGTTATGAAGATGATTATTGTGTTTGCCATGTATATTTTCAAGTTCAGATTATCTTTTCAGTTTATGGTGATCTGTTTTGGGGACTGCAATCTATATATTAGCTTAGATCCTTAGACTATTACAGCCACTTGGTCAACATTATGTTGATATTCTTTTCACTGTTTTTGGAGCTCCAGCACTACCCCCTATTTGCATGAAGTACCGTTTGCTATGTGCATAATCCAGTCCAGTGATTGATCTCTTCCATCTCTGCAAGAGCAGGGCGCGTTATCATAGAAATTCTAATTACTCTGCAACTTAAATGAAAGTGAATTTTGAGTTGGTTTCCATCCTTCTTCATTGCGCCAGAAACTCCTTATTTTATAACTGTTTGTGAAATAATATAATTGAAGACATGGTGTTTAAATGTAATATACAATCAGGTAAAAATTGTTAGATTGCTAGGCTCCCATTCTTTCTCCTTTTTTTTTTTTAATTTTCTCTCCCTGTTTCATCTAACATTTACAAAAGATCCTCCATTTTCCACAATGTTTTTTTCAAATTAATCCTTTTTTATTCACACACTTTTTATGTAATTTATGCTCCAGTTTCTCTTGAACGTCTCACATTTAGTGACTGACTTCATTGTTTCCCGGTCCCTCCCTTATTTCATCCTGTTTGCATAGGTGATTCAAGCTTCAGGTTCAGTCAAAATCAACGGAAACAACCTTGCAGGAACGATTGGATTGAACGATTTTTCAATGTCATTGAAATGGAGCAATGTTGGTAATCTGCGGATGTACCTGATTCAGGTGACTTTTTGTTACGCAAGATGCATATTGTTAGTGATAATAATGACTGAATTGACTTTTGATCCTCCAAGAACAACTTTTTCACAATTTGCTTTCCCCAAGAGTAAGCATCCCACGTCAAACTCAAAAATTTTGTTTAAAAAGAATCCTCAAATTAAGCCTGTTGACATATGTTTTGCTAGATAATTGATGTTGCCTAATAGATTGAGTGATGCGGCTGTTTAAATACTTTTGTGGCCACCAGAACTATGTGTTTTAAAAACCTCGGTCACTTAAATGCATAGTGTGGAAAAATGCATGTGCTGCATTTCAATTGGCTCATTTTATGCGGCCACATCACTTATCATGTTAACAGTTTTTTTTTTTTTTTTGCGCCAAGTGTTAACAAGGTTAGTTGAGGACTATTCTAAATCGAAAACATGTTGGGAGAACTAAAATGAGACGTATAATGTTTGGGAGACCAGATTGAGAAAAATACATGTACAGAGGATCAAAAAGCTGATTCAGTCATGAATTTAACATCTTTTATTAATGAAATGTGTTTTATTCTCTTGGACTGCAGCCAGTTGTGTGGACACTGATTCAAACTGTGTTCTTGCCATATGCCAATTCACATCTCAGTAAAGGTTTCCCTTTGCCCATTATCCATGGCTTCACCTTACAAAATGCAGAGATAATCTTGTCAAATTCAAGAGTCACCGTTTGCAGTGACGTTGTTTTTGCAGAACCACATAAACTTATATTGAAGTCTTTGACCTATCTTGAGTAGATAGGTTTTTGTTTTTGTTTTTTCCTTTTTTATCGGTACTTGTAAATATTCAGAACAGAGTACACTGTTGCATGTGTCTACGTATGCATTTTTTTATATTTTGGAAGGGTGATGATGCGACCTTCATGCCAAGATGTACAAAATACAGACTCTGTTGAATGCTGCAGCTTGTGTACAACAACAACAACAAGTCTTATCCCACTAATTGGAGTCAGCTATATGAATTGTATGACGTTATTGTACTCTATCATTTATTAAGTTTTTAGAAATGTTATTAACTGAGAAGTCTTGGTCAACAACTTTAAGAATGTTGCGGCTTGTGTATATTCTTCAAATTTCAATTCCAATTGATTTTTTTTTTGTTTTATGAAATTGTTGGGAGAGGTATTCACATTTAATGCTCGATTGTTCCTTGATCATGATTGCCTCCAATAGAATGGTGTTAAAATATCATATATGGTCATTTGAATTATTTGCTAGATTTTGACATTGGCAGAAAGAAACATTTTTATTTAAAAGCAGCTTCTCTCATTATCTGATGACATACTTCTAAGTCAAGGTTTTGTGGTGAATTTCGGTTGTAGATGTTAGTTTTTTAGGGTTCAATGTCATCTTTGAGTAAAAGCCAAGTGGAAATGGAATGATCAAATTTTACGTGAACTCTTCACACCTCTAAACTAGTAGTAAGTTTAGAGGTCCTGAAAAGTGAAAACTATTCAAATGTCACTAACTGAATTTGATGTTGTTTGGTTTTAGAGGTTTAGAGGCAGATGATTTGTTTATGCGAAGAGTAAGAGCTCAATTGCCTATATTTCATTCTTTATATTTGAGGAAAGATACCACCTTGACTAACCATGATACTTCCTAATTAATTAAACAAATTCCTCTAATTAATGGCTTTTACTGAGGCTAATTTCAAGATTTTACAAGAAATAATTAATTTTAACCTTTCATTATATTTTTCTTAAGTTATAATCTCATTATCTTGATTTTGTAAGAATACTTTCTGTAAGAAGTTTCTATTCAATTATCTCCAACTCCAAGCTTCTCATCTCCAATAAAACATTAATTTTTTAATTAGGTTAAGAATCATTTTTTACTTTAAATTATATACAAAAGGTTACAAACACCTCTAAATATAATTATGGGTCAATTCTATTTTTTAATTTGAAAGATTTTTTTTCATCATTCTGTTGTTTTCTCATCATTAATTGATTATTAGTGGGCCTCACATTGTATTTCTTAATATTTTTTTATTATAAAATATTTGAGTTAGGGGCAAAATGACCATTCAAATAAAAGTTGAGAGGTAAACATGACTCATAATTTGATAAAAAAATATTAAAAAAAGTAGTGAGACTCGTTAATAACTAACAACTGTTAAATGTTTTAAATATTAAGATGATGACGAAGGTAATTTTTAAAGTTAAAAGACAAAATTAACTCATAGTTAAGTTTAGAAATATTTATAACATTTATATACAATTCAAGTATAAAAATTATCTTTAATCCTTCTTAGTTTATGAAAACTAATATGACATGTTATTATTTCCTTGGATTGTGTTTACCAAAAACAAGTTATAATAAATTATATGGATGAGTTTGTTATAAATAAGGATGAAGGTAATATTATTATACTTCTACAAGTTTTATTAAGTTTGTTGACATGACGTTATTGCCACATACATATTGTAATGTTATGTATAATGCAATTTGAAGAAACATAATTGATAAACATACAAAAATTAATGGTAATATATTTCCAAATCATTGAAAAGATTCTATTTTCATCATTGTTCCCCCAAAAATTTTCTTTAGTAATTTTTTTTTTTTTAAATGTTATCTCTACATGTGCAGACAAAGTTAGCCTTACCCTGTTAGATGTTGCAATGCCCATTGTGAAGCAAAAGCCGTTTGGGTCCCCAGTATCTGCGTTCTCCAGGCTAACCCGAAAAGGTCTCTTAAACCTCTTAAACCCTTCATGTCCTTCTCCTTAAAAACGCAAGAAAATGCAAATCTCTTTAACCAATTCAGCCTTCAGGACCCCTTCAATTTTCCCATTTCATCTGTCCATTTTAACGCAAAAGCCATTGACCCACAAAATTCCAGTGCAGACCCCCTTGAATGCTGTCAAAAGGTCAGAATATTTATCGGAAATCAGCAAAGCAATCGATCAAGAAGAACAGTATCGCATAGCTCGCTCTCAGGTTCTTCGCAAAGGTGTGGACTTGGAAGGTTATACGATTGAGGGGCTTTCTATTGGTGGCCAAGAGACCTGTGTAATAATTCCCGAGTTTAAGTGTGCTTTCGATATAGGGAGGTGCCCTACGAAGGCTATTCAGCAAAACTTCGTTTTCATCACTCATGCTCATCTTGACCACATTGTAAGTCACTCTACCTGCATTCATGTAATTTAGATAGATAGATATATAGATACAAAGAGACTGCACTATTTTACTCTAATTTTGTTAACGTAGAGGATTTGGATTCTTCCACCTCCAATTGTAAACATTTATTTGATAATTTTATCAGCGAGCGTGTTTTTGTTCCCCAAGTAAAGTAAGATATGATATTCCAAGTTAATCATAAGTTCAAAGACTAGTTAGTGCATAAGCTAGTTGCTGAAAATTACAAATTCAAGGACAAACTGGTGCATGAACTAATTTTGGCAATTGAAAGCCATATTGACACAATATTCGACGGACTAATGTGTTGGTTTGTTCCTTTGTTTATTTTTGAGGAATTAGTAAATGGAAAGATGTAAATTGCACTACATGTGTGTTCTGATTGGATTATATGGTACTGTTTCTTGAATGAACTCAATGAAGCCACGTTTACGCTAAATTGAATGGGAACTTGCGAAGTTTGTTTGCCTGAAGACAGACAGAATTATTACTCCTAAAAGATGGGTATATAAAGCATGAGACTATTTAAATTGTGATTTGTCTGATCATAATCATATTAACTTGGATAGATACTCTATTGATAAACGGCTAAAGCTTAAGATATTCTAATATTTGTTTTTGTTACTATTCATTGCTATGAGTCTTAGTTTTGGTTTTCTACTCAAGTACTTTAATTGCAAGTTGTATGCTTTCTCTGTCTCTTCTATATTTGGTATTGATTGTAAAATTTTTAGCGTAAAGCTTTATTGGCATTTAATGTTGTAGGGAGGGTTGCCAATGTATGTAGCCAGCCGTGGTTTATACAATTTAAAGCCTCCTACTGTATTTGTGCCTCCTTGCATCAAGGATGATGTTGAGAAGCTGATGGATATACACAGGACAATGGGCCAAGTTGAATTAAACCTTGAATTGGTTGCTTTGGACATAGGTTTGTGTCATTGCCTTACTTCAGTGATAAGCTTTTTCCTTGTTTATCTTTCAGGAAATTATTAGAGAAGTTTAATTGCAGGGGAAACCTATGAGTTACGTAATAACCTTGTTGTCCGACCATTCAGAACACAACATGTAATACCCAGCCAGGTATATTTGTTTAGTCTTTCTTCAGCTTGTGTTTTAAGGTTTTTGAAAGAAGAAGAGAAGTTTATTGATTTTGGCTCCCAGTATATGTATCATCATCCATACATAATATTGCATGATGTTGCTCATCAATTAATTTTCTGTAAATTCTACTCAGGATATTTCTGTTTGTGTAATCTGATGCTGCTGTACTATGTGTTGTACTTGATGTCCCTTCACTATTTTATTTTCCAAAAACATTTTGATTTTGAACAAGTTTTTCTAAAGGATAACTAGATAAGGGTCCTTTGTACCAAAGGAATGAATCGCGTTGTTCGTGGCTCATGAATAATGTAGCTTATGAGAATTTTGATATTTGACTATATTGATATATTGTGATAGAGTAAAATGATGTCTTATAATTCATGTACCAACCCCACCTAGTAGAATAAGGTTTGTTGTTGTTGTTGACTATATTGATATATTGATAACAATGAATACAATGAGCTCCTAGAAATTTATCTGTGCATGACAATCATGTTTAGAAATGGGAATCCTCTGCATGTACATTTTGTGGAAGAATTCTGTTAGGTATCTTCACCCTTGATACAAGAAAAATCCCAACTTGATATTATGCAGGGTTACGTAGTATATTCAGTCAGGAAAAAACTCAAGAAACAGTATATTCACCTCAAAGGGAGTCAAATTGAAAAATTGAAGAAGTCTGGTGTTGAGGTCTGTAATGACGGAAACTTGATTCTGTGCCAAAGCTTTTATGATATATACTTCTAAAGATAAAATCTCCATTCTAGATTACAGACACTATATTATCTCCAGAGGTGGCCTTCACTGGTGATACAACCCCAGATTTTATGCTTGATCCACGCAACGCAGATGCACTTAGAGCAAAAATTCTTATAACTGAGGTAAAGCAAGATCATTTTATGTTAATGAGGACCTTTATTCTGTTTATACCTTTGGTCTGCTTACAAACTTGAAAACTTGAGCATCTGAATTCCTTATAAATAGACAATGGCTGCATAGGTTTACAGGCTGAGGTGATTCTTAAGAAGCTTAAGATAAGCATTGGTGATAAACCTATTTATGTGGAACTCCAAATGGATTAGGAGTTGATCTTTTCCAGAGACTAAGTGTGTGTTTGGTTTTTAGTTTACATTTGGCAAAAGCACATTTGGGGGATTCAATTATTTGTTGGATTTGCCAAAAACATATCTTGAATGTAGTTTAAATGTGCTTTTGGCAGTTACCCAAACGGGCCCTACGTTTATCATTTTTAAGTCCTAAGAGTTTACCAAATTACAATTATGCAGGAGTCCTAATTATCTTTTACTGTTATCTTTAAAAGCTTATTGTGGTTAATCTCAAGATTTTTATACATAAATAAGGAGAGTCATGGAGGGTAATTGTCCAATCCGTGTGGCTGGTCCATGTATGTGCGAGTCTTGTTATCCTTTATTTATGTCCTTTCTTGAATTTTGGAAGCATGGCTCTGGACCAGGTTTAACTTTATTGATATAGACTCCTAATTTGACCTATCTGTTTTTTAGAATGGATATTTTCTCTCCTCCCTCCATTTTTTATGCTTTAAGCAGGTCAATTTCATTTCTTGAGCTCCTTCTCTCCAGGGAATTTGGGATTAACTATCTCATGTGATCTCAATTAGAGTGAATCTCAACAGAGTGGAAACCAGGGTGAAAACTATGCCATTACACTTCTTATGGTGTTCAATGGGTTGGAACCTCGTGTGGTTTTGCCTGTTTGACACACCAAATTAAATGAATTAGAATGAAGACTAGTTCTTGAGATTAAAAGACAGAAAATAAAAATTGAATCTTGCGCCCCTACTTCAAAAATAATAAAATGATGTTAAGTTTTTTTAGAAATAGTTACAATGACGTGATAAATATTTCAAATTGCAACTAAATAAAGAAAAGTGGTTCTCTTTCCTTAAGTGGGGCCTCAGAGGGAATTTAAAGAGACTGCAAGGTCTTTTTTGACTTTGTAGTTCATGTATTTTGGTCAGTTGATAACATTGTTTAAGCCAAAAGCTGGTTAACAGGCAACTTTCCTGGATGAGTCATTCAGCACAGAACATGCTCGGCAACACGGCCATACACATTTATCTGAGGTAATATGAAGTCTGCATACTCTTGGGTTCTTCATAGGCAGCTTGACATAATTTAAGGAGCATAAAGATGAATTGTTGCTTCTCTGATCTCCCATGCCTTCCTTTCCTCTTTATTTTGCTATTTTGTATAAGACCAAGGTTATAGGTATTTATTTTAAATTCTACCAATATCATCCAGTCTTGATTTTATCATTATCTTTTTTGCGGCTAAACATAGTGACGGATGGGTTCGACTAGCTAATTATCAGGAACGCGTGATGCTTTGAAGCCAATTGATCATATCCAAGATAATAAAGATGAACTTCTAATCCGCTTTGACAATCTGGTTTATGCCTGAATGTTGTATTGAGTTACTTCCTCGTAAAGGTAAATTTGTATTCAATTTTGCAGATAATTGGAAATGCTCAATGGATTCGGAACAAAGCTGTTCTATTAACTCATTTTTCGTCAAGATATAATATAGAGGTAACCTTGTTCTCTTTTCATAGTACTGCTCTACGTTTGCATATACTGAACTTAATAGTTTTTAACACACAAATACACACACACACACGCATGCCATGTCAAGGGTAAAACCCTCAACCTTATGGTTAGTAAAGTCATGATGGTGCCATCAAGGCATATATAGACAAGTAATCTGATTGATTTTGTCATCATCTCTTGAAATTTGAATTTATCACGGAACTTCTTATCCTATAATATTCTTGGTGCTAGAAAAGGTTTACTTGTCTCAATTACAAAGAAATTGCATTACTTCTTAAGAATTCAACCAGTACTTCTGAGCTTAAATTCCGTCATCTTTAGGACATTCGTCAAGCTGCATCTAAACTGCAGTCAAAGCTATCCGCAAAAGTGGTCCCTCTCACTGAAGGTTTCAAATCGAAGTATTCGTAAGTGTTAGAACCATCTGAAGTTTGCCGTGCTGGGAAATTGATGGGAGGGCCAAAAAGAGGGAAAAGAAACAAAAGAAAAGGCTCGCATCTACCATGTAAGCCTCCCCTGAATTTCAGGTGAGTTCTAAAGATACGATTTATATGTATTCGAAGTCAGTTTAATCATCAGTATATTGGCTAGTGTAGGCCTGTGATTAGTTGAATTGTAATAACATTTGATAGTTCAATTGTAAATTATGAAGATGTAATCCTTCTTCTGCCTTTTCGTGTCATGTATCGTTTAAATCCTTATCATGCACCGTAGTATTCTGAGAGTAATGCCACTGCCTTGCAAATTACAATTAGTGCAATAAGCTAGCTGCCTAGCTGAATGGATGACATACAGTTACACACAAACTTTCATATAAACCTAATCCTTCGGGCTTTCATTTTCATTTGCTCAAAATCTTCTCAGCCTCTTGCTGCTGCAAAGCCTCGGATTTGGACTTTAGTATTAAATTACATCCCTCAACTTCATTTCTCTTTATGGTAGCACTAACTGCTTGATCCCCATTCTGGTGTTGAAATTGTCATATGGATATGTTGATCTTTGGGATGAGATCCTAACGATCTTAATATAATTTTGATGACCTAGATTTACTTTTTAAAATTTAAAGTCTCTTTCCGTTTTTCCCCCAAAAAATGAAAATTAAGTTTCTCTGTTTAACGGGCTTCTGTCTAATTAGACAATTTGGATAGTGCAACCTAGAATCCGATTTGTTGAAGCTGTGGTTAAGAGTTTCTCTTTGTTTATTCGCAAGTCACAACATTGAGTTGTGCTGTGTTCCTTGGAAGGGAACCAGATCCTCTCAGAATATAGGTTTCTTAGTCTCTCAATAGCAAAGTCCTGTACGTCTAAGTAATCAAAATGCCCCACTGTACACATTGCATGGCTTTTAAAAATACATGTGAATAGTTTGTTTTTAGACAATAAATAAAATACATTTTGATTGATTATATGTAGGAGTGGAAAGATGTGACGTTAGACTTTGGCTGAATAAGCCAATCTATTTATATAAATAAGTCTAATTATAAGTTTAAATAAAGCTAGACCAAAATTTAAATAGGTCAAATTGTAAGGCCTTTGCAGGCATATTTTTTATTTTGATATTTTAATAAAACTTGATTTAATAAAATTATAATATATTATATATGGATTTACTTATATTTATATAATGGAAGAAATATTATTCATTTCATTACTTATATAAATATAGGCCTAGAAACTTTGAATAAATAGACTTGCTTGCTTATTTAAATAAACTTAGTTGTAAGCCTTTGTTTGGCCTTTTTATTAAATATGTAGGATTAGGCCCTGATAATGTGTGACCTAAAATTAAAAAAAAAAAATTGGGGTGAACCAATTTTCCAGCCAACCCAATTAAAAGTCTTGGATAAATTAATTGAATTGGATTTTATATTTTTTTCTTTTCGCATGAAACATCATCATTTTGAGTTAATAATAATAGTTGTAGTAGTTTGTCACAAATCGTGGAGATTTTAACCATTTGGATGTACAAGATTTTGCCGCTAAAAGACAATGGGAAAATTGGATTATGAGAGAGGATCTAGATTCCCGAATCCTGATTCCTGGTAACTCTCAATCAAGCGGATGTTATTAAGCTTTGGCAGAAACGTGCAGGCGGATAACTTTCTTTCTCCCTTTAAACTACCTTTTTTTGGGCCAAAACAGAGTCAGTTTTATTAATAGCAAAAAAATGAGTACAAACACTAATGGTTGAAGTCAAAAGAAGTCTCCAAAAAAACAAATGGTACAAGTTAACACTCAATTAAACCAGAAAAAACGAAACAAACATAAACACAAACACAGCAAAAACCAATTCAGCAACAGACTAAACCACTAACAGACAATGTGACCAAAAAAAAAAAAAACCACTAACAGAAAAAGCATCAACCAATACAAGTTCTATCAAGAGCGGCAGAAGAAACATTGTTGGCAGTCAGAGTCAGCTGGAAGAAACACTAAAAACGAGGATGGTGCCACTGAAAGCCATCATTGCAGATCCATCCTCTTGGCCTGCATTATTACCTTGGCAAGCGACCAAAGCAAAATCCACTCAACCCACTGACTTCTTGAGGGCTAACACGTCCTCTAACACATTACGGCAACGCCAATCACAGCCTTTCAAGAAATCTCAAATCAAAATATTTAACAAAGGCTCACAATCTACCTCAATGCATACCTGAGAGTTCCCAAGTCTTCTGCTTGCCAATAAAGCTTCCTTAATAGCAACACATTCAGCCATGAGGGCCAAGGCAACATTCACTGATCTGCAAAAGCCACTGACGGAGAAAAAAAAACTACTAACGGCACCACTGATTATATTCAGTATGATTGAATGACATCTTTTTGCAGCAGCGTTGAATTTTACATGCAACTACATGTGTTCTTGAACTTCTTTTAAGTTTGGAGAAATTTTTTTTATTTTTTGAAAAAGCTATGACTAGACCTAGAATAGTATATTAGAGAATCATTATATTAAAAACTAAAATACATAAAACTCTCATGAACTTTAAGACAATTGTATATGACTTCCTCATTTTTCAATATCTAGAATTAACCCTCATGATTTTTCCTTTTGTTTTTCAAAACCACTACAATTAATAAATTATTATTTTATTAATATAATTATTGACATGTCACATTAATACAATACACATGGTACATGACATAAAAAATATTTTTATTATTTTTTAACACAATTAAGGAGAGGCAAAATTGTAGTTTTTATTTTTAACACACATGATGTTTTTATCTTTTTTTAGTTGAGCAACATTTTTCTCATTTTCATAGGTAACATAATTTAAAAGAAAATTATCATTTTATTATTTTTTATCAATTAAAACAGTCTTTTATATTAAACAAATAAAAAGAAAAATATTTAAAAGCCGTCATTGATAAAAAGCTATATAAATTTTGTTACCTATTTTATTCATTTTCTTCAAACTCTTATTTGTTTGTAGTTGTTATTTTTTTAAAAATAAATTTTTCGGTACTTGTTCAAACAAAAAGTATGTTCTGCTTTAGAATAAGGTATTTTTTTGCTATTAATGATTCATATTGATTTTGTTAAAAAAAAACTTGCAAAATATCATAGTTTTTTTGTATTAAAGGATAAATTTTTATTTATATAATTTTTATCAATGATAGCTTTTAAATATTTTTTTTATTTGTTTAATATAAAAGGCTATTTTAATTTATAAAAAATAATAAAATTATAATTTTTATCATGAATTATATTATCCGTGAACAATGAGAACAATATTACTCAACTAAAAAAATAAGATCTTTATGCATGTTAAAAATAAAAATTATAATTTTACCCCTCTTTGAATTTGTTAAAAATAATTAAAATATTTTTTTCATATCATGTGTCATATGTATTGTATTAATATGACGTGATAATAATTATATTTATAAAATAATAGTTAATTAATGGCAAGGGTTTTGAAAAACAAAAGGAAAGATTAAGGGGGGTAAATTTAAACATTGAATGATGAGAGAAGTCAAATGTAACTGTCTCAAAATTTAAGAGATTTTTATACATTTTTAACTTATATTAAACACATGTGAGATGGAGTCATGAGAGACAACATGCAAATATTTTTTTTTATTTTTTGGTTACTCACAACAACAAGTATCTTTTTATTAAAAATAATTTTATTTGATACACTGTCAGATATTAAATATGGACATCTTTTTCAATAAAGATTTAAACATTGATTCATCACATTGCAAAGAACTAACCTCTTTCACTAGCTTTAACTCCATTGGTGAGATGCAAATAATTTATTTAAGCGATATTTTGTTATATTTTATTTTATTTTATTTTAATAAGGACACGAAGGTTATGTACTTATATTTCAATTTTTGATATAATTTTTCTCATTGTTTTTTGCCCCCATATTTAAGATCTTTCCATGACAATAAGAAATGAAAGAACAAAAGCTAAAATAGTACTAGAATTCTTAGCCTGACGCTCATTATTGTCCCAAAATAACAAAGCATATAACAGAAGTCGGAAGTAGAACCACTAAATGGGATCCTAATTTATTTTTGAAGTTTTGGTCAGAACTGAGGAGAGGGTTTGAGTGCTGAGAGGCTGGTTAAGGCAATAAGGGAAAATCGTAAAGACCCTCAGCATACAGCTCCCAGTTGGCTGGATCCCTCATGAAGTTGGCAAGCCTGGACTCATATGAAGTTCCCATGATTTCAGTGTACTGGTTCCACCAACGCATATAGCTGCTTTTCTTCAAGAAAATGTCTGGGGACACTTTGTACTTCCTCAGCAACCCATACACGTAATTCTCAAACTGTCGCAGTTTCTGCCTTTCCTCTTGCTTCTCCCCTTCCCTGCTAAACAATTTCCTGCATGAAATGAGAGCCTCTTCCACATGCGCCCAAAAGCAAGAATCTACAGTCAATAAATTTTCCACATTCTGTTTACTTCTCGACTCGGGATTTTTCTCATCTTCCAACCACATCTCTAGCTTCTTATAATGCTCAGATCTTCCGCAATTCATATAGTTATCTCTGTGACCATCTCCGTAGTACTGAGCAATGTCTAATGGTTCCACCATCCGCCTATAATAAGTACCAGCATAAAGCCATTTGGTACGAAATGCAGCGCCTTCTTTCTGGGGCTGCCTCGTTGCCTCCTCGACCATGTCTTTCCAGTAATTGTTGAGGATTTTGACGAACGTGACAACGTCTTCGTCCCCAGGAGACCTACGCTTTCCATTAATGGGCTTGTAACTGTCGTAGTACCCTGTCCTCCGATTCTTACTATTCTTCTTGTACCATTCCATATTTGTCATATCTATTTCCATTTCAACAAGTTTCCTCCCGGGGACAAACCATTTCCGCTTCTTCAGAATCCACTGACGTTCTTCTGTTTCCAAGTATTCTACCAATTTCTTCATATCCATATTCTGCTACAACAAATTGAAAATCTAGCGATCAGAAAAAAGTTGGATTTCCCTTTTTAAACAAATATATATATATATATATATATATTGTTCAACGCTCTTCACATTAAATCTTTTAGAATCACACTTCCACCCAAAAAAAAAAAAAATCTTTAAAAATCACACAATCGGGCGGGTGCTCATTAGACCTGTGCCTTTCATTTTATCTCAAAAGGATCTCAACTGTTCATTTTAAATTGATTTTTAAATATTTTAAATATTATATCTCAAAATAAGAATTTATAAAAATTACAAAAAAATCATATTAAAATTGTATTGTCTTCCGTGCTCACTAGATCATTTAGATTTAATTTTTATTTTTTTATTTTTTTATTTTATATTTATTAAAATAAAAATTTATAAAAATTATAAGACTTTAATAAATTTGTTCATCACTAACTTGATTCATAATGACTTAATCTTGACAATTCAATTTAATGTTAAAAATTTATCAATTTTTTATAAATTAATTATTTAATTTAAATATACTCTAAATGTGAAGTACAGATGTATATAAGAGTTTGGTCTGACACATGGATTCCAGGTTTTCCTGCTGCTGTCGCTACTGATAAAAATCTAAAGATGGCAGATTTAATTTCAAATCGGGCTTAGAACTAAATTCCTCTTCAGGCCTCTGCTACTTAGGATACAATAGATAATATCAAAAAAATTTAACTCTTTGACCATAATACTATATTAAAAAAATATTTATCTTAAAATAATTTTTATCTTTTATTTGAAATTGATTTTTAGTATTCTAAAATTATATTTGTTAAAATAAAAATTTATAAAAATTATAAAAATACATTGGTCTACTTAGAGTACATTTAAATAGTTAGTTTATAAAATTATAAAAAAATAGTTTTAAATTGAAATGCCCAGATTATATTTAAAAAAGAAAAAACAGCAGAAAATCCTTCCTTGAAAAAGGAGCAAACAGAGTCTACAAAGCCTAGACAGAAAGCAAAACAGATCATAAAACAGCAAGAAAAGTCATAAGCCAATGTGGCAGAGACCTAAAACAAAGAAAACAAAACCAAGCCACAAAGTCAACCAATGCCTTCTCTATCTCTGCTCAGCACAATATGCTGGCAAGATGATTGAAGATGATCTGAGTCCTTAGCAATAATAGCTGCAAGAGGGCGTGGTGGGCCGGAAACCTACCCATTTGAATCCACTCCTTTTAAAGAAGAGGCTCTAACTAGTTAGCAACAGAGTTCCCACCCCATTTGATAAACGAGAAAGAGAGAAAATGCAAGGACTCAAGAGTGATCAACATATCTTCTAGTAACCCATGAAAGGACCAAGAGCAATAGATTACATCTTTATGCATAATATAGCTCGAAAAAGCTCAAGACGATCAAATTCAATAATGACTTTGCTTCTGTTGAAGTCAGACGCTAGATGAATTGCCTTCCTACAACCTAAAAGTTCAGACAAGAAACTTGAATTCACATCAACAAGCTCTCTCCATCCCCTTAGAAACATGCCAAAGCCATCCCTAGCAATGACACCGATTGTAGCCTTGTTAGTAACACGCGAGAAAGCTCCACCACTACTGATTTTTATGGTCCCAAATTTTAGAGGTGTCCAAGCAGAGTTGAAAGTCTCAGTAGCAGAAGAAATAAAGGGCTCATAATGGTTACTCTTCCAATATTCCTCTACACCAGCATTAGTTGAACAAATAACGTGAGATGGATTTAATGCAGCAGTATTGAAAACTGATGCAAATCTGGTCTTCCTTACATATGTTCCAACATAAACACGGCATGTAAGGCTTATCATAATCATCAATTAGATTATTATCCTCCAGAAAAAAGCAGCACCGGTTTTCAAAAGAAGACACGCATTGGATCCATGATTAATGTCAGGGGCGAGCCACACCATATTTCCCTTGACCATTCACAAAGTAGTAATAAATGCTCTATGGTCTCCAAATGAAATTTGCAAATCGGACATAGAGGATCCGCTGCACATTTGCCAGAGAACAGAGCCTCCTTAGTCATAATAGCACATTCAACGCACTCCACAGAAAGTGCCTGACTTTAAGATGAATTTTCAAATTCCAAACCTGCTTCTAAAGAATCATTGGGAACCCTGAGGACGTGCTTGGAGCTGTCCTGATCATAGGATGCTGATGCGCGTACTCCAGTGTATACCTAAGTTTAGGGGAATATTTACCATTTTTTCACCTATCCAAACACCATTAGCGGAGAGATGCTCAGGAATAAGAATTTTTTGGCTTTTTGACCACAATACTCTATCTAACCTTCTTCCCACCCTCAAATATCCTATTTGAGCTAGTTCTATGGGAGTAATGTTAAGCTTTTCTTTTTCCTTTTTTTTTGGGGGGGGGGAGCCTTTAGGTTCAAACTTATAAGCTTGTTTGACATTAAATACGTGTTGTTTAAGTTGGTTTGATGATGATAATCATACTGATATGGGTTAATCCAAAACCCTAGACTAGTTGAATGATGATTAGTGTGTTTTAAGGTTAAATTTAAGTTTAAGAAATGTAATGAGATGAGGATGATTAAGTTTAATGATTAAATCATGTGAGAGTATTAAGATTATGAGATTTATTAACTAATCCTATGATTAAGTTATGATTAGTGATTAAAAACTTGTATTAATGATAATTAGTATTGCATTGTATTGTGGTGTTAGCATTGTTGAAGGTGAAAGATCGCTTGTTTGACAAAATTTACATGCTAAAGGTAACCTCTGCTACTATGTTGTAGTGTGTGTCATGTGATTAGATATGTGTCTGCTTTTTATGATAATGCCTATTGAAGTATTATATGGGAAATGTATATCTATTGTTTGGAAACATTATTGATAGGGGGATGATAAATTTTATATGATTATCTTTGGAATGAAATTATGATTGTGGTGGAAAAATGGTTTACTATTAGCAGTTTTAGTTGTTCAGAGATCCTGCATGCATGTCATGTGCAGGTTTTATTAGAAGGGAGACTTATTATTGACATTTGAACTAGTGTTACATGGTATGCCCTCATTTAGACACAATGAGTGGCTTCTACAACTTGAACTGACTTACCTTTTGCTAGGTAGGTTAAGTGTCAAGCACAAAATTTGGTATATTAAGAAAGGAGGAAATAAGTTGCTAGTAATGCATCCATTGTTTGGTTTGCTTGCATATAAATTGTTTGAAGATATATTTTGTATGTCCACTTAGTGGACGCATAATTAGTTACATTACATGCATCATGACATAGTAGTATTAGTTACTAGGAATTAGTTACTAGGATCTTTGTATCTCTTTCCTTATGGTTAACATTTTTACAAAAGCAGGTCCAGCTAGAGAATCACTGAAGGCATAGTGGTAGTGTGTGGGACACTATGTCTTGTTAGGCCTCATTTAGATGTTAAATGTATAAATTGCCAACCATAAGGCTTGTATTGTGTACTTGAGCATATAAGCTCTTAATTTTTGATGAACATGTCTGGCGTTAGCCATGAGGTAGATTTTGATACTCATAGTTTCATTTGAATATAACTGACGTGTTAAAAAATGTTTAGAAGATGAGATTTACTTATAGTAATTTATGTTTAGTTATATATAAATTGTGTTGGGAGACTGTAATCCAACTATGAAAATTTTATGTGCATGAATAAATTGTTGAGTTGTAGATGTTGTTTGGATCATCAATGTTGTTGTCAAGTTGTTCACATAAGGCTATAAGCTTTAGTGCTAGTTTGTAAAGTGAAATGTTTGGAAGTCGGGTTTTGTGGCCCTTAATAGGTTTTGTGGATAAAAGTCCGATATGGAGGAAACACCTGAATCACCCAAATGAGACATTTATAGTGAGAATTATGTATGATTAAAATTCATAGTTACTATTCATTATGTCATAAGTATTATATGTGCACTTCCATCATTATGCATGGTTGTTTAACCGCAGCACACGACACAATGAGTTGTTGGTCGCAATTTACCTTCGCTATGATGTTTGTCGTGGTGCACCTATCGTTAGCCGCAATGAACAGCACAAATTTTCCAAAATTGCCCCTTTTGATATCTTTTGTGTCTAGAAAAGTCCCTTTGACACTTTTAGCCTTAAACAAAATTGTTTTGGACTTTTCTATACTTGGAAACCAAGTTTCACTCACATTTATGATTTATATCATTTTTTTGGATTTTAAACACTTGTATTTATACCATGATTTATAACATTTAGTACACTTTATTATTTAGGAAACTTTTAAATTATGATGGTAAACTTTATCCATTATGATCAATTCTTTTTACCATGATAAACTCCTTTCTACTAGAGTAGTCAGTTTAAAAATATTTTACTAAATTAAAAAAAAAATCAGTTTCTATCATGGTAAATCTTTATAAAATTAATTTAATTTTTAATTATCATAGTAGACTCATTTCTATCATGATAAAATTTTAAAAAAATAATTTTCATTCTTTTTATAATCATAAACTCTTTATCACCATGGTAAGGTTTGTAAAGTATCTCTTATTTTTTTAAAAATAATAAATACTTTTCTATCATGATAAGTATTTCACAAGCGGTGCTTTATGTTAATTAAAATTATTTTAAAATAAATTGATTAAAAATTTTAAAGGGTTACAATTTGATCTTCCTAAGAGAAGGAAGTTCCTCTGTGTTCCTTGGGAACATACACCTCCCAAGCCTATTTAAATGGAATGGGTATGTTGGCAGCTCCAGCGCGTGAAAAGGGCATAGGTACAACGAACCATCATGATTGGTGGGGAAAAAGGAGCGAGGTTCATCCTTAAAGAAAAAAAAACGTAATGATAATGATTCAACCAACGAGTTAGAAAAGGGCTACATTTAGCAACTTGACTCAAATCATAAACACAAGAAGCCAAAACACAATATGTACTAGAAGCGCACGTAGGACTTGAGAAAAGCAAGAGTGTTCAAACCTTATGAATCGAAAAAGAATAATGAGAATCAGAAAACAATACAAAACTTGGAGACAAAGATACCCTACAAATAGAAATCAGTACAAGGAAAGCTTGGTTTACCTTATTGATAGGGGAAGATGATGAAGCCATTACAGACAAAGAGTCGGAAAGATTGAGAGAAGTTTGTCAGAGAGCAAAGAAATTCAGAGACTCAGGTAAAAGTAAAGTAAAAGAGTGGCTTAAGCTTAAATGAAGTCCTGGAGACCCAAGCGAGCAAAGCACTTAGGGAAATGATGGTTGTACTTTGGGAAAGTGCGCAAATTAATCATTACCCACACATGAGTATGACATGTGGCCAGAAATTTAAAGCCCTGTTTGTTACAAGATATTAAATTTTATGAGATCGAGACTGAGACTAAGAATAAGCTTTAAAATTATATTTAATATGATATAGGGTTAAAAAAAATAAGACTCAAGTTTAACCACAAAAAATAATTAAAAGTTAATATTGCCCTCATCTTCTCCATCATCATCCTCACCAGTGAACATCATCATCCTCACCGGCGAACATCATCATCCCCACTATTGAAGCATATTTTCATTTGTAGAAAGCCAAAAAAAAAAAAAATCAAACAAGAACAAGAACGCAATGACATCGAACAAGAATGCACAGAGCCCAACCTAAAAAAATTCATACATCCCTTTTTCGAAGAGCAAACATAGCAACGCAACTCATGGATCTAGGATTGAAGATGGCGTTATGGCTAAATCAGAATCAAAAAATTGATTTCATGAACCCCTGATGAGGAACCCAACTTAATGAACCCAGAATCAAACGAGAAACGATGATGAGGAACGATGATGAACCAAGAAACGAATGACGGATGGCAAGGAATCTCTCAACCCCTGCCATCTCCGCTCCTATTTGCACTCGCGTCAACATCGTTGGTGGAGGGTGGCTCTGTCTTTATCTCCCCTTGCTCTTGTTCCACCCCTATCACACTACGGCGATGACGGCCATCCTTGTCATCGCCAAAGTCATCTTTCATGGAGGAGTATGTGAGGTTAAGGATGATGACGGAGATCCTGTGTGTAATGACAGAGGAGGAGTAATCATGGTTTCAAGAAGGGAATGAGTCTAATTGGCCAACTTTTTTATGAGGGCATTTCAGTGATGAAATTTTCAATCCCAGGATTGAAATTGCAGTACTAAGGGAGGTGTTAATGGATATTCCTATCAAGATGGGATTGGGTTTGAAAATAAATTTACTATTACCACCTACCAAACATAAAAAATTGGCATTCTCCAAGCTCAAACCCAGTCCCACTTAGCCAGTCCCACATACCAAATGGGCCTTAAGGATTATCTAAAATGTGTGCAGACATTTCTCTCCCTTGATGCTAAAACGTCACGCACGAGGGGGTGGGCAATTCTTTGGCCTAGTTTTGGCGCCCCTAAGAGAGAGGGATTGGCCGAAGCCGAAACCAATTCCATAGGGTAAGAGCCCATCGATTAACTTGCTTCATTAAAATTAAGCGGAACGTTGAGTTTAAGGGCCTCACAACCTGTTCTCACTCACTCACCATAACCCGAGATATATAGTGCATTAGCCCAAGTCTCTCCACATGATGAGGCGCGCCCTCAACTAGATGATGGCACAGATAGTTGTCTCCTCCTTTCAAGCGCTAGAATTCAAGTTTGAAAGAGCATGCTACTGCTCTTCTTTATAAACAAGGGCAAGCGTGTAACTCAAGAGCTCTCAATACTCTGCTCAATCAATTTTCTGATTTTGATTTAGCGGCAATGCTTTATTCATATTGGCTTAGGCTCCCTAGGCTAATAAACACCAATTGTACCTGCACACTAGACACTAGAAATGCAATTGATCCTTGTTTGCTGGTTGGCATACAACTAGTTTCTCATATTTCTCAGGCACTCCAAGAAAATTGAAGCAAAAGATCTTGGAAACTCACACAGTCGTTTAAGTTAATACAAGAAAAAAATGAGTTTTTGATTTTGCTTACACTTTTTTATTTTTAGAAACCACTTTTCAAAAAATATTAGGAGAATTACATTCAAGTTTCACTCAATATAATTAATTCCTCCTAAATCTATTGTATTTTTTTTTTTAATAATGAACGGTGCTATTTTAAAGAAATAGAAGAGAAATGGAGCTAAAAGAATTGGGGACACCTCACACCCCTGAGAATAGGTGATGAGGGTGAAAATTGAAGACAATAACTTACAATAGCTAAATGTAAAGTGTTATGGTGGAAGAATGAAAACAATTCTCCCATTTTTTTTAAATAAAAATAAAATAATTTTAGAAATCAAGTGAATTTAAAATAGCCATTCCAACAAATTATTTTATTTTATTTTTAAATTTGAAAGAACAGAGCTTGTTGGAGTTGGCTTCCCGCAGTAAGAAAATACCGCAAGTCCGGAAATTTGATAATTTTTCAAAATATATATTAATTGTATCCTTAAAATTTAATATCAGATTTTGCAATGAATACGCATGCAAGGGAAAACGCATTGGTAGGAAATAGGAATTACTAGGAAAAAAGTACGAGAAGCTTGTGTTAGACTGGCTACCTTGTCGCCTTGCGTGCTTAGTGCTAGTGCCGCCTCCATTGGTTCTCCGGCAGCCGACGTTCTGCCTTTCTCTGTAAGCCTGTGGATCCTTTGTTGTGCAGGAGCCTTTTTGTAAACCAACTTTAAAATGCCTGAAGTAAAGAAAAGGACCGGCTTGCATACAATAAAAGAAATAAGGGAGAAAACTAGGTTTGGTAAGGAAGTGAAAATAGGAGACAGCAAAACGTGCGGTGCCCTTTTCCTGCATATTGCATCGCTTTGCGCAGCAGGAGATCCCTTCTCCTGCAATTCTGCAAATCCTAGTTTATGCAACTGCAAATCGAGGCTTTTTTGCAGTAAATTATGGTAAGAGATGTTGCAAGCTGTGGAGTCTTTGCAGGTTGCATTACGCTCCAGATTTTCCACTACGTATCCATAACCTGGACTTTTGAATCCTTCCTTCATCGGACGCATTGCCTCCAGCAGCTTCTTAATAGAAGCAGGGCTCTCCACGCACGCAGAGCCATGATCAGAACATAAGAGATATATTCCGAAGGGCTCGTACAAAGTGGTGGAAGTCAACGAGAAAGGAAGCGGGTCCTCGCGAGACACTACATGCAGAAAGCAAGAGTTCCACCTGTAGCTTCGACGCACAGCTTGTTGCAGGTTTTGGTCACCAATAAGTGGAGAACCAAAGGTGATGCAGAGTGGATGCTTATCGCGTGGATTCACGGTATCAAAGAGCCATAAAGTGAAAAGAGAAGCAATTGATCCTCCAACCCCATGCCCTGTAACAATTAATGGTTTCTCGACATCCACCTGCATTTAACAAAAATCCACTTTTAACAGTTTAAAGTCGTCATAAGTCCTCACAGACCCACTGGCTTACCTAAAGATGAGTAGTCGAAGAATTACATACCTGGGATTTTAGTCGATGAAGCATTCGGTGATTTCTATCAAATAGGGAAATTGCAGATCGATTAAGATAGAACGGGGGGTTTCTCTCGGAAAAGAGAAATTGGAATGGGTTGTCAGAGAGGTCCGCTGAAGGAAGCAAATCGGGCTGAACATGAGTTTGGGGAGTCACAAAAGCTAACAGGGTCAAATCTGATTCATTGGTGACTTTTTTCCAGAGAAGTTCGCCGTTTGAATTGTTCTCAGCGTACAGGTCGGCGATAAGCTTCCATGAAGAGGAGAGAAGACCAGAGCTCGCCATAAAACATGCAGATTCCACTCCACTGCTGCATCTGCAATAAAAAAGAACAAGAAACAACTTGAAACTGAAGTAGGTTACTGTTGTAAGAAAACGGAATCAAAATTGTCATTCGCATACATTGGAGTTGGAAGATTCATCCTGAATATGCACAGACTTCACAGGAGTAACTCGGAAGGGGATATCCACTGATCGAACTCCCAACGGAGATGAGATGTTGTTTGGTTGATTTCCAATTAATCAGCTGATAGTTGCTTTGGAAGCTCAGCGGGAATCAGGTAGAAATGGTGTGTGGGGCAGTGAATTGTGTGAAGTATGGAACTTCCGATTCAATACGCGTCTCCAAGACAAAAAGGCGCGTTTGGCTTAACAAAATGCAAAGGGAAAATTAGTGAGAAGTCTTACATTGCTGTCAAATTCCAAATTCAAATCTTGTACAGTTACAATTTGATAAATAAAAATGATAATTTAACATTAAATTTACATCCAAATTATTATTTTCTTTTATCAATTTTTTATTTTCTTTTAATAAGTTATAATTGTTCAGGATTTAAAATTTAAAAATATTTTATATATTTTATGAGATCTTTTAATAATTATAATTTTTATAAGAGACTTTGAAGTGATTTTTTTTTAAATAAAAACAATCGGCAGTTTAGAAGGCTTTGAAGTGATTTATTTAATATTCAACTCTTCTTTTTCCCTTCAAAGTCCCATTTCCCTATATGACGTTGGATGTTGTTTATAAGGCTTTTTGCAAGTGACGTTTATAAGTTTTGATCTAATCAATGGCACAATGTTTATAAGTTATAATCAATGGCACAATGGCACAATGTCCCATTTCCCTATATGTTGTTTATAAGTTATAAATTTTTGCAATGTTTATACATATATCTTTTAAGACAATTGTAATAACATTGTGCCATTGATTATTACAATCAAGTAGTACCCAAGTCCACATAATTAGAACGGTGACATGGCCTTCACGAAATTAATCACTACAATTAATGGTAACAAATACTGAATATTGAAAGCCTCGGTGTTTCCCTCTCAGCCATAAAACCCGCCAACGGCTCTTCCAGCTTTAGACTCCGCCATTAATGAAGTAGTCAAGCATGCCTCGTGCCACGTCATTGTTGTCCTCATTCATCCAACCATTAACTCCGTTCACACTATGCTGTACAATCCTGCCAAGCCCTTTCTAATTACTTTTCACTTTCATTCTTGTATTTATAGCATACTCCTCCAAGAACTACCTGCGTCGTCACTGTAACCTAAATCATACCACCATGTCCAAGGGAGAGGAAGTAGTGAAGCTTGTGGGTGCATGGCCAAGCCCCTTTGTGATGAGGGCCCGTATAGCCCTCAATATTAAGTCTGTGAGCTATGACTTCATTCAAGAGACGTTGGGATCCAAGAGCCAACTTCTGCTTCAGTCCAATCCTGTTCACAAGAAAATCCCAGTTCTGATTCATGCAGATAAGCCTGTTTGCGAGTCTCTGATTATTGTTGAGTACGTCGACGAGGTCTGGTCTTCTTCTCCTTCCATTCTTCCCTCTGATCCGTACGATCGTGCCATTGCTCGTTTCTGGGCTGCTTATCTTGACGAGAAGGTACGTATTTTCATTCTTCATCTTATACTCCCTCTAGACCATAATTAAGTGGTTCGTGAAATATTGTGTATTGTGTTTGATTGTGTAGTGGTTCCCTGCAATGAAATCCGTTGGGGGTGCAAAAGGGGATGAACAGAGGAAGGCTCTGATACAGCAATTAGAAGAAGGATTAGCATTAATGGAGAATGCTTATCACAGCATTAGCAAAGGCAAGCCCTTCTTTGGCGGTGACCGGGTCGGGTATCTGGACATTGCGTTCGGGTGCTTCCTCGGGTGGCTGAGGGTCACTGAGGCGCTTCTTGGGCTCAAATTGTTGGACCCGGCCAAGACACCAGGCCTCGCCCAATGGGCCGGAGCCTTCTGTGCTGATAATGCTGTCAAGCACGTGATGCCTGAAACTGACAAGCTTCTGGAGTTCGCCAAGCTACTTATGGCGAAAATGGCATCGAACTAGTTGAGTTGGACATTGATGCGTGGCTTATACGATCTCGTGTCTGTCGTTATCCTTAATGACTGAGGCTTTGAGTTTGTCTGCGTGTTGCCTCTTGTAATAAAATTTCGATTAATAACATTTTCTCATGCTGATCTTATTTTACTCGTCCATGTTGGTTGTCTGGTTATAGTTAAATTTAAACTTGGGACGTGCATCTTCTTAAACCAGAAAATAATAAAATGTCTTAAATGAAGCTAAATTAATAAATACAGTTGTATGTGCAATATAGACATAGTGAATTTTTTGGTTACTCACAGTTACAAGTATCCTTTTATTGAAAATACTTTTATTCAAGACACTGTTAGGTATTAAATATGATCATCTCTCTTAGTAGAGATTCAAACATTAATTTGTCACATTGCAAAGAACTAATCTCTTCTACTAAATTTAACTCCATTGGTATGAAGCAAATAATTTATTTAAGCAATATTTTGCTAAATTTTATTTTAATAAGGACACGAAAGTTATGCACTTATATTTCAATTTTTTGATATAATTTTTCTCTTTGTTTTTTGCCCCCATATTTAAGATTTTTCCATGACAATAAGGAATGAAAGAACAATAGCTAAAATAGTAATAGAATTCTTAGCCTGACGCTCATTATTGTCCCAAAATAACAAAGCATATAACAGAAGTCGGAAGTAGAACCACTAAATGGGATCCTAATTTACTTTTGAAGTTTTGGTCAGAACTGAGGAGAGGGTTTGAGTGCTGAGAGGCTGGTTAAGGCAATAAGGGAAAATCGTAAAGACCCTCAGCATACAGCTCCCAGTTGGCTGGATCCCTCATGAAGTTGGCAAGCCTGGACTCATATGAAGTTCCCATGATTTCAATGTACTGGTTCCACCAACTCATATAGCTGCATTTCTCCAAGAAAATTTCTGGGGACACTTTGTACTTCCTCAGCAACCCATACACGTAATTCTCAAACTGTTGCAGTTTCTGCCTTTCCTCTTGCTTCTCCCCTTCCCTGCTAAACCATTTCCTGCATGAAATGAGAGCCTCTTCCACATGCGCCCAAAAGCAAGAATCTACCGTCAATAAATTTTCCACATTCTGTTTACTTCTCGACTCGGGATTTTTCTCATCTTCCAACCACATCTCTAGCTTCTTATAATGCTCAGATCTTCCGCGATTCATATAGTCTCTGTTACCGTCACGGTAGTACCAAGCAATGTCCAATGGTTCCACCATCCGCCTATAATCAGTACCAGCATAAAGCCATTTGGTACGAAATGCAGCGCCTTCTTTCTGGGGCTGCCTCGTTGCCTCCTCGACCATGCCTTTCCAGTAATTGTTGAGGATTTTGACGTACAAGTAAATTTCTTGATCACGAGGAAACCTATCAGCCTTGTAACTGTCGTAGTACCCTATCCTCTGATGCTTAGTATACTTCTTGTACCATTCCATTTGTGCCATGCATATTTCCATTTCATCAAATTTCTTCATGGGGATAAACCGTTTCCGCTTCTTCAGAATCCACTGACGTTCTTCTGTTTCCAAGTTTTCTACCAATTTCTTCATATCCATATTCTGCTACAACAAATTAAAAATCTAGCGATTAGAACAAAGTTGGATTTCCCTTTTTAAACAAATATATATATATATATATATATATTGTTCCACGCTCTTCACATTAAATCTTTTAGAATCGCACTTCTACCTCAAAAAAAAAAAAAAAACTTTAAAAATCACACAATTGGGCGAGTCCTCATTAGACCTGTGCCTTTCATTTTATCTCAAAAGGATCTCAACTGTTCATTTTTAAATTGATTTTTAAATATTTTAAATATTATATCTCAAAATAAGAATTTATAAAAATTACAAAAAAATTATATTAAATTTGTATTGTCTTCCGTGCTCACTAGATCATTTAGATTTAATTTTTTTATTTTTATTTTTATTATTTTATATTTATCAAAATAAAAATTTATAAAAATTATAAGACTTTAATAAATTTGTTCATCACCAACTTGATTAATAGTGACTTAATCTTGACAATCCAATTTAATGTTAAAAATTTATCAATTTTTTATAAATTAACTATTTAATTTAAATATACTCTAAATGTGAAGTGCAGATGCATATAAGAGTTTGGTCTGACACATGGATTCCAGGTTTTCCTGCTGCTGTCAGTTTTGATAAAAATCTAAAGATGGCAAATTTAATTTCAAATCGGGCTTAGAACTAAATTCCTCTTCAGGCCTCTGCTACTTACGATATAATAGACAATATCAAAAAAAATTAACTTTTTGACCATAATACTATATTAAAAAATATTTATCCTAAAATAATTCTTACTGTTTATTTTAAATTAATTTTTAGTATTTTAAAATTATATTTGTTAAAATAAAAATTTATAAAAATTATAAAAAAATTTAATATTAAATTAGACTATACAAAGTATATTCAAATAGTCAGTTTATAAAATTATAAAAAAATATTGGTTTTAAATAGAAATGCCCAATTATATATATATATATATATATATATATTAACCAGCAGAAAATCCTTCATTGAAAAAGGAGCAAACAGGGGCTACAAAATCTAAACGGAAAGCAAAACAGAACACAAAACAGCAAGAAAAGTCATAAGCCAATGTGGCAGGGACCTAAAACAAAGAAAAAAAAAACTAAGCCACAAAATCAACCGATGCCTTCTCTATCTCTGTTTACCACAAGATGCTGGAAAGATGATTGAAGATGATCTGAGTGCTTAGTAACAATAGCAGCAAGAGGGGGTGGTGGGCTGGAAACCTAACCATTTGAATCCACTACTTCTAAAGAAGAGGCTACTAACTAGTTAGCAATAGAGTTCCCACCCCATTTGATAAACGAGAAAGAGAGAAGATGCAAGGACTCGAGAGTGATAAACATATCTTCTAGTAATCCATGAAAGGACCGAGAGCAATAGGTTACATCTTTATGTATAGTATAGCTCGAAAAAAGCTCAAGACAATCAAATACAATAATGACTTTGCTTCTGTTGAATTCAGACGCTAGACGAATTGCCTTCCTACAAGCTAAAAGTTCAGACAGGAAACTTGAATTCACATCAACAACCTCTGTCCATCCCTCACAATGATACCGATTGTAGCCTTGTTAGTAGCGAGAAAGCTCCACCACTATTGACTTTTATGGTCCCAAATTATGGAGCAGTTGATTTTTATGGTCCAAAATTATGGAGGAGTCCAAGCAGAGTTGAAAGTCTCAGGAACAAAAGAAATAAAGGGCTCATAATGGTTAATCTTCCAATATTCCTCTACAGCGGCATTAGTTGAACAAATAACGTCAGATGGATTTAGTGCAGCAGTATTGAAAACTGATGCAGATCTGGTCTTCCATGCATATGTTCCAACATAAACACGCTATGTAAGCCTTATCATAATCATCAATTAGATTATTAACCTCCAGAAAAAAGCGGCACCGGTTTGGCGGTTTTCAAAAGAAGACACGAATTGGATCCGTGATTAATGTCAGGGGAGAGCCATACCATATTTTCCTTGACCATTCACAACGTAGTAATAAATGCTCTATAGTATTCGGATGCAATTTGCACTTCGGACATAGAGGATCTGCTGCACATTTGCGAGAGAACAGAGGCCCCTTGGTCACAATAGCGCGATTCAACGCTCTCCATAGAAAGTGCCTAACTTTAAGATAAATTTTCAACTTCCAAACCTGCTTCTAAAGAATCATTGGGAACCCCGATAACGTGCTTGGAGTTGATCTGATCATAGGATGCTGATGCGCATACTCCAGTCTATACCTAAGTTGAGGGGAATATTTACCATTTTTTTCACCTATCGGAACACCACTAGTGGAGAGATGCTCAGGAATAAGAATTTTTTGGCTTTTTGACCACAACGCCATGTCTAACCTTCTTCCCAACCTCTAATATCCTATTTGAGCTAGTTTTGTATGGGAGTAATGAAAGGGTTTTCATTTTTGGGGGTAGCCAGCCTTTAGTTTCAAATTTATAAGCTTGTTTGAGGTTAAATAAGTGTTGTTTAGGTTGTTTTGATGATAATAATAATATTGGTATAGGTTAATCCAAGACTCTAGACTAGTTGAATGATGATTAATGATCATTAGTATGTTTTAAGGTTAAATTTTAAGTTTAAGAAGTGTAATGAGGATGAGGATGATTATGTTCGATGATTAAAGTGTGTGAAAGTGTATTAGGATTATGAGATTAATAAACCTAACCTTATGATTAAGTTGTGATTAGTGATTAAACACTTGTATTAGTGAATATTAGTATTGCATTATATGTAGATTGTGGTGCTAGCATTGTTGGAGGTGATAGATTGCTTGTCCAAGGAAATTTGCATGCTAAGGACAAAGGCAACCTCTGCTACTATGTTGTACTATGTTGTGTGATTAGTTGTGTATATTTTTGATAGTAATGGCTATCATTTTAAGTATGGTATGTGGAAATGTATATCTATTGTTTGGAATCCTTATTGATAGGGGGATAAAAATTTTAACATGATTATGTTTGAAATGAAATTATGATTATAGCGGAAACATGGTTAACTATTGGCAACTTTAGTTGTTTGGAAATCCTATATGCATGTCATGTGCAGGTTTTACTAGGAAGGAGACTTATTATTGAGATTTGAACTAGTGCTACATGGTATGCCCTCATTTAGACTCAATGAGTGGCTTTTGCAGCTTGAACTAGCTCACCTTTAGCTAGGTAGGTTAAGCATCGAGCACAAACTTTGGTCTACGAAGAAAGGAGGAAATAAGTTGCTAATCATGCAACCATTGTTTGGTTTGCTTGCATATAAATTGTTTGAAAATATATTTTGTATGTCCACTTAGCAGACGCATGATTAATTACATTGCATGCATCATGACATATTAGTATTAGTTCTGGAACCTTTGTGCCTCTTTTCTTATGATTAACATTTTTACAGGAGTATGTCCAACCAGAAAAGCACTGGAGGCATAGTGGTAGTGTGTGGGACACTACTTTGTCTTGCTAGGCCTCATTTAGATGTTAAACGTATAAATTGCCAATCGTAAGGCTTGTATTTTGTACTTGAGCATATAGGCTCTTAATCTTTGATGAACATGTCTGGCGGTAGCCATGAGATAGATTTTGATACTCATACTCTCATTTGAATATTATTAAGGTGTTAAAATATTTTTAGAGGATGAGATTTACTTATGGTAATTTATGTTTTGTTTTATACAAATTGTGTTGGGTGACTGTAATCCAACTACAAAAATTTTATGTGCATGTGTAAATTGTGGAGTTGTAGATGTTGTTTAGATTGTCAATGTTGTGGTCAAGTTGTTCACATATGACTATAAGCTTTGGTACTAGTTTGTAAAGTGAAATGTTTGGAAGTAGTGTTCTGTGACCCTTAAAGGATTTTGTGGATAAGAGTCTTACATGGAGGAAACACTTTAAGTCACTTAAATGGGATATATGTAGTGAGAGTTATGCACGATTAAAGTTTATAGTCACTATCCATGCTGTCATAAGCATTGTATATGCACTTCCATCGCGATGCATGGTTTTTTAGCTGTAGCCCACAACACAATGAGCTGTTAACTGAGGTTAACAGCACCATGGCTGCAACTTCCCTTCGTTGTGATAGTTACCACAGCGCACGTAGTGTTAGCCTTAACGAATAGCACATATTTTCCAGAATTGCCCCTATGATATCTTTTGTTTCTAGAAAAGTCCTTTTGACACTTTTAGCCTTAAATAAACTTGTTTTGGACATTTTTAATCCCTGGAAACAAAGGTTCACTCGTATTTATGATTTATATCATTATTTATGATTTTAAACACTTGCATTTAATGAGATTCCATTTGGTACACTTTTATTATTAGGAAACTTTTAAATTACCACTATAGACTTTATCCATTATGATCAATTCTTTTTACCATGGTAGACTCCTTTCTACCATAGTAATCGGTTTAAAAATGTTTTACTGAATTAAGAATCAAATTAACTTTATAAAAATTTACCATGATAAAAAATGATTTGTCTTAGAGTCTACCATGATAGAATTTTAAAATAATAAGTTTTGTTTTTTCTACCATGATAAGCCTTTTATCGCCGTGGTAAGATTTGTAAAGTATCTCTTATTCTTTCTAAAATGATAAACACTTTTCTACTATGGTAAATATTTCACAAGTAGTGTTTTGTGTTAATTAAAATTATCTTGAAGGAAGTTCCTCTATGTTCCTTAGGAACATATATTCCCTAGGCCTATCCAAAGGGAATGGGTACTTAGGCAGCTCTAGCTCGTGATGAGGGCATAGGTATAGCGAACCATTAGGATTAGTGGGGAAAAAGGTGTGAGGTTCATCCCTAAAGCAAAAAACGTAATGACAATGATTCAGCCAATGAGTTAGAAAAGGGCAAGATTTAGTAACTTGACTCACAAGTCATCAACATAAGAAGCCAAAACACAAAATATTTACTAGAAGCACACACAAGACCTAAGAGAAGCAAGTGTGTTCAAACCTCATGAATCAGAGAAGAAGAATAGAAATCAGAAAAAAACCCAAATCTTAGAGACAAAGATACCCTAAAAATGGAAATCAGTACAAGGAAAGCTTGGTTTACCTCATTGATAGTGGAAGATGATGAAGCCATCACAAACAGAGAGTCGGAAAGATCGAGAGAAATTTGTTAAGAAACAAAGAAATTCAAAGAGTCAGGTAAAGGTAAAGTCAAAGAGTGACTTAAGCTTAAATGGAGTTTTGGAGACCTTAGCGAACAAAGCACTTAGGGAAATGATGGTAGTACTTCAGGAAAGTGCATATAGTAATCATTACCCATACCTGAGTGCGACATGTGGCCAACCCTTTAAGGCTATGTTTGGTAGGAAGGAATGGGAAGGTGGGATTGGGATTGGTATTAGATAATCCCACCAATTCATGTTGTTATAAAGGAATGAGAAATTTAATCCCAATACCAATCCCATTTAAGTGAGATTACTTAATACCACTACCCTCTATAGTACTAGAAAAATCAATCCCAAGATTGATTATTTTTAGACCAAATTACCCCCCATTATCTCTCTATCATCTCCTTCCCTGTTCCCTCTCCTCCTTTGTCTTCATCTTGTCTCTCCCCCTTTGCCCTCCTTTCAGACCAAGCAATGCTGGTGTCTCCTCTGCCATTGCCAATATCTTGTCCACCAATGTAGTTGCCAAATCTGTAGGAAGAAGGAGGAGATTGAAGATGAGAGAAGGAGCAGAACGATCGACGACATCATTTTCATAATCGGTCTAAACCCGAGCTACAGTCACCTGATCTCGCCACCATTGTCAACTTCGCCGTCATCTACATCCTCACCATTCTCATTCTTAGTTCAAACCAGAAGGAAAAAAAAGAGACAGGAGAGGGCAACGACAAGGTTCTCTTGCGCGGCCATGGATGTTCTTATTGAGGGAGAAGAGCAACAAGAAGAAGAAAGAAGAGGAAGAAGACAATGAGGATAACCAATGGAAGCAACTTTTCTTCTGTGGCCATGGACGTTTTGTTTTGGGGGAGGAGAGTGTTTAGATGATAAGGACATAAAATATTCAATTATATTTTGAGGGGTAATATGGTATTTGTATATTTTTGTTTAATTATAAAATAAAATAAAAGTAAATATTCCCTTTTAATATTACTTCATACCAAATATAATTTTAAAACTTCATTTCCACTCCCACTCTCACTCCCAATCCTAATCCCTCTAAATTGAGGTCTGCATACCAAATGGGGCTTAAGGATTATCTAAAATGTGCTCAAACGTTTCTCTCCCTTGACACTAAAACATTGCGCATGAGGGGGTAGGCAATTGTTTGGATTGGTTTTAGCACCCTTAAGAGAGGGATTGGCCGAAGCCGAAACCAATTGCATGAGGTAAAAGCCCATCAATCAACCTGCTTCATTAAAACTAAGTGGAATGCCACATTTAGGGACCTTACAACCTATTCTCACTCACTCATCCCATAACTTGAGATATACGGTGCATTGACACATGCCTCTCCACATGATAAGGCATGCCCTCAACTAAATGATGGCACAGATAGTTACTTGCTCCCTTCAAGTGCCAAAATTCAAGTTTGAAAGAACGTGCTGCTGCCCTTCTTTATAAATAAGCAGTGAGTGTGTAACTTAGGAGTTCTCAACACTCTTCTCAATCAATTTGATCAACTCAACTTGCCCAGCACAAAAATTCAAACCCTAACCCAACATCACTCACCTTATTCATACCAGCTTAGGCTCCCTAGGCTAGTAAGCACCAATTGTACTTGCATGCTAATAATGCAATTGATCCTTGTGCATTAGTTGGCATACAACTAGTTTCTATTTCCTAGGCACTCCCAGAAAATTGTGGTAAAAGATCTTGAGAGACCACATAGTCATTTAAGTTAATACAAGAAAAAATGAGTTTTTGATTTTGCTTCCACTTTCTAAATTTTATTGGGAGAATTACACCTTAGTTCTACGCAGCACAATTAATTACTCCTAAATTCATTGCATTTTTTTAATAACGAAAACGTGATATTTTAAAGAAATAGACCTAAAAGAATTGGAGACACCCCACACCGCTAATAATGCATGATGAGGGTGAAAATTGAAGACAATAACTTACAATAGCTAAATGTAAAGTGTTATGGTGGAAGAATGAAAACAATTCTCCCATGTTTTTATTTTTTTATTTTTAAAAGTTAAAAATAAAATAATTTTAGAAATCAAGTGAATTTAAAATAGCTATTCCAACAATTTTTTTTTTAAAATTTGAAAGAACAAAGCTTGTGGGAGTTGGCTTCCTGCAGTGAGAAAATACCGCAAGTCCGGAAATTTGATGATTTAAATTTTAAATTTGATAATTTTTCAAAATATATATTAATTGTATCCTTAAAATTTAATATCAGATTTTGCAATGAATACGCATGCAAGGGAAAACGCATTGGTAGGAAATAGGAATTACTAGGAAAAAAGTACGAGAAGTTTGTGTCGGACTGGCTACCTTGTCGCCTTGCGTGCTAAGTGCTAGTGCCGCCTCCATTGGTTCTCCGGCAGCCGACGTTCTGCCTTTCTCAGTAAGCCTATGGATCCTTTGTTGTGCAGGAGCCTTTTTGTAAACCAACTTTAAAATGCCTGAAGAAAGGAAAAGGACCGGCTTGCATACAATAAAAGAAAAAAGGGAAAAAACTAGGTTTGGTAAGGAAGGGAAAATAGAAGACAGCAAAATGTGCGGTGCCTTTTTCCTGCATATTGATCCCTTCTCCTGCAATTCTGCAAATCCTAGTTTCTGCAACTGCAAATCGAGGCTTTTTTGCAGTATATTACAGCAAGAGATGTTGCAAGCTGTAGAGTCTTTGCAGGTTGCATTACGCTCCAGATTTTCCACTACGTATCCATAACCAGGACTTCTGAATCCTTCCATTTCGAATCCTCCCATCATTGGACGCATTTCCTCCAGCAGCTTTTTAATAGAAGCAGGGCTCTCCACGCACGCAGAGCCATGATCAGAACATAAGAGATATATTCCGAAGGGCTCGTACAAAGTAGTGGAAGTCAACGAGAAAGGAAGCGGGTCCTCGCGAGACACTACATGCAGAAAGCAAGAGTTCCACCTGTTGCTTCCACACACAGCCTGTTGCAGGTTTTGGTCACCAATAAGTGGAGAACCAAAGGTGATGCAGAGTGGATGCTTATCGCGTGGATCCACGGTATCAAACAGCCATAAAGTGAAAAGAGAAGCAATTGATCCTCCAACACCATGCCCTGTAACAATTAATGGTTTCTCGACATCCACCTGCACTTAACAAAAATCCACGTTTAACACTTTAAAGTCGTCATAAGTCCTCACAGACCCACTGGCTTACCTAAAGATGAGTAGTCGAAGAATTACATACCTGGGATTTTAGTCGATGAAGCATCCGGCGATTTCTATCAAATAGGGAAATTGCAGATCGATTAAGATAGAACGGGGGGTTTCTCTCGGAAAAGAGAAATTGGAATGGGTTGTCCGAGAGGTCCGCTGAAGGAAGCAAATCGGGCTGAACATGAGTTTGGGGAGTCACAAAAGCTAACAGGGTCAAATCTGATTCATTGGTGACTTTTTTCCAGAGAAGTTCGCCGTTTGAATTGTTCTCAGCGTACAGGTCGGCGATAAGCTTCCATGAAGAGGAGAGAAGACCAGAGCTCGCCATAAAACATGCAGATTCCACTCCACTGCTGCATCTGCAATAAAAAAGAACAAGAAACAACTTGAAACTGAAGTAGGTTACCGTTGTAAGAAAACGGAATCAAAATTGTCATTCGCATACATTGGAGTTGGAAGATTCATCCTGAATATGCACAGACTTCACAGGAGTAACTCGGAAGGGGATATCCACTGATCGAACTCCCAACGGAGATGAGATGTTGTTTGGTTGATTTCCAATTAATCAGCTGATAGTTGCTTTGGAAACTCAGCGGGAATCAGGTAGAAATGGTGTGTGGGGCAGTGAATGGTGTGAAGTATGGAACTTCCGATTCAATACGCGTCTCCAAGACGTTTGGCTTAACAAAATGCAAAGGGAAAATTAGTGAGAAGTCTTACATTGCTGTCAAATTCCAAATTCAAATCTTGTACAGTTACAATTTGATAAATAAAAATGATAATTTAACATTAAATTTATATCCAAATTATTATTTTCTTTTATCAAATTTTTATTTTCTTTTAATAAGTTATAATTGTTCAGGATTTAAAATTTAAAAATATTTTATATATTTTATGAGATCTCTTAATAATTATAATTCTTATAAGAGACTCTGAAGTGATTTAAAAAAAAAAAAACAATCCACAATTTAGAATGAATTGAGCTTTGCTTAACTGAGATCAGAATAAAAGTTTATGATTTTAAATATATTTTTAGCAGTCAATTTAAAATTTATTTGGATGATATAATTTAAAATTCATAATATATTGTCGATTTTCAATTAATCAGTTGATAGTTGCATTAAAATAAATATAGGTTTTTTTTTAGTAGGATTAACTTTTATCCTTCTATTGTTATTTATATACTCATTAAGCATGAATATAACAATTTAAAAGAAATAAGATGTGCATACAATTTTTAAAAAATTATAAAACAAGAGATTTTAATTTACATAGGTATAACAATTCATAAATTAAAATAGGGTTAATGAGTATTTTGAATCATAAACTATTTCTTAAATAGCATTTTAAATCCTGAACTTTTAAAATAAGCAAAAATTATTCTTAACTTGTAAATTTTTAGCAAATTATCCCTGTCATTTATTTATCGATACAACATTGATACATGTCAAGAAGGAATTAGTACTAAATCAATGATGGAAAGAAAATTTAAAAAAATAAGTGAAGATATTACAAGGATGTTACAGATTTAAAGATCGAAAATATTTGGCTCTCATAGTAATTACTCATATTTTGTTTTAATTTAAATTATTATTATCTTTTAACATTTATTGTTATCTTTCAGCATTTATTATTATCTTTTTATTTATTGTTATCTTTTTATTTAATTTTAAAATTTTTAGGATTTTCATACATTTATTTTTAAGGTTGGGTTGAGGCTTATAAGTAGTACTTTAGCTCATTTGATTTGTACACACATTTAATTGAATAAAGATTACAATTATCTTGCTCTCTTATGAGTTTTTCTTTTTTCTCTATTCTTTCTATTGATCCCTTTATCTCTTTTTTTATATTCTCTCCCCCCCTTCTCCCTCCGTGTTTTGCATCAATTAGCCTTTAATCATATTTTTTATATATTTTTAGTCCATTTCAATTGGTCTTTTTATTGATGAATTTTCACTAATTGAGATTAATTAAAATATATTTTATTCTATTAATCATTTCATATTTTAAAAAAATTAATTGATTAAATTTTAAAAATTATGATTAAATTTTTCATTTAATATTTTAGCACATGTAACTATTAAATACTCCCTTTATTAAAAAATATAAAGTATTTTTTTAAAATTTAAATATTAAAAAATATAAAATATTTTTAATCTTTTAAGGTGTAGTTATTATTATTTTTTTAATATCATTATTGATAATAATTTTATATTTATTGTAGAGTGTTTAATAGGAGTGAATATAAAAAAATATAATTAATTTAAAAATAAATAATTATTTTATTGAAAGTAAAATTTAATTAAAAATATTTTATATTTTTAAATGAAGAGAGTATTACTTTATTTTGTAGTGAAGATTATTTATGGAGATTTGTTGGGTATGAAGTAAATTATATTTAATTTCTCTCCCCCGTCATTTTTTCCAAAAAATTGTGCCACCATTTTCCTTATTTTTATAAAAAAGTTGAGCCTTCTTCACCCCCTTTTCAATTTCAACGGCCGAAGGTGCACCCACTCCAAACGTTTAACAATTTTAGAGATTTTATCTAAAATTGTATTTTCTTTTGGATAAAATTATGTAAATTGCAATTAAGGGTCTTTAAGGGTAATTTTATCAATTTTATTAGATTATTAAATTTTTGGAGTGGGTGCACCTGCAGCCATTGAAATTGAAAAGCGAGGAAAGGAGGAACAACTTTTTTATAAAATAAGGAAAGTGGTGGCACAATTTTGTGGAAAAGATGGAGGGAGAGATTGAGGAGTGAAAGGCGGAAGCAGAAAAATAGATAAAAGGAAGCAGAGTACGCGGTCGAGGCTTGATCGTCATCTTCTATTTTGTCTTCATTTCAATCAGCGAAGTGAAGGCGATTCCTACTCTGATGCTAACCCATTTCTGTCTAGTTCTTGAAGCAATGGAGTTCTAGATTTCTGCAAATTAGCTACAAGATTCTATCCCCAAGTTTATAAGATAGGAATTTCAAACCAAGGTCTAGCTATAGGGCTCCCATTATAAACTTTGTCTTTATCCGCAAGTTTTTAAACTTAGTCCACTTAAGATAGAAAAATGGTGTGAAGTCAATACGCGCCTCGAAGTCTACGGTGCGAGTATTTAACTAGTCAAGCATGTTTTTGAGTCAGGTGATGTTTGACCTGACAATTGGCATTTTGCTAAGACCGCAATGACCTTGGTATTTAGTATCTACCCATGTTGTTCGTGTTATCCTTGATTCCTTGCTACGTTACTTTGATTCTCTTTGCTCCTTATCCTTCTCTGGAGAAGTTTTGGTTTCAGAAATTCTTCCTTTCTAGCTGACCCTCCTTTGCATCTTCCATCACGCAATCACCGGCAACATTTCTATCATAAGGTACGTAGAGATCAAGGCATACCAAAAAAACAGAAGAAAAGAAAAAAAAAAAGTAACTGTTTTTCTTTTTCCTTTTTGCAATCAAATAAAGTGCTATTTGCATTGCTCGTGATCTGGACTCTGTTGCTCTGCTTCCTAACTAACTTGTTCCACATCTATTTGTAGGTATTTCATTTCATATGTTCACCTGACAGTCACTGGGTGTTGACCTTCGTTATATGGTATATTTCGAGTGCCAAATTCTTACGATATTACGATTCTAAATTAACCTAATTGATTCTGATCGAATCTGGAGTCCAAATAGACAACATGTGAAAGATAAGAAATATCCCCCACAGGGCGGATGCCAAAGTTATGATCTTTGAGAGGAAGGAATTAATTTGGATTTTTAATATCAATAGCTGTCATTAGTACAAGTTAAGAGTCTTAGATCATATTCCGATTTATTATGCCATTATTATTAAGAAAACTAAATCAGGCTCCATGCTATGTATGATGCCGAAATTGTGTACAGGGTGGCTTTCTGCAAACTCACACACACATATATTGATTGATTGTGTAACAGGAGTTTTTTTTTTTTTTTAGCCAAAAACATGTCTGAAGTAAATCAAAAGGGAAAAATAGGTTGGTATAAGAAGCCTCTTATCTTATGCCAGCTGCCTGGCAATGCTTTTATGCTGGCAGAGTGCAAAGAATGGAATTGCAGAATAGAAAAGTTGATGTTAGCATGCAAACGAAATATAATGTGTTTCCAAGTTTCAATGCTGAGTAGGTTCCATATTTTGTTGACGCTCTTGCTGCAGCTCTGCGAAGAAAAGACATCATTACTTTCAGAGCGTAAAAATGCGCTCAAATATTTGTTTCAAATTATATTTATATATTTATTTTATTGTATATTTTTAGTTCTCGACTCTTTTTAAAAGTTTAAAAATCATTTGCATTATAACGGCAAGTTATCTTAGTTTTATTAGTTATTTAAATTAAGAAAATGTGAGTGAGTATTTAGGCATGCCGTTAGGCTCATCCTTACTGACATTGCCATGTTTCCCTTTGCTCCTTTTCTGATTTATCCCCGTTAGTCTATCTTTCTTTGCATCTCCCACTTGAAAATTCAGGCCATGCAGTCACCAGCAGTATTTCTATCATAGAAAGAAGGTATGATAGATTTAGGCATATGGAAAATACATCACTCTCTGTTTCTTTTCTAATACATATTGATTCAGATGTAATCAGATGCTGTACTACTTGCAATGTTTGATCTGGTCTCGCAATTGCTCTGCTTTCTATTTCCCTGATAAAAAATCTATCCTGTTGGCAATACTTGTCTTATTTATGTGGACTTGTAGATTTTCTATGTTTACCTTACAGGGGGTGAAACGTTCGCTATTGTATCTATCTCATTAATATGATTCTTTTGTCTGTTAATCACTTATACGGTTTTTGCATGCCAAAATCTTGCAATCATATGATTCTAAACAATCAAAGTGATCCTGATCAAATTCGAATCTGCATGGAGAAAAGACAGGAAAAAAAGATTGCTAGGAAGTAGTTTCTTGTTTTTTTTCCTGATTGCGCACTGGTATCCTCTTATTGAAAGCAATCATGTTTGAGACACAGTCAAGTATTAAATGTCAGCACCTCTTCCAGTAGAGATTCAAACCTTGATTCACCATATTGCTAGAAAATAGTTTATACTTCTATTGATCCTTTCTTTTCTTTCTTTGTTTCCTGTATCCTACTCATGATTCTAAATTTTTAGAAATTATAAATTTTCTCACATTTCCATCTGGATCATTCAGTAAAAATTAGTCGCCAGAGAAAAGCTTCATTTTCTATAGATGTTTTTGATCCCGCAGAGTAATCTAGCCTGCTACAAAGTCCAAAGTACCAATGGGATTGCAGAATAGCAAAGTTGATGATAGCATGCAAAGGAAATATGATGTGTTTCTCAGTTTCGATGACGAATACATTCCGTATTTTGTTGACGACCTTATTGCTGCTCTACAAAGAAAAGGTATCAATACTTTCAGAGCAGACAAAATGTTGAAGAAAGGAAAATCCGTTCCACCCGAGATCTTGAGAGCAATCGGAGAATCCCAAATTTGCATTGTTGTCTTCACATTTAATTATGCTGCCTCAGTATGGTGCTTGCGGGAATTGGCCAAGATTGCCAAGGACATGAGTAAACACAGGGTTTTTCCAGTTTTCTACCGTGTACATCCAACTGAGGTTCAAAAACAAGGCAAGTGTTATGAAGGCACCTTTGCCGAACATGAAGAAAAATTTAGACACAATTTAGACGAGGTACAAAACTGGAGGCAAGCTATGAAAGAAGTGGGCTCTGTCAAGGGTTGGCATGTATGGAATGGGTAATCTTCTCCTATATAATAGTTCGTTACTTGTTCAACATGAATTATTGTTCTTTCCATGCCTGTCCCTTGTTTTCTTTTCAATGATGTTTGGTGTTTTTCTTTATTTTTGGTTTTTTCAGTTCCGAATCAGAAGTTATTGATAGCATTGTTAAAAGCGTGATGAGGACATTAGATCGTAATGAGAATGATGACTTAATCGGGTTGGTGACTCGTGTAGAAGCATTAAAAGATAACCTTCAAGACTTGAAACCAGATGATGACAGACCTCGTTTTGTAGGAGTTTATGGGATGTCCAGAACAGGGAAGACATGTCTTGCCAAAGCTGTATACGAAGAGATGTCTCACCACTTCAAAGCTCACAGTTTTCTTTTCAACGTAGGTCGAGTTGTTGACAATTATTCTCATGGTCTAATCCACTTACAAAAGCAACTTCTTTGTGAAACTGGAGTCGAAGGTGATCAAGAGATAAATGATGATGAAATGGGAAGCTCAATTATCAGGGATCACTTAAGAAGCTGTAAGACTCTCTTGGTTCTTGATGACATTAATGATCCAGCACAACTAAAGGCTTTGGCTGGAAATGTTGACTGGTTTGGTCCTAGAAGTAGGATTATCATAGCAACAAGAGATGAGAGTGTTCTTAGAAACCATGGGGTGGAACATGTTTACAAGGTCAAATTATTAAACGAGTATGAAGCTAGCCAACTTCTCTGTACAATTGCTTTCAAACGCAATTCTCCCCTTGCAGGTTACGAGAAATTGACGGGTGATGTTTTAAGATATGCCAATGGCCTTCCGTTAGTCATTAAAAGATTGGGTTCAGCTCTGGTTGGCCAAAGTCCCTCAGAATGGACAAGGGTCTTGGAAGGCCTGCAAGAACATCCTGAGAAAAGCATCATGCTTCACCTTAAATCAAGCCTTCATGGACTGAAGAAGGAAGAAATGGAGATATTTTTTGATATTGCTTGTTTCTTCAATGGAGAAGATGAGAGCCATGTCAGGAGAATTTTATATTCTTGCGGACATGATGATAATGGAATTAGAGTTCTACAAGATAAATCACTCATAAACATTAGTGATGGAAAAATTGCTATGCATGTTATACTGCAACAGGTAGGAAGGCAAATAATTCATGAAGAATCATACAGGAATCGTGGCAAAAGAGGTAGGTTATGGTTGATCAAGGATGTTCTTGATGTTATGGACACAGAAAAGGTACGTTCCTTTAAGCTGTAAGAAAACAAGTAGTTCATAAATTTCAAAAGGAAAAATTAAACTGACTTTTTACTTTATGATTCATTTGTTCTCAGGGAATTAAAAGAGTCCAAGCCATAGTCTTGAAGCCGGAAAAACTGCAAGACACTCCTTTGAGGGCCGAAGCTTTATCATACATGAGAGGCCTTGTACTTATGATACTTCATAATGTAAAATTTTCGGGAGAGATCCATCATCTTTCCAATGAATTGCGATATGTTTCGTGGGATAAATATCCTTTCACTCGTTTGCCATCTACTTTTGAAGGTCGAAAGCTTGTTGAATTGATCATGCCTAATAGTAGTCTCAGGCTGCTATGGGAAGGCATTTATAAGGTATCCAAACTTGAGAATCTACTTTTTGGCAACTTAAGATACTTTACTACAGTCAAGTGAATGTTATTGCTTGGTTCAGAATGCTTAGTTACTCATGCCCCTGTGTTTCTTGACAGGATCTCCCCAATTTGAGAAACTTGGATCTCCATGGCTCCAAATATTTGACCCAGATGCCGAGTTTTGCAGGGCTCCGAAATCTTGAAATTCTTAACCTTGAAGGATGTATTAGACTGTCGCAAGTTGATTCATCTATTACAGCTCTTCATAATATCAGGGAGCTGAATTTGAGAAATTGTGTTGGTCTTGCTAGTATCCCAGAAAGTTTATTTGGTGGTCGTGAAAAACTTAAAATTCTAAATCTTGCTGGGTGCTCAAATCTTTTGAAGTATTTCAACTTTGATCCGTTGAGGAGCTCACTGGATGAGAAGCTACTCACCAATCGATATCATATCTTATTGGCAAAATTCGTATTGTATTTTCATTTGCTTTTCAGGCTAATAAATTAATGTTTTTGGTTTGTCTATTGTAAGTTTGTAATGGATTTGTCTCATCGTATTTAAGGTGATCAGATGTTACTTGTGGAGTTTGAATTAAACTTTGTTTAAGATTGTCTTGTACTTGAACAAGTTGACCTATCAAAATATTACTAGTGTAAACATTGTATTCAGTTCAGACATTTTAAAAAATATAATAATTAAAAAATATAACAAAATATAAAAAAAAAGCTAAAAATAACATTAAAATAACATGACCTTCTTCCCTTTAGTTGTTAAAAAAAAAAAAAAAAGCAGAAGAAGAAACAAAGTAAAAAGAAAAGGTAGAAAATATTCATCATCTTTAAGTAATAAGAAAACCCCACAAATTAAATGAAGATTATTTAATCTAATAAATCAGTTTAGAATAAATAAATTTTAAAAAATTATAAAAAATTTTAGATTACAATAAAGATATGCTCCTTCCGTTCAAAAATGTAAGATATTTTTTAAAAAGTTAGATGTTAAAAAATATAGTCTTTTGAGGTGTAATGATTGCCTTTTTTTTAAAATGCCCTTATTAATGAATTACGTTATATTTATTGTAGGATGTTTAATAGAAGTAAATATAAAAATATAAGATTAGTTTGAAAGTAAGTAATTATTTTATTAAGGGGTAAAATTTAATTAAAAATGTCTTATATTTTTTAACAGAGAACTCCGCCTATGTCTATAGCCGGTCCCAAGCCCGGGTAAAGGAGGAGGGTTGTGTTAGGCCATCAACAGCCAATGTAAAAATTTGTTGAATCTATCATGAACATGGACAATAGACGTTATAATGTTAATGCTAGGTCATTGCTCGTAAGTAACGCGCTGCATGGCTCGAGTACAGTGATAAGTGAGTTAGAGCCGCTGCATCGGCGCCCGGATGTAGTGTTAAATGAGCAAGGGCTACCGCGTCATTCTGGACGCACGCGGCTAAAGAAGTTAGTCCATAAGAGCAAAATTAGATTTGGTACTTGGAATGTTGGGACATTAAATTGTAAATCTGTAGAGGTTGTAGGGGTTATGATTCAAAGGAAAATCAATATCCTTTGCTTGCAAGAAACAAAATGGCGTGGAGAAGAAGCTAAGGATATTCAAGGTTTCAAACTTTGGTATACAGGAAAAGTAAGTGCACGCAATGGAGTAGGCATCATTATAGATAAGGAGTGGAAGAAGAACGTTGTAGAAGTTAGCAGAATTGGAGACAGAATTATTTCTTTAAAAATGATAATTGGACGTGAGACTGTTAATATTGTTAGCGCTTATGCGCCGCAAGTCGGGACAGAAGCCAGTCTTAAGGAATTATTTTGGGAGGATCTGGAGGGGTTGATTCGACACATACCACAGAGTGAAAAGATTTTTATTGGAGGAGACTTTAATGGGCATGTCGGGAGGGAAGCTGGTCAGTATGCGAGGGTGCATGGTGGTTTTGGTTTTGGAGAGCTAAACAATGAAGGGCAAACTCTTCTTGATTTCTCATTGGCGTATGATTTTAAGATTGCCAACACTTGTTTCAAGAAGAGAGATGAGCATCTCATCACCTACAAAAGTGGAGCCTCAAGATCGCAGATTGATTTTCTTTTGGTTAGGAACACAGATAGAAAACTTTGTAAAAATTGTAAGGTGATCCCTGGAGATGCTGTAACGACACAACATAGGGTCCTAGTCCTTGATGTGTGTATTATGAGTAAAATCCAAAAACGTCGACAAGTAGTAACACCAAGGATTAGGTGGTGGCAATTAAAAGGTGAGAAGCAAGATATTTTCAAGCGAAATCTTTTGGATAAAGGAATTTGGGATTCTCAGGGAAGTGCTAACATCATATGGGAGGATATGGCTAAAAAGATACGGGAGGTTGCAAAAGTAGTTTTGGGAGAATCGAAAGGTCCTGGTCCGAGAGATAAGGAGTCTTGGTGGTGGAATAATAGTGTACAGGACAAAATCAAGTATAAGAAGAACTGTTTTAAAGCCATACATTTGTGTAACAATGAGGAAAATTGGGAGAGGTACCGTATGGCTAAGAAGGAAACTAAGAGAGCTGTGGGTGAAGCTCGTTCTAAAGCTTTTGAAGAATTTTATAAGAACTTTGAGACGAAGGAAAGAGAGCAAAATATTTATAAGATTGCCAAGAGTAGGGAAAGAAAATCAAGAGATCTAGAACAGGTAAGGTGTATTAAGGATGAAGAGGGAAGAATTTTAGTTACAGATGATGAAATTAAAAATAGATGGGAGACTTATTTTTCTAAACTTTTCAATAATGGAGAGGATTCATCTAGTAACTTGGAGGATTTAGTAACTGGTGAAGGAGAACAAAATTTGTCATTCTATCGAAAAATACGTGATAAGGAGGTAAAGGAAGCTCTTAAGAAAATGGCAAATGGTAGAGCTAACGGACCTGATTGTATATCTATCGAAGCGTGGAAATGTTTAGGTGAAGAAGGGGTGAGATGGTTAACTAAGTTATTTAATGTGATTTTACGGTCCAAGAAAATGCCTGATGAGTGGAGGAGAAGTACATTAATTCCTATTTATAAAAATAAAGGAGATATTCAGAATTGTACTAACTATAGAGGGATTAAACTCATGAGCCACACAATGAAATTGTGGGAGAAAGTAATTGAGCACAGGTTGAGATTGGAGACAAGTATTTCTGAGAATCAATTTGGTTTTATGCCAGGTAGATCAACTACAGAGGCGATTTATCTACTAAGGGGATTAATGGAAAAGTATCGTTGTAAAGATAAAGATCTACACATGGTTTTTATTGATTTGGAAAAAGCTTATGACCGTATACCAAGAGAAGTGCTTTGGAAAGCGTTGGAAAAAAAGGGAGTACGGATTGCTTATATTAAAGCCATACAAGATATGTATGAGGGGGTAAAAACTAGTATAAGAACGCCTAGTGGTCAAACAAAGGATTTTCCTATAAAGATTGGGCTACATCAGGGATCATCTCTGAGTCCTTATTTGTTCAACTTGATTTTAAATGTTTTGACGGAACATATTCAAGAGGAAATCCCGAAATGTATGCTCTTCGCGGATGATATAGTTCTTATAGCAGAGACAAGAGAAGAGGTTAATTGCAAACTTGAGTTATGGAGGAGGACATTGGAGTCGAAAGGTTTTCGTCTGAGTAGAAGTAAGACGGAATATTTATATTGTAAATTTGATAAAGGACTATTCGAAAATAATTTGGAAGTGAAATTGGGAGATCAAATTATACCTCAAGTGGAAAAGTTTAGATATTTGGGAGCCATTATCCAAAATGATGGCGAAATCAGTGGAGATATTTCACATAGAATTCAAGCTGGGTGGTTTAATTGGAGAAAAGCTAAAGGAGTTATTTGTGACCGTAAGGTGCCTAATAAACTTAAAGGAAAGTTTTATCGTACTGCTATCAGACCGGCAATGTTATATAGTAGTGAATGCTGGGCTCTAACGGGACAGCAAGAGCATAAAGTTGGAGTAGCAGAGATGAGAATGTTACGATGGATGTGCGGACATACACGTAAAGATAAAATTCGAAATGAGCACATACGTGAAAAAGTGAGGGTGGCACCTATTGAGGAAAAAATGGTAGAAAATCGGTTGAGATGGTTTGGGCATGTACAAAGAAGACCAAGGGAGGCACCAGTGAGAAGAGTGGAACATATAACTTTGAGTCCGATTAAGAGAGGTAGAGGAAGGCCTAAGAGAACACTCTTGGAAGTTGTTGAACGTGATCTCTTAATTAATAATATTTCTAAAAGCTTAATAAATGATAGAGCACAATGGCGTCTTGCAATCCATGTAGCCGACCCCACCTAGTGGGATAAAGGCTTGTTGTTGTTGTTGTTGTTGTTGTTGTTGTATATTTTTTAACAGAGGGAATATTTAGCCAAGCTAACCTTATCTTCAAGGAATTTTTAAATCTTTTATAGACTATTATTGCTTTAAAGAATAAATGAGAAAAATGCCTCTAAAATTTATGTTAAGCAGCATCATAAATTCTAAACTCATTTATTATGTATATTGTTTCCTCAATTGTTAAAAACAGTTCAATCTGACCGTTGTAGTTAATCAAAGTTAACTTTAATCATTAGTTGATAAAAAATGACAGAAAAGGACCTCAAAAATTACATAAAAAGACCAAAAAATTACAATAAATCATTCAAAAATTATAAAAAATAACCAAAAAATTTAGTCATTTTATGTAATTTTGTGATCCTTTTATGTTATTTTTTGATCAACTAACAGTTAAAATTAACTTTTGCTAATGGTAGACGCTAGATTGCATCTTTTTTAAAAGTTGAGAAAATAATTTATACAATAAATAAGTTTAGGATCTATAGTGCTACTAGATCTAAAGTTTAGGGAATAATTTTTTCACTTATTTTTTTTAAATAAAAGCCAGACACTAGAGAACATTCTACCAAAAGCCCCCCATCCTCCAATAACAATTAACATTCTAGCAAAAGTTAATGAAAAAATGACAGTAAAATCTCCCAAATTATTTAAATGATAAAACGGTCTCCCAAGATGTTAAAATTTCACTAAAATCCTTAAAAATCTATGTGTCAATAAGTTATAAATTAAAAAGATTATTTTGCTCTTATTAACAAGTTATAATTTCTTGTTCAAGTCTTGTAATTTTTTGAATAAAAGTTATTATTCTTTAAACTAAATTTGTGATTGAGATTTGTTATTTTGAGAATTTATTTTTCAAAAATAGAAATTACAACTTGTAAAATTGTAATTTCTTATTCAACTATTGCGACTTATAAAAAAAATTGTTATTCTTTAAATAAACATGGTAATTAGGGCTTGTTTTTTAATAACAAAAATTATGTTTAATAAATTATGATTTATTATTTAACTCTTGTAATTCATAGAATAAAAGCTATTATTCCTTAAATAAAAACTATAATTGAGACTTGTTATTTTTAATAAAGATAAAATGATCTTTTCACTTTAAAATTTATTGACAAAGAAATTTTTAGAGATTTTAATGGAATTATGATATTTCAAGGGACTAGGTTATTATTTATATAATTCAAAGAGATTTTATTATTATTTTTTAAAATTAATCCCTTTCTTTTTTTTTATTTTTTATTTTGTCATAGAAGAAAAAGTTAATGCACTTCGATAAAAGGGGCAAAAAAAGAAAAGATACCACTTTACTAGTTCACCAAAATAGAGCCCAGGGTTTTGGTGGTCAGTGGTCACAACTTGGGGTCATTATGATCGGTCAACACCTTAGATGATTACCAACAATGCTTGTTTTAGTGGTTAGAAACTTAGACAGCTTAACCTAATATCTTGAGTTCGAGTTCTAAGATATGCAGCAATAAAATTAAGCATGCAAAGCATGTCTTGCTAATGGTACTTGTGAAATCCCCTCAAAGAAGGCCCCATTTGAGTGGGAATCTGGATTAGTCTAGAGTGGATTGGACGGATAATGAACCTAACATATCTAAACATTATCAACATATCGGGTGTAAAAGCAAAAAACAAAAAAAAAATCCCTTAGGCAATTCCTAGATATCATGGTAAATGGGCCTTCAACATTGAAGAAGGCCCATAACATTTGCCAAGAAAAGGATAAATCATATTTAATACAGACCATTATTTTTAATTAATTGAGACTTATTTTTTTAATAGATTAATTGTTAATCAAGGCTTATGAAAAGTATCATCTGAGGGCTTAATTTTTATTTTGAAATAGGTTAATTATTAATCAAAACTTTGAAAAATATCATTTGAGGGCTTTATTTTTTTTGAAATAGATTAATTATTAATCAAGGCTTTTTCCCTTAAGATTGAGGCACGGGGATCACCTTAATGCTGAGCTCTAATGTTGACTCATCGGTCTTTGTCATGCTTGGGACATAGGTCTTGCAAAAATCAAACCCTTTTATAACTCGTCTAAAACTATAGAATTGAAAAATTCATATATAAGAAAATTATATAAGGATCATAACTTTATCTATGAGATGAAACTCATGTTACAAAGAGAGTAGATCATATATATTATTCAGATTGATTGTGAGGATAACAAAATGTTATGATTCTCACATTGATAGACTTCATTGATGGAGTGTAGTTTATAAATTAGTTAGACACTCTCCCCCCTTATGAAGTGCCTTTTGAAAGTGAGTTTTATTTAAAGAGTTTGTGGTTGTAACACAAAACTATTGACCTTTTTGCTAAGACTCCAAGATATGAGATTGATAGACTTTTATATGATTGGTGGCATCGCTTGAGTTCTTTAATGGGTCTTAGATGTTTTATCTTCCGTTTTTTATCAAAAAGAAAAAGGATATCATTTGAAGGTAGTAATGGAGTTTGAGAAACTATTTTTTCTAGTGATATTAAGAGACAACGACATCCCTCTCAATTAGATTTTTTTATAGAAAAAAAATCATATATATAGTTTTCAGCTAATATGAAATTCTTTATCGGCCATGCTTAATAAAATTTAGCATAATTTTCAATGTTTTAACTTTTAAGGATTCATGTTGATGGGTATTACATTATCACCATTGATATTATGATATTGCGACATAAAATCTCTTTGTTTTGCTCTCATAGGCTATTTTAGGCAAACTGATTAAATTTTATAGATTACACGATAATTCAGAATTGGAGAAATTGCTAAGAAGGACCAAATGACAAAACTATTGAGGTAAAAGAATTAAGGGCTTTCAAGCGAATTAAAGTTTTTCATAAAAAAAAAAAGAGTAAAATAACGTTGCGTGAATAATTATTCAAGGGAAGATGAAACATTTGGTCATCCAAATTTGTTTAAATTATTTAATCTTTTATATTTTTTTAAATTATCATATTAATTTCTTAAATTTTTAACAAAAATTGACTATCAAATTAATCTAATGTATAAATTATGTTAATGATTTGACACATGTAGTTAAAAGAAGACATTGGCCTTCAAATCAACTTAATTTTTTATCAATATAATCCCTTATTTTAATTTTTTTTGAAAATTTTGATTTTTTTATAATTGAATAATTACATTTTGTTCATTAATTTATGTAACTTTCATTAATATTTTAACTGTATTATTTTTTCTCTAAACAATAACGGTCAAATTAATAACTTATACAAATTTTAATGATCAAATTGATAAAAAATAAATTAAAAAAAATCAAATTGATGAATAAGTTAAACTGATAGAATACAAATTTCATTATCCCATTATTTAGAGGACAATTACGAAATCTGATAAATTATACATAACGATGTGATAATATAATCCTATGGTGAAATAATGGAAAATGATAATCAAACCTTCCCAAATTGTATGAACAATAATTTAATCTTTTAAAATGTAATAATTTCATTAAAGTTTTTAGAGACTCTTATATTAATAATTTTAAAATAAAAATATTATTTTATTTTTATTAAAAATAATAAGCCCTACCAATAATTTTTGTTTAAAAAATAATAACTTTTATTACGTAAATTATAATAATTGAATGTAAAATTATAATTTATTAAGTGTAATTTTTGTTATTAAAAAAATTTTAATTATAAGTTTTATTTAAAAATTACAATTTTTATTCTGTGATTTAAGAGTTAAATAAAAAATTATAATTTATTCAATATAATTTTTATTATTAAAAAATAAGTTTTTAAAATAACACATCCTAATCATAATTTTTATTTAAAAATATTAATAATTAAATAAAAATTATAACTGATCAATAAAAATATAATTTTAAAATTTATTAATGTATGAGTATTTAAAAACTTTAATAAAATTATAGTTATTTATATAATTTGAAAGAATTTGTTCCAACATTCAACTTTGAATGTTTTAAAATAAAAAATTTAGAAAATCTGATTCCTTGATCTAATCCGTGACGATCAATCATATTATGATTACAATATTATAATTTGTCTCAACAGCTTTTCTTATTGTTGTTGCTGCTGTCTTTTTTTTTTTTTTTTAAGGTTTTTCCCGTCTCATGATAAATGGATGCCAGACCTATTCATAAAACAAATAAAAATGGGACATCATGACTTATCTAGGAAGTCAGGAAGAGAGAGAAAGTGACGACATCATCAAGAAGACAATCATGAATTTATCCACAATGTTCATGGATTCTTGCACATTCATGAGAATTCGATTTATACTCTGAATGTTACCGTAAGACTGCGTAAAATTTTTTCCATGAAAGCGTGTTAGTATTAGGCAAGTTCCATGAGATCTAGGAGAAAATGAAAGGATGGCCGATTGATCGATCCCTATCACGTGGCTTCCAAGGATCTTAACAAACAATATATTAATACACCGCTAATCTGGTCTGGTGTTGCCGTGGCATGCATACCTCTCTCCGAAGTATTGATTGAACCAGTGAGATAGTCCCTCACTGACGCAATCTCATAAGGAAGAAGGGGCTCATGTTTCTGTTTATTCGTCTTTGACGCCACTTTTGTTCCTCTCGCACGCCATTTCATCACGAAAATCGAATTAATCGCACTGTTTTTTCTGTTTCTTGATCTCTGCGTATTTGTTTATTTCGAATCGGATTTTTTTTCCGCCTCGTTCGATTCTGGGTTTGAAGGGAACGGTTGTGTTTTAGATTATGAGGAAAAGGGAGCGGGAAAATCCTTGTGGAGTATGCGGCCACTATCACAAATACGAAGAAGGGGAGGTTTGTTCGATTTGCGGCCACCGCATTCCGGCTGCATCGGAGAAGACTTCAATCCGAGTCAGCGCCTTCCCTTCCGAGATTTTACCAGAATTCCTTTACTTGGGCAGCTATGATAACGCATCACGTTCGGAGCTTCTCAAGACTCAGGGAATCTCTCGAATCCTCAATGTAAGACTTCTTTCATCATTTCTTTAATATACGATTCTTTGATAATTATTTCGTATCCCTTGTGTCGTTCGGGATCGTAATTTCAATATCTCATTAATAAACTAATTTATGATAAATCTTTGAATAATTTGATTAGATATTTGTTCATTGGCATTTGATCCTTTGAATTTGCTCATCGGGCATTTGATCCGTCGGATCCTGTTCTTAGTGGCATTTGGGATTTCAATGTGATGATGCATAGTTATAGACAAGAAAGAAATGCACAAATGTTTTAACCGAATTAACTTGTGATGGTGTGGTTTCAGTTATTCTTCAAAATGCATCATTTACTGTTAAGACTTCAAGTGGAATAGGTATAGAATCCAGGGTGGTTTGCAAGACTCGAAATCTTGAGAACCTTATTTATAATGGAGGCGGTTCAAAAGTAACAGTTCCTTGGTAAGCTGAGCCTGAGGAATGAAAAAGATCGTTCTTTTAGCTGCTAGTTCACATTCAAAAAGTTTTTTGCAAGTTGCAAATTAGAAGTTAATTTTAAATTGTTCTGGACCAAATTACGAATTTATCAGATGTGTTTCAAGTTTCTAACTGGCCAATCAATGGAGATGATGCCAAGTTAAACGTTTCATGGTTTATATATTCCAATGATATAGCTTAAATGGGCTGATTTGGCTTATTTGTATCCATGAAATTAATCTTTCTAGTGCTAGATTTGTTGATTTCTCTGGGTGAAGTACATAGCTGGAATTGAGATAGCAGGAATGATTAATTGTAGAATGGAGATGCATTATGTTTAAAGTACTCTCCTAGATATTCTATAGGCAATGGCTCCTTCAAGTTTGAGGAGCTCTGAGCATAGACATTAGGAGGGAAAAATAATGTTTCGTCATTGGTTTCTTGTCTCGAGAACAGAGATACCCAACCTAGTGACTTTGTGACTTTGAGGCACTATTGCCATTCAAATTGTTACATCAGCTGTTTAGCGAAAGAGCATTTAATTTCTTTGGTTTCATGGCAATGAAACATAACAACAGTGACAAATCTGATGGTTTTGAGATCTTATCTAGGAATTTTTGAATACTTACTTTTTTATATGACGTTGTACTTTATGCCTTTTGCAGACGGTTCCTTCTTGTCAAAATCTCTATAGAAACTCATTTACCTATCACTGTCTCCCAGATGACAAAACTTTGCCTTTGCCATTTGATGAAGCGATTCAGTTTCTAGGTATGTTTTTTTTTTATTTTTGACACATTAACTTCATTACAAGATGTTTTAGCATTATTGCTTAAATGTACAGTCTTTTATATCACTGCTAATGAGATGATTCATTATAAAATAGCCTGATACTTGCTCTCTGGTTTGGTCCAAATATGGCTATTAGATGATTGAGCCATCCAGTCACACCAAATGAAATACCAAATTACTCATTCCCAAGGGTTTCAATACTTTGTGAAATCTTTTCCTACCAACCATCTTTGCGAGATGTTATACTGCTAAGTATATGGTAGAGCTGCGGGAGGTATTCTAAGGAGAACAATAAAAGTAAAAATGCAGAAACGATGATGAACTATTTGCTTTTTTAAATTAGATTTTTGTTCTGTCTTGCAATGATTAAACAGATTGCTGACACATGCACCTATTGATTCTACTTTTCTCCTACAAGAATTGTTTCAATTTATGGAATTATCTAGAAGACCCAATTAAGCCTTACTAAGGTCAAAATCTAGTTTGAAAGGAAAGCCTTTGTACTACAATGAGATGTTATATCTCCAACAACTTCAATCAGCATGTGCTGCATCTGAGTTCTGTCTGATTTTTGCCTGGAGGAAATATCAAATACCCCTATGTAAGCAGATTATCCAGCTAGATCTTCATCAGCCTTTTTGAGGTCTGGCCTGATTACAGGAATGATGTCTTCATTGATATTGGATAGAAATCCTTTATAATTATTGAGGGGATTGAGAACGTAGGATTGTTTTATCCTTAACTGCTAGTTTCTTTTGAAAAATTTTGCCTTTTAATGGAACGCAACAGAAACTGATATTTGTATATAGACTGAAGTGTTATTCCTTTGAGCTGAGTGAAGATTTAAGAATTAACAAGCCAGTGCTTACAGTGAGGCGAATGCTGTAAAACTGCAGAAAGAAGGAAACATAGCAAACAACCTTCTGAACAACCTCCCTCGTCCCCAAATATATCTTTACCAGCTTACGTTTTAACTCTTCCAGCTCAAACCTAATGTGACTCGAAGCAGCCATGTTGCTTACAAACTTCCTTCCCCTTTTCTTCCCTTTTAGACACCTCATAGTGGCCCTCTAGCGCTCCCCCACCCCCCTCATTCACTTCTCCCAGGTCTTTAGCACACTTAGCCCGGTAGTTATTGGTCAATCAGAGTCAAAGGCCTTTCTTTCTTGAACTAGAAGTATTACTATTGCTTTTTTTTTTTTTTGGTCATAGAGATAGAAGAATTTATATATGCATATCATAAACTTGAACCTATACAGGTTTAATTCCCAATTACTGAGTTGGCATTTTATTGCAAGGAAATTTCATCTAGTTTTCTTTTTTCTAGCTCCTTGCGTATCATTCTGCGTGTTAAAGTTTATGTTGCCTAACAGTACTCTAAATTTTAGTATGCTTACCCATTTTGCATTGCAAATGTATTCCTCAACTGTTTCTTCAATATTGCTCTTAGAGGGTGAAGAAATATCTTTATACCCTAAAGTTTTTTAAAACTATTATAAGTTGATGTAGAGGCTCCAGCAACTTATCTTTAAATACTTGATCTTTAATGTCCCTGATTGATTAGACTTTGTATTTTATTGTCTGCTTTTTTTGAATATCTTTTTCCCATCTGCCTCAGTTTGACAGGCAACTCACGATCACTTCTCACCATTTCAACCATGCTTTCCATTTTTAAAGGGTGGGTGGGTGCCCCCTTGTAGGCCTTCCCAGGGGCAGATGTGGTAGAGCTTATATTTGTCTAGATGAATATGGATATGGCGAAAAAGCTATTTTTGATAAAAGTAACGTTTTAAAGACTGAACTAGTAATTGCATTGGTGGGGGCATTGATTACTGTTCTATATCTGATGATAAAAAAATAAACATGTTCTATGTATTAAAATTTGATATTATAAATAATAAAAAAAATTCCATTTTGTCCTTTCATATATGTCAAAATCAAAATAAATAGAGCCTTGATGGAAAATAAAAGAAATCTCTGGCACCATACTCTTCCTTCAACTTCACTTATGTGTTGATATATGGAAGGTTTGGAATGTCTGCTTCAACTTCACTTGACCCCTAAACCTCATTGTTTCCTTGATTGTTGCATTGATTTAAGGAAGGTTTGGAATATCTACGTCAACTCACTGGGTTACCAAACCAAATTGTTATTATCTTGAGATATATTGAATATGCTATATTGTCTTTTTCTCATTTCATAGTAGTAAAGCTGTTGCAAAATTGTTTTCTCAAAGAAATGGTACTCAATTTCCTCTCTAGCACTTGACCAAATATTAATTGTGGAGGGGATGAGTTCTTCACTAGTGTTTGGAGGGAAATTAAGAGCTTGTGCTTTCATGTTCTGGCAGGCAATTTGTTCTTGGTGTTTAGCTCTTTATTGATATTAAAGTCACGTTGTTTAAGTCTCAACCAACAATGCACTAACTATAGTCTCACACTGGCTGAATGAAAAGGAGAAGCAAAGGGGTGTTATTATAAAAGAAAACAGAATCAACATTCTAAGCGTATTTCTTTGACTGGGTTGTTGGGTAGACAAGAAACTTGCAATGGACCATTAGGTAGTCAAGAAGTATTTGGCTATCCGAATTGGCAAGGCTATTGAAGTACTTGATCCACTTGGTTCTTATTGGTTGTTGGTCGATTTTTTGACTGGCCACTTTTGTGGGCCAAGTGGATGGGAATGATATTTCTCAGGTTCTTTTGTTTGACTGGTTGATCTGGTTTGGTGTAGTTTATAAAAGTATGGTGGAGACATGCATGAAAACATTAACTCAGACCTAAATCTGTATTGACTCTCAGAATCATTAATCATGTACTTTGCCGTGTAAAAATTGGCTCAAGCTAATTTGAATTCAATAATTAATAGGTTCATTGTTGGCCTGATGAAGTTACAAATTGTCATATATGTCTTCAATTCTAGTTTTCCTATCCATTTTTTGGCTTTTACACTTGAATCAACACTTTTGGAAGAAGGCCTAAGAGAGGTAGAGGAAGGCCTAAGAGAACACTTTTGGAAGTTATTGAACGCGATCTGTTAATTAATAATATTTCTAAAAGCTTGATAAATGATAGAGCATAATGGCGTCTTGCAATCCATGTAGCCGACCCCACCTAGTGGGATAAAGGCTTGTTGTTGTTGTTGTTGTACACTTGAATCAACACCTTTTTTTGCTTGTAGAGCAATGTGAGAAGGACAAGGCCCGGGTTCTGGTTCATTGCATGTCAGGGAAGAATAGGCAAGTTATCGCCACCATTTTTTTCTAATCATGGCATTGAAATATTCTGCTTGAATTGGTTCCATATAATTTTGTGGTGGACCAAAAAAAAAAAAAGCAATAAAAAAAGCAGAAATAGTATAAAGTTCTCACTCTAGTGCTGCAGCCTTGTAAAAGGGGATGGAGTGAAGACATTGAAAGTTACAACTATAAAGAAGGGTTTAGATCAGTGCAAGTTACAATTCCCATGACTATTATATTTCTTCTGGCAGGTCCCCAGCTATTGTGATTGCTTACCTGATGAAGTCCAAGGGATGGAGACTCCCCCGGAGCTACCAGTGGGTGAAAGAGCGAAGATCATCTGTAGAATTAACTGAAGGTACCTCTGATTTCTAATTCCAGATTTGTTTCACAATTTTGAAGAAGATTAAGAGTATTTTAATTTAGAATAGATTTGGGTGTAGAATTTAATTTTTCACTGTAGTTTTTTATTATTCTGTTAGGATTTATAATTTTTTGTTAGGATCTATTATTTTGCATTTTAAAATGTTATCTTTTGGGTTTTATATAAAGCCCTTGCACATAAAACGTAGATCAGTTTTCTCATTGATTAATATATATAAAATTCTGGTCATTTACCCTTTCACTGATCTCCTTATGGAATGAAATGAATTAGCAGAGAAACTTGAATTTGAGAACTTTGATAATTCTTCCTACCCCTACTACATGTCCTTAAGGAAATTGGATTCCAATTCCGGGCTCATCTCAAAAGATGAGCACCATCTAGATTAAAATTGGATGATCCATATTTAATTATTATGTCTTTAATTTTTAATTTTAATAGATGTAAAATGCAAAATAAAAATAATGCTCTAGCTATCACTTCTTAAAAAAATTAAGTTATAGTGTTAAAATTTAAGAATTAAAAACTCTAAAAATTAAATACGAATAGTCTAGATCTCATTTTAAAGATGAGCAATGAGCACTGGATCCGAACTCTGTCCTTAAGAGGCCTGAGAGAAAGAATTGGGGGACGGCCCCAAATTTTAGTTTTCCAACGTTGATCTTGTTCCTAATTCTCGGTCTGTGTCCTGTCAGCAAGAATACAGGCTACTGCTCAACCCTGTGAAACCTGCTAAAGCACAGCAAACAAAGACAAATCACTACTAACTAGTAGCCTAATTAGATAACCAGAGTTGAAAAACATTGAGTAATACGTAAATTAATTGCGCAAAGCAAGAGAGAAGCTTGACCTAGAAGCTGTGCCAATTAACGTAGGAATATATTTCAAAGCCTAAAGAAATTTGACACGGATAAACCAGTCAATTTGTACGACAAGTTGCATCTACTGGGATCATGCTATTTTTTGCCAGAAAATCCAAAGACCTATGCTGCGGACTGTGAGCACCCCAAGAAAGAGAGTTGTGATATGGAAACAAAAGCCTAATCATGAGTCACTTTAATAGTTATCATAGTTTTATATCTTAAATTGCATGAATTAGAATTGACCCAATGATAGCTACAACAACGAACTTAATCCTGTAAATGTTGAAATTATTTAGCAGAACAGAGAACATAATTTTGATGGGCGAAGAAGGAAGGATGGCGGTAGACTGAGGGTCTTTACTGACCTTTTAAAGAGAAGCATCTGTCTATAGTGCGTTAGAGTTAAAAAATAACGATGGTGATGATGATGATGATGATGCTTGTTTGCTGTTAGTGAAGCTGTTTCTAAATCAGTTATGATGAGTACATTGAATGAATTAGCGATAATGGGTTTTGTTTGTTTTGTTTTGTTTTTTTCAACCACTATCTTTCTGACGTGCATCCTTCCTTTCATAATGTAGGTGTTTACCAGCAACTGCAGGAGTATGAACGCAAGATGTATGGATCGGTTGACACTGGCAGCTCTCCTTTGTTTGGGTTCTCAGCTCCAGCAACTCCTCCCATTAGCTTTGGCTACCCACAAATTAATGATCCAGCTGCACCTCTTCCTGCCTTTAGCATTCCTGGCGCTACCTCAATCTTTGCCCAAGCTCCCTTAGACGTGCCCCCAGCTGACTTTACTTTTGGAGCTGGTCAGACTCAAAACAGTGTGATTGGGAGCCCATTTAATGCCAATCCACCAAATCGAACTGGCAGTGACACCCAAATGGATGGTTCTTGATTTAAGCTAGAATGATTCACAATGACCGGTACCCCAACTTGATGAGCTTTATTACCTGCAACATAGAAAGTGGTGAGGGTAAAATGCTATACATTCTAGCTTCTAAGACTTGGGCATTTGGCTGGTGCTAAATTTATAGACTAAGGTAAACTTTTTAAGTGTTTGTTATCAAGTTTTTCATTAAAAATATTGACATGTAAATGAAATCTGTTGAAAGATCCTGTTATAGTAGTATTGAGCTGTTAGAAACATTCACTTGTCATATTTTTGTTGTACAACTTGATAACGATCACCTAAAAGTTTTACCCTAGTTTAGGATGCCGGCCTGTAAGCTGTCTTGCACTCTTGCTTCAAATCAAGATGCGAATGATCACAAGTGACTGATAGATACTATACAAGTTCATTCTTCCTTGTTTACTTTCGAGTCATTTCATGGTTTCCTGGTCGTAGTAATGAATTACAGCTTATTTACTGGCCTGATGTGCCTCTTCGTCTGCAGATCCGTACTTACATTATCCGGTTGTTATTGGACGTTAGAAGCGGAATTGTACAAGATGAAATAGGTTACAGTACTCTTTCTCTATACATGCTTGTCTAGTCGCATTCTAGGGTTGTCGTGCTGTTCCTGACTTGCCATTTGAAGTCCTGCTTATGATGCCTGATTTGGACTTAGCTAGATTATGAATCTTTGTTTTGCATAGAATCCAATTTGGTTTGTTATTTATGAATTATGAATATGAATAGTGCGATGCCGTATTTATATTGATTGAGATGCCATATTACTTGACTGAATTTTACGGACATCTGCCAACTTATTCAACCAAGATAATCTTTCTTGAGCAAACTTCAAAGATAAATTTAGCAGAACCATTTTGTTTTGTAACTTCGATCGTTATTAATTATTGTAATGGAGGACGTATGTTCAAATTTAAAAGCCAGTGACCAATCATTAATGTAAAATGTATTGCTAACATGGAGTTAACATGTGAATCATCGATGAGTAAGGGCAGTGGTGGAGATAAAGGGTTGGGGAGCCACGGTCTCCCATATTTTTTTAATTTTTTTTTATAAAATAAGAGTTATATAATTTTAACCCTCAAAATATGTTTGTCTATGTTTGATACTAGCAAAATTTTAACTATAACTAATTATTAAATATACAAAGATATTTGAAAAAAAGAATAATGTTTTATGCCATGAGAAAATAGGTATTCAAAATAAGATATATTTTTGTGACACTTGTTCACTATCACCATGTTGATATATTTACTATTGTCATAAATTATCAAGTGAATGAATTAAATAATAAATTCAGTAAGTAAGGAATGAAAGTTTTTAAGTTGAGCATGACTTTAAATTCAAGGAGTGTGTTTAAATTATTAATTATTAATTGCTGAGAAATTTTATTTTTTCAATTTTTTCCTTAAAAAAAAGATTTGATTGAAATATGAATTATATATTATGAGCTTGATGTGTAATTTCTATGACTTGAATACTAAGAGTAAATTATGTCAAATTTTTGTAAAAGTTAAAAAGTCTAATTCTTATTTATTGATGATTTGTATGCTATGAAGAATTGATGAGCAAACTTTTAAAAACAATAGTACATATTTATTTTGGTTATATATTTGTAAAATTGAATATAAATATATTGCAATATTTGTATTATGTTAATTATATACACACACATAAATTTCATTCAATTGTCAAATATGCTTTGTAATCTCAGTCTCCCATAATTAAAAAGTATTGCTCTGCCCTCAGTACTGGTACAATATGTAAAATGTAGAGCAACTAGAACTTGTTTTGGTTATTCTTATGCTGGGTCTAAATTGACATCCTTACTTTTGACTATTTAAATCTGAAGATTGCTTAAACCTGTCGTCAATTTGAGCCGAAGTTAACCAGATAATACTTTTAGGTACTGCATAATGAAAAAAATGAATGTTAATGACCAAATCCTTGGGACAGCAGGACAAGAATATCAAAGTAAATTGGCCGAGCTATATAATTTAGTTTCAATCAAGAGGCAAGATAATAATAGAAACCTCCTTGGCTTTGAAGTTCATACCTCAAAACATCACAATTCACAAAGCCAGAATTCTAATCTCTCGAGTACACACAACACTACACGTCACACTTTATATATTATTAAACAAATCAGACACACCTGACTCTCATATATATCCTATAATACACTTTATTCCTCCACCACTAAAATATATATATATATATATATATAGGAAGTAGTACATCAAGTTCAACAATGTTGAAGGGTTTTGATTAATCATAGGAATTCAGCTAAAACATTCTTGACAACGTAGTTGGCAACAATGGCATTGGTTTTCTCAGTAGGATGAAAAGAATCCCAGAAAACGAATTTGGAAGCATCTGAACAAGTGAACATGTCGCCTCTTCTGCAAGCATACCCCATCTCAAACATTCCTGTTGCACAACATGCTACCGAGGTCGATTGAAACCCTGTTTCACACAAATCACTAATATCAACTCTAACATATATATTTACTTTATTCTCCACATAATAATAAAATTTTTAGCTCCTCAAATTTGTCTTAATTATAAGTTTGATTTTGTTTTAAATTTATCTCAATTATCAATTTGGTTCTTATTGATGTAGCCATGTAGATTAATTAAAAGAAATTTAATTATTTAGCTAGGCAAAAACATACTTGAAATTTTTAAAATACAAATGAATAAAATGCATCGTGAGAGACTATATGAATAAAAATTAAACTAATTTTATAACTAATTTATTCTTAGTTAACTACATATACATGTTGAGTCATCGATATATTTTAGACATTATATTAATGTGATACATAGTTTAGAAGAAGAAATTTCTAAAAATAATATTTTTCTTACTATTTTTAAGAGTTTTCCCTCCTAATTTTTTTTCTTCCTATTTTTCTCTCCGTCCATATGAAAGGAAAAGTCAATTTGTTTTTTAAAATTTAAAAGACTAACATAACAATTGTAAGAAAACATAAAGAATCAAATTGATAAAAATTAAATTTAAGGAACTAAATTGATAAACAAATTTGAAAGATCAACAATTTAATTGTCCTTTAATCTCTAACACATGCATGATGAATGTTCAATAGAAATATAAAGGAGCTTACCATAGTGGGCTGGTTTTGTTATGATCTGCAATAAAATGAAATATGGATTTGAGAACACCAATCTGATCCCAGGTAGCTCCTTGTTCAGCTTCACTGTCAATTTCTTGAGCTTATTATTGAACTCCAAGGCTATGGCATTGTAACTGGGAACACATTCATTACCACCAACAAAGTTTGTGGTTCTCTCTAATGGCAAGCACCCCATTGGAGGTAGGCCTCCTAGGGAGATCTTCCGGGCACCCAGGCCGTGGAGTTTCCTGATGAAGCTCTCGGCGATGCCGGCGAGGAAATTCTCATATTGCCGGGGAGTGTACTCCGATGACCGGCCGGGGATGGCATAGTAGTTCTCCAGGAAGTCATTTGTTCCCAGACTCATCATGTATAATGCTTCACTTATGGTCTGGTTTGCCTTGCTTTCTCCAACATGGGCTTTAAGTTTGGTTTGGTAATCTTTGTAGAAATCCAGTTGCTTCCATAATGGTATCACCGACTGAAAATGATGCGTATTTAAGGCTACTTTAGAAAACCCACAAAACTATATGTAATGAACCGAAACCATATATAATATTAATTATTAATTTTAAGGATTCGGCATGTGATCGATGATGCTATTATAATTTTGCCCTCTCAGGTGAAAAATATTTTTCTATTTGTCTCTTAATTACGCAGCTACATTTAGTTGGAGAAGAATATCCCATCCTATGATTAGCTGGTTATCCCATTAATTTAAGTCTGGATATCATATCAACTTTATCGCTGTGAACTATATGTGAAAATATTGGATGTAGAAATCTTAAGAAAAAATAAAATTACACATTGTTAATCTGAAATTTTCAATTCTTTTGTTTTTCTTAAAAATATAGATACAAGTACAACAACAAATATATATCTTCTAATAACATAAATGATACTCGTTTCGTCTCAAATTATAAGACACTTTAGATAAAATCTCACATACTAATAAAGCTAATTAAATGTATTTTATAACCTTATTTTTTTAAGATAAAAATATAAACTTTTAAAAATGTCAAGAAAATTGAAGAAAGAGAATATATGAAAATAGTCATATTAAAAAAGTATCATTAATAAAATATTATTTTCATCAAAATATTTTATATTTTAAGACACTGAATTTTTTATAAAAATATCTTATAATTTAAAATGGAGAGAATATAAAAATATCTTTATTTTTTTGTTCGGTGAAGAAAAGGAAAGTAAATCTAAAGTAACAATATATACTCGCATATAATTTATATTTCACGGAATTAATTGAACTAATACAGAGATATTTATTTATTTATTTATTTTATCAAAGTTGGAAGAATTCAGATCTGAAAAATTTCAGTGCCATTAACTACAACTGAAGATCAGAGAAAATTGAAAACTTAGAAGCAGCAAACTAAGTAATGTGAAGAGAAGAAGGCATTAAGTGATTACCAGAACCTCGGAAGTCGCGTTGTCATAACCAGTAGCGGCGGAAGCAAAGGTGACGCCGGTGGCGAAATCGGAAATGTTATACTTGGGGTCCAAGTACGCCGGAATGTATGGCTTCACTCCGACAGCCTCAGAGATGAAGTCCGTGGGTATTCTGCCATTACTGAACCTCCCCGTAGGCTTCCCACCCTTGAAGTCACGACCGTACGGCGCGAAATTGCTCCGCGCCACCGTCGGAATGAAGTTTGTTGTTCCCGGCGTCCACCGATGAGTCCCCGAACACGATGACCGCCGGAACCTTCTCACTGCCGGTTCCGGCCACCAGTAGTGCCAGAAAGATACAGAAAACGTGCACGCATGAGGAAGACGAGATCAGGTTGTTTCGTTGACCTTGCATTGTGGTGTTATTGTGAAGCTGCAAGTGAGTGTGATTTGTAAGAAGAGAAGTGGAGAGATGATAAATGAGACGTTTGTGGTGAATAGTAATTAATGCAACTTTGATCTTTGGAGGTATGGGCGGAGAGTTAGTTGAAGTTCATAATTGCTCACACAAGCCACCACCTTTTAATTTATGTTCAATACTATACGTACCAGATGGCTGCATTATTAATTATGATTACTATTAATCATAACTAAAATGACAGTGGTGATGATAGATGTCAATTGATGACTCTAGAATGCATCAATTTTTCTCCCAAGTAGATTGGAAGATCATATCTTAAACAATGCCCTAGCTAGCTTGCCAGGGATTAGTACGAAAAAGATTTAATTTACTAGATCATTTTAGTAAGTCTTTATCTTTTTAATTTAAGTTAATTAATGCTTGTTTGAAAGTCAACAACTAAACTTGCTTAATTGTTTCTTGGTAAACAATTAGAAAAATGGTATTACTCCTTTTTTAAATATAAGTAAATTTTCACCTAACTCATATAATTTTTAAGAATTAGTTAATCCTAATAATTATTCCATTTATTAAAAATTATAAGATATTTTAATTGAATCACACTATCTAATAAGTTAATTAATTATATTTAAATTGATATAATCTTTTCATGTATTTGTCTTTATTTAATAAGGTGTGATTTCATTATTTAAGGGTAAAACTTCATTGATTCTACAATGAAAAGCAAAAAATGCTTTATTTTTTTGGAAAAATTTCAGTTAAGAACCATGGTAGAAACTTAATTATTGGTGTGTCCTATAAAATTTTGAAATTTTCATTTAATTTAAAGGAGAAAAGTTAAAAGAATTTCAATAGTGAGAATACCAAAATATCCTTTACTTATTATATAAAATTATTAGTTGTTAATTTTTTTACTGTACTTGTTAATTTACCAATATCACTTGTAAATTACATCCGTTCATCAGACAATCAATAACATTAGTTATTAATTTGCTAACTTTACTTATTAATTTACTAACATCAACTATAAATTACATGACTTGTTAATAATTTATAATTGATATTAGTAAATTATAAAGCCCATTAATAATTTACAACTAATGTTAATAAATTAACAAGTCAACAATTTAATAACTGATAATGTTGTTGCTTATGATTGATAAATTGATATCAAGTCTTACATAATTATTAACATATCAATTTATGTAATTTACAACTCATATTTGTAAATTAATAAGTAGAGTAAGAAAATTAACAACTTGTGATTCTACATAACAAGTTAAGGATATTTTAGTTATTTTACTATCAAAATTCTTTTGATTTTTCTTCTATGAACTAAACTAAAATTTCAAAAATTTAATTTTTTGGATCCACCAATAATTAAGTCTTTACTATAATTCTTAATTGAAATTCTCTCGTATTTTTTTAACTTTGACCTAATCACATAAAAAAATATCTTTTTTAAGGGATGGAATTTGTTTAGAATTAAAACATTTGGACTAAAACGTACATATAATTAATTAAACAGTTATACCATCTCTAATCTACACGCTAAATTTGCTATCAATCAAATTTCATGAAAGAAAAAAAAAGGTGTCAAAATATCTAAATTTAAATAAAAATACAAAAAAGAAAAAACTGTACTTTGCATAAAGTGGAAGATGGGAAGAGAGTAGCCAAAGAAAGTACATGACAATGACAGATGACTTCATAGGACAGAGAAGCACTTAGTGAGAGTGATCAGTAGAGGAGGGCCATTCTTCAACACGAGATACATATAAAGTGTCTTAATTAATGCATCTATATATCTACTGCTGCACTTATTTTTCCAAAAGGCTTCTCATTATTTGCTGGGTTCCACATAATCAACATTACTCCTATGAGTATTTCGTACGCGAGTCCAATACGCTGCTTCCTGACTTATTGTCTCTTAATTAATGGTCCCATCTTCTTCTGGTATAGTAGTAATTACATTGGCATGCTTCTCATATTTTCTGGCTTCAAACTTACAAATTAAAGTACATACACACTATGGATAGTTTTCTTAAATGAGACACTAACAACTTGAAACAAACACAGCCTAATGAATTCTAATGATGAGATGTTTTTGGGGCAAAAAAATTGCTTACTTAATTAAAACCTTGATGTCAAATAGAAAAATTCTTGTTTGTGATATCAAGAACAAATTAAAACCAAAGAAAAAAGGGAGAATTAATGAGGGAGGTATCCATGTGGATATAGTTGCAAGGGTCCGTGAAAGAGACAACTCAGACAGACACGGTAATAAATTAGAAAGGCTTCCGTATTCAATTCTGCCACCAGAAAAGGAGGTGATCCCATATTTATGTCTCGTCTAGTGAAGTCCAAGCCAAGCCAACTTAACTGTGTTCTCTTGAATTTTGGTGCTATGGTGAGTATCACATTTATTTCTTGTCTCTGGCGATCTGCGTCTGGGTGCTTGTGTTTGATCCAAAATTTTGCATCGTTACTCATTATGACCTGTTAGTGTAAAACAATCATCATTGACCAAAAAGATACCTCTTGCTTCATTGACTGAGATTTTAAAGTAATGAGCAGTGGTTAACAATTTCAACATTCTTGATGTAACTAAAAAACCCTACGAGCTATTTGCATTTGTTGATGTTGCGGGTAGTTTATTAGGTCCATAAAAAGATTGGGCTGATTTAATAAACGAGTCAACTTATACTAAAAGATTATTTATAAATAACACTTTTATATATTTTTGTTTTCTTAATTTAAATTTTTAAATATTTATTTGAGGTTAATTAAGTTTAATTAAATATTATTTAATTTTATTAGCCAACTTTTGAATTTTAAATGCCTAAATCTTGAATTTTAAAATATTAATGATATCTCTGATAATTTTGCACATTTTTTATTTTATTTTATTTTATTTGTATAGATTTTCTGGATTTAATATGAAAGATATTGATGAAAATTATTTTTTATAGAAAAATATAGGCATGCTTGAAGATTAAGTCAAGCATCAAATCTTAAAAATTTTATTTATATTTATTTTGGATCTTCTGATATAGTTTTCAATTAGGATTATTAAATGTAATTTTGTTATTTTTATTAAATTATTAGGTTTTATTTATGTTGGGACGCAGGACTTTTAAAAGAGTAGGAATAGAAACAGTGATTAAAAAAACGCAGAATTTAAATAAGAAGGAACAGGAGGCGGCGAAATAAAATTGGAGAGGAGCTGAGGCACGCGACTTCTTGCAGGGGCGATCGCTCTTCATCTTTCTGTGTTCAGCAATTTTTTATGGCTTCTTTCTCTCTCTCTCTCTTTTTTTAACATGTTGCTGTTTAATTTCTAGTGTTACAAAGAACTAATTTTTTAGTATAATCAGTTACAAATCATAAACTTAAATTGTAATAAAAGTCTTTAATATTTATAAAAAATTTTATTTTAGCTTTATTTTACTTAATTTTATATTTTAACTACTATTACTGAGTAGAATAACTTTATTGCATGACTTTTATATTATATATTTTATTTAAAATTTTGCCTGCTGTAATCGATTGATATAATATCATAAGCGTAATTTAGTCTAGCGTGGGTGATTATTCATATTTTGTTTTTGATTTAGTTAATATAAAAAAAATTGTTAGGTTGTGAGTTAAGGAAGATTTCAATCAATTTATAACTTAATTTTTTATTTAATTCTTAAATGATAATTCAAAAAATATATAATAAAATAATAATAATAAAGTTAAATAAATTTAATTTTTTTTTGTGGAGGAGGAAAATTAAGTTTAGATGATTAAGTTGTAATTAATTGTATTTCCAATGCCTAGCAATTTTTCTCAATTAAACTTGCTTTAATTATTTAATTTAGTTTTTTAATTAATTTTGTTATAAAACCCCCCATTTTCATAATTCTAACTTAAGTAATTAATTCATTAATTTTTACAGAGATGACCTAAGTTACACTTTATTGTAAAATTTAATTTTTTATTAATTTTGATGCTATTTGATAGTAGGAGTTATCTTGACTTGAATGCTAGGAATGCAAAGCATACTTAAAAGTTTTTATTGTATTATAAATTTTTTTACCATCAATCCAATTATATGAACCTGGAAATTTGAATAGGTGGGAGCATATTAAATTTAAAAAAGGACTAAAAGATAAATTTATTTTAAAATTTTTTCTCTAATAACATTAGGTATCCTAAACTTTTTGATAGTATTTTTGCCATGCTGTTAATTCCTCCCTCTGTTGACCGTCAAAACCCAAGTTTGACCCACAAATTGCCACGTTAAATTGGAAAACCTTACACATGGCATAGTGACTATGATGAGATGGACGACGGCCAAGCAACAAGAAACCATGAGAATTTAGAGACGGATAATCTTTTCTGGGAAAAGTGAGTCCGACATTGAGATGTTGCCTTCGAGAACATGGAGAAGTGACGAATTAGATCTCACAATCAACCAAGCAACCAACAATGTGAAATCAGGTAACAACAATCAACAAATATTTGGATTTAGATCTATTCACAAAGCCACAGTTTCAACACTAGATTCATACATTTTGGAGGGTGTTAAGACCGGAGAGACACTGAAGAAGGATCAGAGGCAACAATAGATCAGAACAAGGAGAAGCAGAGGACTTTGCCAACAATGACGGTGAAGAAGCAGAGAGGGGAGACACTGCCGAGGGTGGTGGAGATGGAGCATATGGCGGAGTAGTTCGACACCATATCCATGGCGATGCTTTCACTTATAATGTAGACAGAGAAGCGCCTCTGGAACTTGAAGCCATTGATGCATCTTGAGGTATAGGCCATGCAGCAATGGCGGCATTGAAGAAAGGGGAAGAACGATGTAGGGCTCATCATTAGGCTCCACGTGTGAAGTTTTTCAATTTAACGTGGCATTTGTGTGAGTTAAACTTGAGTTTGGATAGTCAACATATGAAAGATTTATCGGTAGGGCAAAAAAGCATTCTTTTTAAAGATTTTAAGACTAAAATACTCCATCAAAAATTTTAGGATATTTGTCACTCCTGAAAAAAAAAAATAGATATTAAGACAAATTTGCCCTTTAACCTTTAAAAGAAAATACTACTCATGCCTTGAAGATGATATTGTACACAACTTTTTTTTATCTTTGTTTTTTTATCTTCAGAGAACCATTCTGGCCAACACAAGGTGCCCTCCTTCCATCACACGAGGGTCAAGTTTGAAGTTAATGACTACTTGCAACATGCAAGAGTCTATGGGTTCATAGATAATCACTAAAAATAAGGTTTAGGGTCTCATACCCTGGAAATATCCCAGCATGCAATCAATACCATCCATTTTATTCACATATAAGCTTGGATCTGTAATCACAATCCAACATCCACATATACAATTCACATTCATCTACACCAAGTTGCAAATTAGCCACTTTATTACCAATTACACTTCAAAGGCCTCCAACTCTCAATACTTCAGAATTTGAAATCACAAAGTATTAAAATCCGGACATAAATCTCTAAGTAACTAATAACATGATTATAAATTCTTATAATAATGCTTTCCACTTCTTCCATCTGCTCTTTCTTTTACTGCTCTCCATGAAATGACTCATCTGTATCTGATAACATCATAAAGCAGATCAGCACAACTTAGGAATTTAATCACAGCGTGTGCAGAGCCTTTCCAAATTTAAAGATATTGCATACTGTTTGTTTTTTTTTTGGCTAAATTAAATATACTTATAAGCATCAAAATAAATTACTGTTGAAAAATGTTAATAATAAAAATTTTAATTAGTTCAAATATTATATTTTTGTATTTTCCATTGACATAAAAAGTTTGTCTTTCTATTTTCTTTTAAGTAAATAAGAATATTAAATTCTAAGGTAATAAGTTTTGGATACAGACATCATGGTATAACATAATTAGAACTAACAAGTAACTCTACAAAGATTATCTCTATCATTTGATCACAAGCTCAAGAATGAATCAAGAAGTAGTAATGGCAGGAAACGCATGTTAGTATATGTTGGTACTTCATTCAAATATTCCAGAGGCGCCACACACACACACAAGATTATGTTACTGTTTTGATCATTTGATGATTCAAAAAATACATTAAGTTTTTTAAATTCCACTAATATTATTTTTTTATTCTTAAAATAGAAATATTTGATTAACATCCTTTGTACAAATAGAGGGTTTGTAATAGAGATGGTGTAATAAAGTAGCCAAATGATCTGTAATCTCTCTCAGAAATCTTCAAGGAGGTTGAGAGGTTTGCCTTAATCCTGGTGGCTTACCAACATCTACTCCATCTAAACTTTCTTGAAACAAAAAAAAAAAAAAAGTAGCTTTATTGGGTCAGTTTGCTTGTGTTCCCATTTTTTTGTTCTAAAAAACTTTTTGAAATACAATTTTTTAAAATTGTTTCTCAAAACAAAACAGAAAGAAAATATATTTGATTGTATTGATTTAAAAACAATTTTGAAATTAAAAACTGGCCAATAATGATAGTTGCAAGAGGTTAATGGTGGTGGCTTATAATAGTTATTGATCAAAATGACTGTAGTTTTCAATAACCAAATAGAATGCATTTCAAAAATAAGAAAAATAGAATAAAAATAATTTTAATGTGAGTACATTTTCTTGTTTTAAAAAAAATTGAAAACAATTTTGAAAATAATACAAATCAAAATATTTATCCAAAGGGTTTTTATCTTTTAAAAAAAAATAGAAAGAAAATAGGCCCAGTATCTTCAATTTCTTTTAAAGAAAATATGTTTCATAAAAAAGCATGCATAACCGATAGAGTAAATTTTGTAATATTTGATCCATTCCTAATTTTTTTAACACATGATCTATGTATGTATGATGTAGTAATAGAGTAATACTTCCTTTGTTTAAAAATATATGACATTTTTAACTAAATTTTACTCTTAATAAAATAGTTATTTGTGTTCAAATTAACACTATCTGTTCATGTTTATCTTATTTAATAGAGTGTTACATTTTAAAATAAATATGAAGTGATTTATTCATCAAGGGCACTTTTGAAAAGAAAGTAATAATTATACCTTGAGACACTAAAAATGCCTTATATTTTTAAACATTTAACAACTTAAAAAATATTTTACATTTTTAAATGAAGGGAGTAATGATTAAGTAATGAAAAAAAGAATGAGGAAATGTTGGGAGTATGATAAGTACCTGTGCTTTCGTGGGAAAAGGCTTTCTCAAAGGAGAAGTCAAATTTTGGGCATCCCCCAATTTGGACATTTTCGAGTTGTGAAGCATCAAAGTTGAATCCTTTGCAGAAGTGTGTGAGGCTTGGCAATTTTGAAAGTTTCAATTCTTGCAGATTTGGGAACACAATGTGTTGCGGAGTGATAGTGGTTGCTTGATCAGTTTTATAGGAAAAGATCTCTTCCATTTCTACAGCTTCTGATACCTCTATGTAATGTAGTTCTGGAAGAAGCATTGCAACTCTAGCTGTCCTGAAAAGGCATTTCAACTTCTTGCAACCCTTCACCGTTATTCTCCTCAATTTTGGAAAAGAAATGTTAGACACGTGCTGAGCTTCTTCCAACTCTTGCATGATTTCCTGTACTTCCTCACATTCTCTAATTTCCAACCTTGTCAGCTGTTGAAGGCTTCCCCAAACAGTGGAGGAGAAGATGCATTTCATTTTTCCACATCCATCCACTGTCAAATCTTTAAGATATTGGAAGCTCAAAATTTGGGAGGGAGTACTGAAATCCCTGCATATCAAGCTTAGCTCACTTAATTTTTGTAACTCTAATTTCTGTAAAGTCAACTCTTCTGGGAAGAAATATGGGAGTTGATCAAGCACTTGACTGCCGCTGTTCCCATGAGGCTTTGCTTCCTATGGAAAACACAAATGAAGCTCATTAATGAACTAACAAAGGAAAGGGAGCCTAAACACATTGAACAATTAAACATTCCTATAATGATTAATTTTGACCATCTATATTCATTGTTCAGCTATTTAATACTGGGTACAAGTGGTTCAAGGCTCTAACATGCTACGATAAGTGTTGAAGCACCATTCATTTTTATTTTCATTTTTGTCGTCCATGTGAGACAAACAAAACCAACATGAAGAATGCAACTTACCTTTCTCTTTATTTGAGTGCATATGCTCCCAGTTGCCCCCATGATTGAAGAAAATTTTGGGCATTCTATCATGTTAATTGCTTCAAGTTTCATAGCGTATAACTTGAATCCATTGCAGATATCAACAAGACTTGGCAATTCCTTCAGATGTATATATGCCAAGTTTGGAAGCGCGATTTCGTTGACATGGTCACTGCCGGCTTCACTGCGACGTCCAAAAAGCTCCTCTAACTTTGCACACGAGACTATGTTTATTGACCATAAATGAGGAAGCAATGGAGTGAGAGAGGAGGTTGAGAAAAGACACTTGATCTTGCTGCAATGCGTTACTTGAAGGCACTCCAATTTAGGAAAGCATGTTTGGAATTCGTTATCCTCCCTCAGAATTTCCTCCAGCTCCTCACACTCTCTTATCATAAGAACTTGTAACATTGGTGGGCTTCTTCCGTGGAAACCCTCAGCAAATACAGATTTCAATTCCTTACATTCAAAAAGTTCCAATACTTCAAGATGGACGAGGTTCGAAATCTGTGAAGGAGCTCTCCATGTCACCCATAGCTCAGGCACACTTCCTAATCTAATCCATTCGAGTCTTGAGCCCGACGGCTGCAAATACCAAAAAAAAAAAAAAAAAAAAAAGGCAACACCATAACAAAAACAAGCCCTACACGTCAATATCATTCCTTTTTCGTCATTTTGGATATGGTTATAGAAAATGTTTTATCACATGCATCAATGCATGTGTTTGTATTTTAAAATTTTCATAACAGAAGTATAACAAAATTGTTTGCACGTTATTTTTTATTTTAAAAAATTTAATAGGTGTAAATGCTTATTTTACTTCACAAAAAATACTTAATTTTGAAATTAAAAATTCGATCAATCAGCAGTTATAATGGTCACATGGTTCGCTAAAAAAAAGGGAAGCAGCAACACAGAAAAATATTGAATTATCATGCTGTACCTATCTATAAAGCTATGGAATGTCTACAAAAATTATATATTCAAATGTTCGTTTTTAATTAAAAATTATATATTCAATTTAGAATGGAAAATTGATAATTCAATTGTTATTTTTCCACATTGGTACAAGTACAACAAAAAGAAATTAAAAAGTATCTTAATCTTTACCTTTTATTACTATTGCTATTGTTATCAATTATCATTTTTTTGAGGTTTTTATTCATTGATTTTTATATGGTTGGAAGAAAGGGATATTACAAATTTAATTTACATAAACTATAAAATAATTTAATTTAAATGTACATGAACAACAAATTGTAAAACTAAGGAGTTGTTATCAAAATAACTTCTAATTCAGTGCTACTGCCGGATCCTGTTGTGATTCTTTTTGAAGTAATGATGCCCCTATTCTTAAAAAAAAAAAAAATCAAATTCAATACGCATGCACGGGAACAACAAATTATAAAATGTTCTAAATAGTAACCTAATTTTTAAATTCCACATGAAAAGATTATGGAATAAGATAATATTTGATATATATTTTTAATAGGCACATGTATACATTTTTTTAAAATAATACAAGTTGTTTTTTATTTTTTAATATGCAAGGGTAAAAAATTTTAAATTAGAACACACTAATATTTATATTTTTTTAAATTTGTATGGGTAGAAAAATTTTAGAATAAAATATATTGTCTAAATTTTAATAAAATAAGGGTAATATGTATTATGTTATATTCCCTCCGTTAAAAAATGTAATGCATTTTTTGAAGAGTTAAATAATAAAAAATGTAATACATTTTTAGTCTTTTGAGGTGTAATCATTATTTTTTTTTCTAAAAGTGCCTCTATTGATAATTACTTTATATTTATTGTAGGGTGTTTAATAGGAATAAATATAAAAATATAAGATTAGTTTGAAAATAAGTAGCTACTTTATTGGGGGTGAGATTCGGTTAAAACTGTCTTACATTTTTTAACAGAGGGAGTATCATTTTAACAAGTTTTTATTGATATATTTTCTATGTTAGCTTTAAATATTTAGATAACAATTAATACACAAGGTGTATGGGCATAAATTTTGGGAAAAAATATTTTTCGTTTATGTTTTTAATATGTATAAAATAATAAATTATAAAATTGATTAAATTGTTATCCAGATTTTATGTGCACGGAGTGAAATATTCTAAAATAAAATAATATGTTAATTTTTTTTTAATATGTACAAAGATAAGAAATTGTGAAATAAAACAAGTGTTTATTTACATGCATGATTAATACTATGTTTAATTTATAAGAAAATCGTTTTTTTATATTTTTACAATACACAGGGTAATTAATTTTAAAGTAAGTCATACGAAAAAGAGTTGTTTTTTTAAATTCTTAATATAGACAAGTAACAAATTCTAAAATAATTTGTGAGATTAAAACAAATTGTTATTTATATTCATAATATACAAAGGATAATAAATTCTGAAATAAAACAAGTTGTTTATACAGTATCAAAGAACAATTTCTCAAATAAAAAAAATAGTGTTCGGGTTGGAGGGAGATGGAAGGGAGACAATGAAGATTTTAATGATTTCGATTAAAAAAAAATGGAAAAATGAGGTTAACATATTTAATTGTATCTCCTTACTATTTTCTCTTACATCTTTATCTTATATTTTTTCTATAAAACTTTTATAGCTCTAGTAGTCCTTCTTTTTTAATCAGTTTTCCCGGCCTTGATTTATTTCCATTTCCCTTGAAGCAAATAGAGAATTAATTGCCATATAAATATTTAGAAATAATTGAAAATGGGTACATATTCTAGAGCCACTACAAATGTGCGCGCGCGAGAGAGAGAGAGAGAGAGAGAGAGTATAGTTGCTTCTAGGATTTTGAAACTGATAAACACTCACATATGCGACTCTTAATGATTTCAAGCACTGATACTTGAGGTGAAAAAAAGTGCGCAACAAGAAAAGTAATATAAAGAAGGCAAAATGATTAGCAAAAAAAATGAAAGTACCTGGGGAAGGCGATCGTTGGAAAGGGATAAACCATGACAGAAATCCCTGAGACTTGGAACTTGTTCCAAAGTTAGGTTCCTCAAGTTGGGTAACACTTTCTCCAGAAGCTCGTTCCAATCTATGGTTATTGAAAATAGGCATTTTAGCTTGCTACATCTCTTAACTTCAAGCATTCTCAGATTTGGAAAGCATACTTGTGAGGATTGAGCATCCAGATGGCCTTTATGCTGCTCTCCTACCTCTGTACAATGCATTATTTCCTCTAATTCATTGCAATCTGATATTTCGAGATGTTCCAACAGTTGCATGCTTCTTAGAATTACAGGGGATAAAATAGTCCTCAAATTGTTGCACCTACTAACTCTGAATTTGCTAAGATTTTGGAGGCTTAGTGTTCCCATCGAACCACTCCAAATACTCCTCAAATTGTTGCACCCAATAACTTCGAATTTTCTAAGATTTTGGAGGCTTAGTGTTCCCAATGGACCACTCCAAACAAACTTCAGCTCGGGTAGATCTTTCAATATCAGTGTCTCCAGGGGTGGGATTAACTTGTTTTTGGTATTCGTTTTAGTACAAATATCCATTTCAAGTAGAAATATTATGTCTTCCACGCCACATTCAGTCACATAAAGTTTCTCTAAATTGAGAAGTGATGATAGAACTGAAATCTCACTGCATACTTGATCGTCCTGCAGTTAAAACATTTAGCAAATCAAAATAAGATAGCCACCTTACTTTGTTGCATTATCTTCATAGATATTATAAAAATAACAATGAAGATTCTATCAAATAAATCGATAGAAGGCATAGGAAAATACATACCATATTTATATTTGAACCAACCACGATGTTAATACATGAAGCTTGGAATTTGGGACACCCCATCCAATAAAATTCTCTTAAACATGGGCAACTTGAATGATAGTTTTTGGGTAAAATGCTGAGCAAATTTTTCAATTGCTCCAGTTTGAGTAATTTTAGAACAGGAAGCTCAATCTGAACCTCTTGATGATCACCCTCATGTTGACCAAAAGCATATTTTAGTTGAGAAGCCATCATAATGCACACCTCCTCCAACTGCACAAGGCCTTGAACACAGGAGTTTGAGAATACATATTCTAACTTATCACAATAACTGATGGTCAAACTTTTCAATTGTGAGAACACCGAATGTGCATTGTTTGAAGCTAAATTTATTTCATTGTTGGTACCATCACCATCCTCCTCCTCTATTATATTCTTCAATTCACCACAACGTATTACAGTTAGCTTCTGTAATGACAGCATAGCTTTGGCAACACACTTTGGGAAGAGTGATGTCAACATAGGACAATTAGATATATGCAATTCTTGCAATTTCTCAAAGAAGAAAAGCAAAGGTGGACCCCGCCAAACTTCTTTTAAATTGACCAAAAGCATCAACTTTAACTTGATTAGCTTTGGAAGCAAAGTTTCTGCTTGAAACAAATCAACATTATGAGAAGTTGCATCTACAATGCATTCTAAATTTGAACAAAAACCAAGACACAAGCTAGTCAACTCATCCATCCTTCCTACACCCTGAACGATGTCTGGTACAATACATTTGAAATCCCCATCAAGTTTATTTAAATGAACAGCTTCAGCTCGTTGTAGAAGATCCTTTATAAATGGACTTAAAGCAATGATTTTTAATTCTGCCAACGACAAAACCTTGGAGAAACAGCCCATAAAAGAATCATATTCACCTTTATAAATCTCAACAAATTTCCCAATTCGAAGTTCATATCTCTGTAACATGGGAAAAGTCGCATTATTTGAAATACATTTACCAAGTTCTAAAGTTGTTCTTCTTGGTTGGATTTTTGAAGTATATAGCTCTTCAAGATGTGTGCATCTTTCTGCTATCTTAAAACTCTGCTCTTTGATCCAAGATAAATCTAATAGCTTCAATTTACTCAACTCTTCTAATCCTTGTGGCAGTTCCTTAAATGAGCTTTCTTTCAAGTCGAGAACTTCAAGTCCTTTGAGGCCTAACACCCATGATAAATCATCACCTAATAGACAATTTCGCAAGCACAAAGTTTGTAGATTAGTTAGAAAATTCGTAGTGTACGGCAATGATAAAAAGTAAAAACATTAATGAAAGAAAAAGACATTAATTATTATACGTTTATTTTATAAGGATCAAATAAGAGTTTAAAACTTTGCAAGAACTAAGAAGGTTAAAACAATCTGACACTGGTTCCACCAAAAGATCATAAAATTAAAGCTCGCCAGAGAGATTGAGACTCGAGCAAACATGGCTAACTTTGGAGAAAGAAGACGATTTCTAGTGTTGGGATTGTTACGTTGGAATTAAAAATTTTAGTGACTAACAGGTAACGGGTAAAGTTAAACATAACATTAAAAAAAAAAAAATAACAGTAAACAACATAAAGAGACTAACCTGAGACTAAGAAGATGACGACAGAGAGACTACCAAAGACGTCGGAACAGCTGAAGAATCCAAGATCTGAATTGCCTGTCTCCAATGTTGCAGTTTGAAGGCCGTAAGAAAAACGCAGATGAGCAATTTTGGAAGGGAAATGTAGAGACAACATGTACAGCGTAAAGGCTTCAAAAATTGAAAACGGAACTCACCCAGACGATGGAAAGAGAATAGAGAAGATGATGAATGAGAAAAGGAGAAGGAAAATAATTGCAATCACTGTTGGAGTAAATCTCTTTAACAAAAGTGTGAATCTCTTCTGCTTTGGTTTCCAACTATTTTTTGAATTATTCTTAGCTCTTTGTGTGTGTGGGTCCTTGTTGTCTGCCATTCAAGCTTTGATTCATTTTCATTTGTCATTTCCCCATGGTAAATTGGTCTTCACCCTCTTTTGGTCTTTTCACCTCTTGGATCATCTAGCCTCCCAAAACCAAAATAAAAAATAAAAAATAAAAAATAAAAAATAAAACAAAACAAAACAAAAGAAAAAAGAAAAAAGAAAAAAAAAACACACAAAGAAAATAAGATGAAAATTGAATGAGCTTCAACGATACCTTACATTCATGTTCTTCTTATATATTCAAGATCCTTTGGCATCCTTACACCTTTAATATTCGCGTCAACTATGAAGAATGAATCTGGAATCCGACATTTTCTTGGGGAGACGATCAGCACCAAATTTATGTGATGACACGTAAATATGATCCACACATGCAGCTCGCCTATTGATGGGAAGGGAAAAAAGAAAAGAAAAACATAATTAAAAATATTGAAGATTTGAAAAGTTTAGAAAATTAAAGATATTTTATTAACTGAGAATATTTTATTTTAATTATCATAATATTATAATTATTATTATCTTTTAATATTTATTGTTATCTTTTCATTTAATTAATCTTAGAATTTTTAAAATTTCTCACATTTATTTTTATGAGTTAAGGTTGAGGCCTATAAATAAAACATCAACTCATTTAACGTGTACGCATATTTAATTAAATAAGAATTATTATTATCTTGTCTCTCTTTAAAGTCTTTTCTCTTCTCTTTATTATCTCTATCGATCCCGTTTTCTCTTTTTTATATTATCTTCTCCTTTCTCCTTCCTTGTTCTGCATCACCTATCTTTTATTTTTTTTTTATTGTTATTATTGATTGCCTTGACTTTAGAGTCAGTAATGTTTTCAAAGATTAACAGCTAAAGATCTAGAATATTTTTTATTAAAAAAATACTCTTTTGTTTAAAAATAAAAAGTATTTTTAACCAAATATCTTATCCCCTCAATAAAATAATTACTTACTTTTAAACTAACATTATTTTTTTATATTTATTATTATTAAAAATTTTATAATAAATATAAAGTTATTCATCAATAGAAACACTTTTAAAAAAAATAATAATTATATCTCGAAAGACTAAAAATATCTTATATTTTTTAATATCTAACTCCTTAAAAAATACTTTATATTTTTGAATTGAGGGAGTAATAAATAAGTCTCAATTAAAGCAATTATTTATCCATAAGTCCTGAAAATTTATTATACAAATTTTTTCAGTTATCTTGAAATTTGATTTAACAGTCGTTTACTTTGGAAAATATTTTTTATTGTCAAGGCTGCATTTTCCTTATACTTAAAAAAGATATTTTTTACTTGTAAAATAATAGGAATACTCCCAGTTTTTTTTTTGGTAAAAATGATAGGAATATTTTTGACCCACCTCCTTTACCATTGTTGGCCATTGCTTTTGTATTTTTATTAAAATATTGATATTGATGTTTTAATATTTACAAATAAAATTTCATCAAATCATAGGTCAAACGTTATGCCGTTATGATATGCAACTAAAATTTTTACAATTTATAAGTAAACTTCTCAAATTTATAAACCAACACATTTTTAAAATATTAATATTTTAATATTTCTCAGTAAAAACTTTATTGATTTACAAGGTAAAACTTACCAATTTATAAGCAAGCCTTTCATATTTACAAATCAGCTTGTAAAATCAGCGAAATTTTAATTATAAATTGTGAATTTTTATTTTTAAATTGATAAAAGTTCACTTATAATTATTAAAACATCAATGTTTTAATAAAAAATTAAAAAATTTTGACTAACCGTTCAATGCTGGCTATTGACCTTCTAGTTAAAGAATTTTCCAAAAAAGAAAAATGCAAACAACCTTGAATTTGATTTTAGAAACTTGACATTTATTTAAAAATTTAGGATACCGAACGAAAGCAAAAAAATAAAATAAAACGAAATATTTGGCAATTATTTTAGTTTTAGTAATCATGTAAAATTCATATATCCGAAACTGATTTTGTTACTCGATGAATTTAATTAAGGCAAAATTATATTTTCAAATTTATTTGAAAAAAATTATTATAAAGTCTCATAAAAATGGTCTAATTAGTCTAAAATTATATGAAATGCATAAAGTCACAAACAACACCTCCCTGATGCCAAGCCTGATAAGGTCAAGTAGAGCCGGTAATTCGGGCAGGCCGGGCTTATTCGGACCGGGCTTATTCAGATCGGGTTTTAAGTATCATACCCTTTAAAAAAAGCCCATATAGTCAAGCCCGGCCCTAACGTCTTCAGGCTTCGGGTTATTCGGGCTGGCCCGAATACCCGAAACTTTTAAAAAATATTTTTTTTTCCTTTTTTGAACTGATTTTAATTTGTAATTTAAAAGCTATTTTTTTTCTCAAATAATATAAACATAACAACACATTCTAGATTAGTAAAATATATGTAAAAAATCATTAAAAATACATTAGTATTAACAATAATAATAAAATTTGAAAAGTTAATTGCTTAATTTAACAACAAAGGCATACTATCAAGTACCAATAAAGCTTATAAAGGTTCAAATAACTTAAAAATCAGAGTTTAATAATACATAATTGTATAATTTCTTCACAAAAAAAGATGAAAATTTCACAATAAAATTCAAAATATCATGCTCAAAAGTCAAAACATCATGCTGTCAATTTTCTCTAATTCCCTATTCCTCTTGACTCTCTTGATTGACATTGTCATTATCATCCGAGGCCACATTTGAACTCTCAGTAAGCATATCAACTGGTGAAAATTCTTCAGATGATTTCCTCTCATTTTCAATCACTATTTCATTATCTGCAATAAATGAACAAGTTTTGTAATATAATTTAGTAAAATTTGCTTCTAATCAAGAAATAAAAAATATATGAAAATAATCACATATTATCATCATCTTGAAAGCCACGCAACCAGTTACGGGTGCAAATCAGAGCTTGAAAATTATCAGGAAGAAGAGTGCTTTGATATTTCGTAAGAACACGTGAACCAATGCTGAATGCAGACTCACTTGCCACTGTAGTGATTGGAATGCTAAGTATATCAGCTGCCATCTTTGAAAGAATTGAAAATCTACCTTTATTAGTATTCCACCAATTAAGGACATCCAACTCTTGATATACATGAGGCTGAAGTATTGCTTCGTCCAGATAAAATTCAAGCTCAGACTTGCCAACAGACATAAAATCCATACTTGTATAATTAATCCAATCCTGCATTATACAAACATTTGAAGTAACATATGTCTTAAAAAATTAAAATAAGATTAAAAATATATAAAAAAAAACTTACATCTAAAATCCCTTGAATATTGCTTGTTTTTATTGAAGCATTAGAAGTAATGGAGGATTGAGCTTGATACCTATGTGTTGGCATTGTTGAACTTGATCCAGCCCCAACATTAGAAATAGAAGTCATCTCTTTATACTGATTAAAAATATATTTCAATTTGCTTTGAATATTCCCAATCCTCGTATGGCAACTTATAGGATCAATTTTGGCATACATATACTGTATCATTTGAAGCTTCATTCGTGGATCAAGCACAGCTGCAATTGCAAGGATATTGCTATAATCATTCCAATACTTATCAAACTTGTCTTTCATTCTTTTGGCCATTTCACAAATCACAAGGTCACCATTAAACATATTTTCATCTAACAAGAGTCGAATCTTTGACACTTGAGAGAAATACAAATTTGAAGTGGGATAAGATGACCCAGACATCAACCTTGTCATAACATCAAATGGCCTCAAGAAATTGCACATCTCCTCTCCTCTCCTCCACTCCTTATGTGTTGGGCAAGATGTGAAACTTGTATCTTACAAGATAAGCTGGTAAAAGCACGGTGATATTTTAATGCACTTTCAAGCATTGCAAAAGTTGAATTCCATTTAGTGGGCACGTCCATTCGCAAGCCCACTGAACAATCAATTCCACCAACTTCTTCAACACATTGCTTGAAAGCAATCATTCTTGCCTTTGATCCTCTTACATACTTAATGCTGTCCCTAATCTTGTTTAAAGCGGTACTTGTCACTTTCAAACCCTCTTGAACTATCAAGTTTAAGATATGGGCACAACACCTTATATGAAAAAACTCCCCTTCACAAATCAAGCTTGCACTGTCTTGCAAAGCTAGCCTCTCTTTCAATTTCTCCTGCATATTATCATTTGCAAAGGCATTGTCTAAAGTAATAGAAAATACTTTCTTAATTATCCCTCACTCCACCAAACAATCATGTACTTTTCTAGCCAATTCTACTCCAGAATGTGGAGGTTCCATGTGACAAAAAGAAAGTATTTTACTATTCAACATCCAATTTTCATCAATAAAATGAGTAGTTAAACATAAATAACCTTCAGAGGTTATAGCTGTCCAACAATCATATGTCAAGGAAATTCTTCCAACACTATTTAACAATTTTTGTTTTAAGGTTTCTTTGTGCCCATGATATACTTTCATGACATCACTTACTGCTGTTTTTCTAGTAATGCACTTCACGCTGCGATTCAAGACAGTAGAATAATGCCTAAACCATTTATATTCAACAATAGAATAAGGCAAATCATGTTCAATTATCATCATAGACAAAGAATGCCGTGCTCCTTTTCATCAAGTTTCCTAGACCTTAATTTTCCTTCTTTATCCATCAACATTAACCCAACATCATGATACTTAGCTAGTTGTGGACAATTCTTAGCATGCCGTGCTAGATGAGATATGCCATCAGCTCCAGATCTTGCTAGATCTTTACTACAACTATTACATCTAGCCTTTGTTTTTCCATCAATTATAACTTTGGAAAAAGATTTCCAAACATTAGATGT